ACTTTGTCCGATAGCATCAATCATCAGATTATAAAAACAGGCGTTGCTACCGCATACTATCCACCCAAGCTTGCTTATTCCTAACATCACTATTATTCGGTTTACTCCTGTCTTCTACCAATTCGACACGAACAGCGATCCTTGCCAATATGTCTTGCATAAACTCTCTTGAGCGGGTCGCATTGGCTTGATTATTTGCAATTTTGTGTCTCGTGTCTTTATCGGCGGCTGTCCCTTTTCACAACGGGATCGGTTACCGGAGAACTCCGGCGCTGCTGAGTATGGTCTAGGATTAATAATAATTAACAAAGGAGTATTGTAAATATAGACGGGGATCCGCGCAGGTACTCTAGAGCAAGGGATAAAAAGGGGAAGGAGGGAAGAAAAGAAGGCCAATACACATAACTGAGGTATGAACACTACCATGTATCCATGATTATAGCTTAGGAAGAACAGATAACTCTACCAAATAAGATGATAGTGAATTATATCGATTCTAGTTTATAAGGATTGCATCATCGATAATCATTACCACCAAAGTAAGCGAGAATAGATTGCTGTCTATATCAACACATGCATGCATAGTTTCCGCTGTACCTATCACCTTCAGCTTCAGGCCCATAAAATATTAAGCCGTTTCCACCCCTTAGCTTTCTTAATCGGTACATTTTCTGGATCATTCCGTGCTTCCTCTAGCGCTTGATGAACCGGCACATCCGTCAAGGGAATGATTTTCGTTCCGCGAATATACTTGTAGAGTCCATATGCACCTAACACTAGTGGTATATCTCTGTGATCATTATTAGTCCTTTCGCCTGGTACATAATAATAGTGAACCAGTAGCACATACAAATAGGACGACACAAAGGAGGCAGGGTCCCAATTCCCGGCGGTAAAGACGGTAAATCCACCAGTGAAGAGGATGAGTATGCAGGCGATAAAAGCAAACCACGAAGAAAAGTCTACAAAGTGTTAGTCGGATATATAGGATCTCAGGAACTCCAGATGATATAACACGTACAAGTTATGCGATTATGCCAGGGTAATTCCGTTGCTGGAATGCCCTGTGCGCGTAGCGCCTGCAACAAGCGAATATGATTGAATGCGATCGTAATCCACGAGACCAGCACACCAGCCGCTGTCAAATCGAGGAACCAATAGAAGACGGTCAAGGCGCTATTTGAGACACACATGTAGGCCAGGAAAGAAACAGCTGTCTGGGCGGCGACGCACATGTATGGTACGCCCCAGCTGGATGTTTTCAGGAAGATCTTGGGCGCATGTCCCTTGACGGCAAGACCGTAGAGTGTTCGTGTGCCCGCCAGCATACTTTGGTTGGAGGCTGACCATGCTGAAGTAATACAGACCGCATTGACAATTGAGGGTATCGCTTTGATGCCGGCGTCGCTAGCAGCAATCACGAAGGGACTCGTTGCGGCGGTGCCAGAGTCATGTTGGAGCCTTGGATCGGAGCTTCGGACTAGCATGCTCACGACTAGAACGGCGGCTAGATAGAATATAGTCACACGCACGAACACTCTTCTACAAGCTTTGGGGATGTTGTGGCGTGGGTTTTTCGTCTCCGCTGCTGCCATCGCCAAGGATTCTACACCCGAAAAGCTGTAGACAGCGTTGGTCATCACGGCCCAGAAACCAAGGAAGCGACCCCATGCGCCACTGGTAATGTACTCGACAAAAAGGCCATCTTTCCAGTAGTGGAAGCCTAGTCGTGGCTTGCCAGGTATTCCCCCGAGATCGATTACAAGACCGAGAATCACGACGAAGACCACCAACAGAATCTTCAACAGGGCGAAAAAGAACTCGATTTCACCGTACACGCGCACAAGTGTAATGGCGACGCCAGCGGACACGAAGATTAGCACGGTCACCCATACGGCGGCATTGATGTCTGTCCAGTATTGGATCATCACCACGGCCGCGGAAATCTCACTCGGCACGGCCAAGAAGGAGCCATAAACGACGTTCCAGCCGATCGCAAAAGCCAACGCGGGGTCGACCAGCAGTTCAGCGTGTCGCACGAATGAACCCGTCACCGGCATCAGCGCAGAGACCTCGCCCAATGCGTATTGAATGCAGCATACAATCAGCCCGACGAAGATGTAGCCGAGTAGGGCACCAAGCGGCCCGCCTGTCGCGATCGCGCCGCCGAGGCCCAGAAAAAGTCCCGTTCCCTAGAGGCTCGAATGCGTCATTTAATGGGTAATTCGGGATAAGATGGTGTAGATTCACGTACAATGGCGCCCGCGATAGCGATCATCTGGACATGTCGCTGGGACAGTCCGCGGTGCAGATTTTCGCGTTCCTCTTGGGAGACGATCTGTTGTTGTTGCTCATTATCGTTGATCGCTGGAGCGCTCCTTCCGGGCTGGGGATTTGGCGATATCTCACGATCATGTTGCACCGGGCCCTTGAAGGGTATCGCCATTCTGTTTTCAATTCTGGTTTTTTCCTTCCCCCTGGAGGTTCAAGAAAGGAAACGTGTTTTGGATCGGCGCATCCCTTGGGAAATAATTCCGCGAGATGATAAATTGTACGTAAGCACGCCATCCGACTGGTTAGTGAGCAATGTTTCCTGCATGTTAGCCTTGTGGGGTTTTTTTACCTTTTAGTTGCTGTAGTTAATCTATCTCTGTGCTATATCAGTTCATATTATAGGGTACGGCAACAAAAAAACCTCGATTAGGGCAGGGCACACGCGGTAAACAAAACTCCAACATAAAATACCTCACCATCTTTACGTTATTTCCAGCGTCTCTAATTATAACTTTAATTATTTGCGTCTCTACACAATTAATTTCTTGAGAAACTTGGACAGCTCTAAGAAAAGCATATCCCCAACTTTCAAACCAGCAATACAGTATTGATTATTCTTTCTTTCATACCATAGTTAGTGAATTCACCAGAATTTAAAACCCGAAATATAGTAACCTGTGTCCAATTCTTTGGTACAATAATTTAGTGTAACGCCGCCGCTTGTCCTAGTTTTATGTCTATAACTCCGCTTATTTCCATTATCAGCACTATGCCGTTACCATAAGTACGTCTGTCATATCTATCGAGGAACTGAAATACGTTGTTGACAAATACTTATAATTGTTGACCTAGGGGAGCCATCTGGTTATCACTAGCCTATTTCCAGATCAGTAAACTTCAACTTCCGTACCAGGAGCCATTCCTGCTGGGATGCGAAAACTGTTGGTCGACGGCAGAGTACGTTCTGTGCCTATCCGCTGGAACGACCTTCATTATGAAAATCGAACAAGTAACGGATTCCAAACGGCATAAGTAAGCTACCCCTGGGGGTGGTAGTTGGAAAAGAAAAACACATTAGTCAGGCTATTCCTGATATAATTTTAGTTTACGATCAACACCAGATCATCGGACTACCCCACGTTCCCAGTCCGTCATAGAAAGGATATACGGCAGCCAAAGAACAGACATAGTTGACTGTGGAGCCTCCCCAGATATTAAAATAGTGGAGAAAGTTCCGAGTTGTTGGTCCCGTTTCTACTTCCAGTACCCAGCGGACTTTGAAACTAGTAGTGGATCCATCAATACTCTGTAACAGTCAGCTACCATGGCAGCCAGGGACCTTCCGGATACTGGAAGGCAAGTGGAATACCTCCAAATAGAACTTCTGTCAAGCGCCCGCGATATACATTTTGGGTAGAATAGATGGTGAGAAGAACAGATCAAGATATAGAGCCTACTTTACATCAGGGTATCACAAAAGGTCGGAGGATATCGATAGGTACACCACAAATGGTCTGATTATCGGTCTATCATGATCATCGGCATGTTCTCAAAGTCATCAACCAGCAGCTAAGACCAGTATCCATGGAAACCAACGAAATAAGCTTCTCGTATCGGCTTAGCGTGATGTCGTCTGTCAAGATCAATGTCGATCTGACAATCAATGTGAAAGAGATATATTCTACCCGAGGATTCTAGAAACCAGGGAACGATACCGGAGTAAGTAGATGTGTTGTAGTCTAAAACCTAAAGTCGAGATGGACAGCTTTTATAGTCAAATGTGGCATTTTCAAAATTACGCCCTGCCATTGTTTTACGAAAAATCATCCTACGTGGACAGAACTGGTATACGATGTAGATATTGTTGCTAATATCAGCTGAGTAGAGAGAACTTACCCCTCCAGCGGGATTTCGACACACATCAGAACATCTTAGAATACATTATGTAGCGGATGAGGGGCTCTACATATACTGGACCAGTCATTTGCAGCCATTCTGTCTCGCTTAAACTCATTTGATGCTCCCCTCCACTTACGACTAGTTATTCCCCACTACAAATGGCGGCCAATCGAGTGGTGACCTGACTACGGAGTAGTTGCGAGGTTATTTTATTTTATTTTATTTATGTGTCTATTGATCTATCCATTTTTTCTTGGCTTACTGTCGTTTTGGCATAATATTAATGGGTTGGCTCGAATAGTACCTCGATTATACTGTCAGGGTCACCGAGCAAGCAAACCCGAGGAAATCAATACCCCGTTAGAGCTCCTAACCAATCCTTAACCTATGGTGATATGTGTTTCATGTGATAGAAATAGGAAAGGCGTACTCCGCAGATCGATCGTGGATCGATCTCAGCTGGAAGTTAGTAAAGTTCTCATACCGCACCATTTCTACATACTGGTGGACAGAGAGACCGGCTAGATACAACTACTCCATCTTTCAACTGGATCATGTCAAGCCTCCTTTAGCACTGCTCAATAGTGGTAGTCCAGTATCTCTCCATTTGGCAAGGATCTCTGTTTTCGTCGGCGGCGCGTCATCTGAAGACAGTCGCCAAGGGACTGAGTGCGAGGATGGGGGGGCTCTCCACCCCTCCACCTGGACATATGAAGAGGGGGATTGAAGGTATAAGAGGCTCACAATGTCCAAGGCAGTTCTTCAGTCATTATAACTCTAACCTTTACTTCCATCCGTATTCCATAACAGCTTCTAGCCTACCCAACATGTCTTTCTCTCAATCATCCTTCAACATCACACTCGAAAACCGGGGTGGCAAGATTTTTCTCTCATGTGAGGCCGAAAGCGAGTCAGGCAACGTGAGATATACCGAAATTGAACTCGATGAGAAGATTGGGAATAATGGTGGTCAGTGCCCCGCCTCGAACTTTGGTCGATGAACTGAACTATCCCCCTCGAACAGGTTTCTTTGGGCCAGGGTCGAATTTCACCCAGACTGCAAGAAACGTCCAGTTGGAATTCGACGGTCACGTCCCGTGTCTGAAGGCCGAATTTCAAATGAGTAGTGGAAACTATCGCGACCGTATGGAGAGCATAAACCTCGACGAGTACATTGGTAACGATAACGGTAATCTGGTCTGGAATGTAAGTCCTTCAAAGCATCATCTGGTTTGCTGTAGCATCTGCTTATTTTGCTGTAGGTGTGAATAATCGATCACCTTGCTGCATAGCCATGCGAGCGTCTTAGATGAATTGAATGAAGGTCTTTTACAGCTACTCGTTCCATTATAACGTAGTACCAAGCGTGTCTACTATCGTAACCTACAAGTATAGCACCGGATTTCTCTTATTAAATGCCACTTGAACATGGAAGACTTTACTTGATGAGGCTTTTGTTGGGCTGCACCATTGCGGTCCATAACATCGTCTATCCCTATCTCAAGAGACCACCAGCCTGGAGGGAATGGCGAAGTCAGCGGCCGTAGCCCATAGATTTGAAGCTAATCCAGTTCCTATACCTATATAGTACCATCATGTCCAATTCTTATTTCATTTGCCATTGGGATACATACTTTCAAGACCCGTGATATTTATCAAGGTCAAGAAAAGATCTATTACTTACAACAGTCTGAATCTAGCTTACAGTAACTTGTCATTTTATTACCGCTATCGCAGCAGCCTACATTAAGCTATGGTCAGTCCAGCGACTTCTTGCTCTCCTTATTAGCCGCGTGATCCTAAACATGAAAATAAAGCAAGGCAATCAAGTCGGGTCGTAGCGCACAGTTTGTAGTTAAAAAAAAAACAAAAAAAAAAAAAAAAAAACCCTTCTGGAAGAAGACGTTATGGGGTATGTAGAGAAGGTAGCGTTAAGGACTGGCCGAAGGGTTTACAACAAGAATCATATAGAAAATCGAAAGTAGCGCAGTACACGAAACAAGCTATGTTCAACTACACCTATAGCATTATTTCCAGTGTGGTCCCTTTTTTTTTTTTCTTTTTTTTTTTTGAAATGGCCAAGCTTCTTCCGGAGATGTAAGTTATCTCCACTCTACCCCTGTGAGTATCATCAAACTGGATCAATATTTCCGGTTTGGTATACTCAACAACGACTGGTTCTCTTAAGCAGAGAATTAACTTGTTAAGTTTGTCGGGCGGTCGTAACGCGAGGGCATGAATGATTGTTATGATGGTCCGTTTCTTCTGAGTATTTCATCATATTAAGGAATTAGAACAGATAGTGATGCGATAAGTTGAGAATACCTGATCTGAAAACCTCACTATGTAGAAAACCCTCTTGTCACTTTGTCGGTCGACATTACGGATTCAAACCAGAGAACTCAGGAACATTTCCTTTGGAGATAGTAGGAATGAAAGATTATGAGTTAAATTTTGATAGAGGTATAGAGAAAAACTTGTACGTTAACCTTTCGTATGGACTGTACATCCTGTGCCTGTATTCGGTGCATCTAGAACAATGCTGTCACTGAATCTGGCCTGAAGACTAGCGAAATATCGACGAATAAACCTAACCATTTTGAGAGTAGTGTCTGCAGGAATGAAAGCCAAGCCTAATCCGGCAATACTAAGTGGCCAATAGGAAATGACTGTGAAATGGGATGATCTTGTTTAGCCATGTTGTGGTATGCAAGTATGAGGTATATATTGAAGAAACTCGCTGTATTTTCTCATATATGAACATTGTATGGCTATGGCAAAGGTAAGACTCGATAGCTGCACACGTATACGAGTGTCTTGACCTTTTATCTTCACCATCTGGGACATCGAAGAGGACTCTTACACGTTGACCAATCAGGGTTTGTTCATTACTGGACGATCACATGGGCAACCAATCCAGAGCGGGAGTAGTGACGTCAACGCCGAAAGGAGTAAGTGTGATATGATATATTTAAGATTAGCCCTCAATTGCTTGACCCCTCATGCTCCACTTCAGCTCGAGTCGCCGTCCTGACCTTAGTGACTTCCAGGGTTGACTCATGTCAGACAAGGTCCGCTGGAGCTGATGGTGGTAAAATATGAACTGGATCCCCAGAAACAGGAACATTGTGTACAATATAGTTTCCCAACGGTGCCGCAATCGTCCATTGCCTAAACCACCACTTCAAATCAGCATCGCAAGCCAGCGAGCAGCTGGGATTACGTCGGCAAGACAGGTCCAACGTCCTGTAACCCCTCAATTGAGAACCCGTTTACCAGCCACGACCGCAAACATGAGCAGTCGCACCCCAATCGAGCCCCAACGAGTCGACGCACCGTTGACACAATCTGCAACCTTCCTCGTCGTGTCAGTTAAGGATGGCTCGGAGGCCGTTCAAACCGTCCGCTCGACCCTCGCTAGCGTCGATGACCTCTCCAAGAACGTTTCTATTCGCGACCTCGCTGCCCAATTCGCATGTACCGTAGGAATCGGCAGCAACGTCTGGGATCGCCTTACTGGTCTTCCTCGTCCCGCCGAGCTGCACCCATTCCGTGAGATAAAGGGCAAAAAGCACACCGCAGTGTCCACCCCCGGCGACCTACTTTTCCACATCCGCTCGGATCGTCGTGACCTATGCTTCGAGTTCGAGCGCCAATTGATGGACCTCCTCGGCGACTCCGTTACGGTTGTCGATCAGACGGTCGGATTCCGGTATTTTGACGTGCGTGACTTGCTTGGGTTTGTCGACGGCACAGCCAACCCAACCGGTCCATCAGTCTCCGATACACTCCTTGTCGCTGAAGAAGACACCTCCGCTACTGGAGGAAGCTACATCGTGGTGCAGAAGTACGTACACGACCTCCAAGGATGGAAGTCTATGTCCTCCGAGAAGCAGGAAGCAATCATCGGCCGCACCAAGTGGGAGAATATCGAGTTGGATGATGCAGACGAAGGCAAACAACAGTCACATAAATCGCTTGCGACGATCGAGGAGAATGGAGAGGAACATGAAATTCTGCGCGACAATATGCCTTTCGGAAATCCTAGCTCGGGCGAGTTTGGAACATATTTTATTGGATACACTCGGCGCTTGTGGGTTATTGAAAAGATGCTAGAGCGCATGTTCATTGGCAACCCTCCTGGACTGCACGATCGCTTGCTTGATTTCTCGACACCGTTGACCGGAGTGACCTTTTATGCACCACCAGCCAGTGTACTGGCGGAGTTGGACAGTGATTGAGTTCCTGTAGACTTGTTGCAGGTCCGTAATTTGTGGTTCCACCCTCGAGGAACCGGTGGAGTTCTCCAGTATGGAGCAGTCTAGAAAGAGACTCTTCGTCCTTGAGGAAGGCAAGCCGAGACTTGCACTGCAATAAATGTTGGCTAAAATTGATAAACAGATAGTGTTAGAAAAGGCTCGCTAGGAGCCCATTCTCTGCGAGTTGATAGCCGGTAGGTTCAAGAGAACTTTAAGACCTGCGCATGGGCATTGCATCCATGTATCATAAAGTGGCCCCAATTTATTACTTGGTGTCCTATGCGAATAGGACATGCTTGTTACAGTCATTGCATGTCCGACTTATTTCCATCCTTCTCAATGTCCGCACCCAAAACTAGTATGGGCTTGATAAGCGCAGGATAGACCTTGCTAGTAAGATTGCTTGTTTTAACACGTAAGCGCTGTAGCACCAAATAGTGTCTTTCAGCACGAGTACAGAGTAGAGGCTTGGGCGCTACCATCACAAGGTACATAGGTATGTGCTCACAGATACTGGTGCCTTCTCAACCGAGGTATTAAGATCCTTCAACATACTCAAGCATAGCACGGAATGCTGTCTCTTTTAACAAAAGATCTCACTATTACTTTGAATTACGAGACACTGCATGTCGCTCTGCTTAGTTCCACTGCTCACTACCTGGATATATTGCTGAGCCAAGCACACAAACAAGCTTAGTACGCCAGTGAGGATGGGGCGATCAGGTCACTGGCCACGCGTTCACGGGAGGCGTTTATCTGACCTGGGAATAGCTAGCTACTGAGTCCAATAATCTTCGTACAGGTTATCTCCTCTGTTTTGGTAATTGCCTGAATTGATCTTTCGAGGTATACTCCAAATCGCGTTAGGCTGCTCTTAGTATATTCCAACAAGACCGTAAATGCAGGTAGATGCCCATATTATTACTCTGTGCAGGTCCATCCGTGAAACAATGTCTCAGAAGTCCGAGACAATAATATAGGGCTCGGACCCTGCGGCAGGGCTCCGAGGTGTCCCAGCCTGTAGATCTTTAGTCCAAGAGCTTAATTCGTTCACCACATGCTTATCGCATTCGTGTTCTTCAGCGATCTTCGCCTAAGGTTCCATATAAAGCGGCCCGAGAGGACACGGCTGGGTATATTCAATCAACGCGACTTTTCCCCGGGGATAGACTCTTCCGGCCCGACGGTATGTTTCAGATTCATGATGGTGTTTGGTAGCTAACCTATGGCGACAGCGCAAAATCTCACTTTCTCGCTTTTCGTAGGCGCTGGTGTCTGGGTTGCTCTCTCCAGTGGATGGTCTGTTTTTTTTTCTCATGGTCGATATCCCGCAGAAGATGTAAGAAGGGACAAGTTCCTTGGCGACAGGATGGATATAAATTCAGTTTGTTGGTCCAGATGTCGGCATAAGGAACGTAGCCCTTTCTTGCATCTGTACCTCCATCTGTCTCTCCGTTCGCCTTTGAACAGATACGAACTTCGATTTCATTGTTCAACGAGCATCGATAGGAGTCGCAATGACACGTTATTCATACCGGATTGCAGTGGTAGCCGCAATCTTACCAACAGCGTGGTGTGCGACTGTTGATCTGCCAATTCACTTTCGCAATAGTTATGTAGGCCGATACTATGATCTCGTGTACTCGGCATACGCTAACGTAACCAATGGTTCCAGGCATCAGTGGAAGTAGATATCGGGACTCCTCCTCAAACACATTTCCTTCATTTCGATACCGGTTCATCTTCTACATGGGTCGTTGACCAGAACTGCGCAACAACTTGTCCGAATGGAAGCGGGTATAACGTCCATGAATAACTGTGAGGTTTCTAAGCAACAAAGCTAACTAGACCAGGTTTGACCGGCAAGGCTACAACATTTCTGCCTCTTCGACTGGCACGTCTCTAGGGGCTTATGGAAGCATTGATTACTTCGGAGGAAAGACCGCCGGCCCAGGAGTAGCCGATACTTTCAGCCTCCCGGCTGGGACGCAGGGGGACATCGGGTTAACGTGGAACCAGACATTCCTAGCTGCGAATGAAACCTCCTGGCGATTCATCTCTGCAGATGGGTTCTTGGGATTAGCCTTTAGCACTATTGCTGTCGCGAACACCACGACCGTGGTCGAGACCCTCATGCAGCAGGGTCACCTTGACGAGCCCCGCTTTGCGATCTACTATGGCAAAGAGTTCCAGGATACCGGTGCAAACCCGGAAGGTGTTTTCACAATCGGCGGCTCGAAGGAGGAGCAGTATGTCGATGGTGACTTGACATATGTTCCATTGGCATTGGAAAAAGAGTACCAGGTGTGGCGCACCACTCTCTCGTCGATTACCGGGTCAAGCAATGCAGGCAAAAGGCAAGCCACAAGTAAGATTAATGGAGGTAGGGCAGTGTTCGACACGGGAGCTGGAGCACTACAGGTACCGTCCAATGCCATTTCAGAGCTTTACACATCAATTGGCATGAACTGGACTGCCATTAGTCAAGATGGCTATATACCCTTATGCACGGACTTCAACTCGAGCTGGTCTATCACTTTCCATTTCGGGGACTCCAAAACAGACCCCAAGTTGACTTTAACCGGCGATCAATTGGCCCAGCCTGGGTTTGCCGACAGGAAGGATGCATGCAATCCACCCTTCGATGACAGCGGGAGTAATGATTTTGCCCTTCTCGGCACGCCTTTACTTCAACATTTCTATACTGTGTGGGACTTTGGAGCTGCTGCAGTGGCGGACTATCATCCTCGAATTGGATTTGGAAAGCTGAAAGCGGGAATACGGCCGTGAATGGCAGATATTTGAAACTAAATTGAACATGGCACTCAGTTCTAACAGTTGCATTTGGGTGATTTACACCCGTATCTACGGAGTTGAAAGCACATTAGGGACTATTATCTTCACTAGCTGTGTTGTATAGTGTACAGTTAGTGATCGTCCTCTATTATAGTATATCCACTCATTGGTAGGCCCATAGTCGCTGATAATGCTCGTTGACTACTAGTAGTACTCTTGGCAGAGCTTATAGGAGCCCACGGTGTTCCACTGTTATTCCAAGTTGCTTTCAGAAACCTCCGATGCTGCCTACGCAGGACTTCAGATACACTAGTCTCTGCCCCAATAACAGCAGGGCGGGATATTTCTATCACACATCCCTATTTGGCCACCCCCCTGTTCCTTTCGTCATGGAAAGTGACAAAGCTCAGAATAGCAATAGAATACTATCAATATAGGGCTCTCATTAGACCAGAGTAACAAACACAACACTTGCACCCGGACTTATATCAAACTCATCCTGCATCAACATATATGACCCTTCTTCCAGTTTGCCGCCAGGTGTTAGAATAATCTTGTCCGATAAGGCAATAACATATTTTTTTGACGGTCTAATAGTTGTCCTTTTTAGAAAGTGTGTTGCCGTTAAAACATAATCCTAAGAAAATGGTAAGTTACTGGTTATAAAAGACACTGTCTGAATCTCCTACCTCTGCGATATTCATTTTCCTGACTAGATCAGAAACTCGCTTCCTAAGAAGTGTCCCTCCGTAAGTAATATCGCTTTCCGTGCTGTTGAGGATTGAAAGTTCCTCTTTAGTACGCGTAGAGCATTCGTGATCGTTGATTTCCAGTATTATGGCCTTGATGTTTTGACAGATCGCCTCTGCATCGGGATTAAGTCTTTGACTCATTTCTCGCTTTTAAGGCCACCCTATCCTATAAATAGAGATTATCAAGTTGTTGTTCAGAAAGCTGTGAGTACAACTTACGTGTGTTCTGCAATAACTGGAGATATCTGTCGGGAGTTCTCGGACGTTGTCCTCTGCTCTTCCTGGAGAGGTACAGAGGGGCACGGGGCTTTAAGGCGTCGTTTGGGATTAGTAACTCAATACAATCAGGTGACTATTATGTGATTTAATATCGAGGATAAAGATCCTAGTCGTTAGTTTATATATATCAAATTCTCATGCGTAAAGCAGATTCTAGTATTCCTTCGAAACATACCACTCAATAATAATGGGCTTGAAGGTTGAGGTGAAAAACGAGGGGATTTGTAGCGAAATAGAGTCAGACTTCGGAGGATTGAAGATATCCTGTGTGAGTATCAAAGCTTGAAAACTCCCCTTTGGATGCCTTTGACGCCCCGCTTGTCTTGGGCAGTGATCCCTGATCAGGCCGCTGGCTTGCCCCTAGTAACCGTGTCAGTTGAAAGCTGACGCATACATGGGTCTGACACATACATCGTGATATTATCTGGACCAGGAAAGAGTGATTTATTTCTTGTAGAGTGGTACGCATTCCCTGCTAAACTCGACCTGAACCCCTGGGTTCTAGAGCGAGAAACCAATCTGCCCCAGGAAAGTCTAGTAGCGGTATACTATATCGGTGCGATCCAGGGTATTCTGAATTGTAGCCTGATTCAGAAGTATCTGATCTTTTGGCCTAGTTAGGTGCCTGCTCGCCTGGATCGCATACCCTCACAATTTTATAAAACTGGATATCTATTGCATAGTATAAGACTATATGAATAGAAATTATGATTCTAACATAACTTTTTGTGTGATAGTATTCTTCGCTATCTAGTGAATACCCTTAAAAGCTTCAGCTATTGTATCTGCTATCTGGATGGGCCTGCTGGAACCGAATGTGAAGGACCATTTTGATTACTGCATTCATGGCCGCGCCACGTCATAAAACCACATGGACCTGAAGGGCAGGGAGTCAGTCTACTGAAAAACTTCATCTTCGCTGTGTACGTCTTGAGTTTCCCCCAACCGCCTGCAGATGGGGTTCTAAGATATCCATAACCTATGATGACTGTATGTATGTACAAAGGCCACAATGACACCGCTTGGCAATTGATTGACTCACCAAGCATGAATCGAGTGCGAGGATTATCGTGGAGTAATCCACTTAACTGTTCGGCAAGAGCCGAGGCTGTCCATTGTTTTGTTAATCCTTTTATCCATCCAGCCAGAGCCCATGCCGGCTTTTCCACTGCCTCGCCTGGCTACCTTGGAGGTAAAGCACTTTCCGGGCGCGTATGAGTATTGGTGGCACCCCCTATCCTTCTCACATTGCGCTTGACAGTCCTCTTGACTGCCATTGCCCTCAATGCTCTCATCGGAGGAGGCATTATCCCAGTCCTCCTTTCTTTGCCCGATTTGTGGACGGACGAACTCTTCGAATACATGGGCATGCAGAAGGGTCTGCCTTTGTGTCTGGTAATTTATGAATAAGTATACTTCCATTTAGCTCTGGGCCAGGGCCAGCGTATACTTACATTTGCCCACCAACTCTGCTCAAACTCCCAAGTTTCTCGAATATCGTCCGGAGTCATATGATGATAGGTTACCACAGGCGTACACCAATGGTGGTCAATCTTCGGTCCATAATGTGAGAAGGTCCAAGGTGTATCGCCCTGTAGCATGGGATTTGCGAAAAAAAGACCGACGCCTGCATCCTGCAGCGCTTTTCCAAGGACACAATCGCCGGCCCACTGACTGGCGGTAAAATCGTCATATTCCTTAAGTCTTGACGCACGATGCTCGGAAACCCTATGCATAGCCGCGTGGGATATGACGAGACCAGACCCACCGTGGCCGAAGTTGATGTTCAAAATGTTTACCCCCGATCCCATATAGTATGGCTGGCTGGGATCAAACTTCTCCAGCCATGCCAGAAGATTCGGCCATACCACATACGTGTCTGCCTCGATAAACACGTACCACTTTGCGTCGGCTCGAATATTGAGGGTCTCGTTGATCATGGGCAGAAACTTCCACTTGTCCAGTAGCCATCCCCGATTATCGGGCTTGCCGGATGGCGTGCTTGGATCGTCGTTGATGTCTTCCGCTGTTAGCCCCGCCCGCCCAGATTCACGTAGCCGATTGTAAAGATCGAATTCCGAGTGTGTTTGCTTTATCGTCTCGTCAACACCGCGCAGGACGTCGTGCGCTTGGACACCAGCAATTTGCTCTTCGAAGTCGGAAAAAAGAACGAAATTTGGGATACATTTGAGGGTGGTGTTGAAGTGGACTGGCACTTTCTCCAATGCTTCGGTGGCGCCCGTTTTTAGGACCACCAGAACGTCGTGTATCCCTGGTAGGTCTGGGCAGCCAGATGGATTCGATGTGGCTGGGTCACCGGTGGTATTATTTTCTCGTTGAATGGACCCCGTCTCTGTCGCATGCCCGTCCTTTCTAAACCAGAATAGATAGTTCAACAGAATAAAGGCCAGTACAGGGGCCACAATCAGGGGGATATTTCGAAAACGAGAGGCAATCATTGCTAAGAGTGCGAGGGGGTGACGAAGACCCTGTCAGAAGGATTAAGGGACGGAGGGAGGGAGTCTCCACTACTTATAGAGTGACATTGAGCTGATGGGGTCCTTTTTGCGCAGGCACCACTAAGCGCCGGTCAATGTCTTTGTTTGTATGGTGAATGGATCCTGAACGGCATCTCGATACTTTTGATAGGGCAATCGTCCATCAGGTAGGCGCTATCCAGAAACGGAGCCAATGGGAGGAACGCGACCCCTGCCTAGCTTCGCGGCTTTAGTGCACAATGCTTGACTGGGATTGTCTCCCGTGCTTCACAATGAATACAACCTCCTTACTAAGCCCTACGACAGTAGCATATCAGACAGGCATGAGCGGACTATCCCATGGTGGCAAATAGAAAGATTGCTTAAAGTCATGAGTGGGCCTTTGTGGCTGATCGTACCATGATCAAGACATATTCGCAGACTATCCCCTCTACTCTAGTACACCTATAACAGACTTAGACTCGCGCGGTCGACCGTTCTATGATAACATGCTCCCGTGGCTCTGGATCGTCCCTTTCCTGGCCCAGTACTCTCTCGCTGGATGTCCTGCCGTGCCTCTTCCGCAACCTGATATCTGGCCCGATGGCAAATTCTTCTACCCAAATGGGGCGCCCCGGTGTTTCTCACAAGGCTCCGTCATGAATATCAGTTGGGAAACCAAGTACAAGACCACCAATCTGTATCTAGTCCACGGCGACAACTACGACGATCCAGTTGCCCTGTCATGTAAGTGCAGTGAGCACTCACATACCATACTTTAGTGATCTTGACCATAGCTACAGTGAACACAGCATCTACATGGCACGAATGGAGAGTCGGGTACCCCACTCGAGACGACTCTAAACCGTTTGTTTTCCGACTGGTCAACGCACAGGGTTCGAGTGAAGACCAGGCAGTTGGAGGCATCTGGAGCGCCCGATTCTGGATCGGTTGGAATCAAGAGGCGTCCTCCAGCTCCACTCTTACCCCTACTCCTACATCCACACCCACACCCTCACCCACGGAATTTGGCGCTGTGACGACCAGACCATATACGAATACTAGTGCTGCCACTCCCTCCGCCTCGCCGTCGAATGCCCCAGAACCAAACAGCGGACTCTCCTCGCATGATAAAGCCCTCGCCATAGGGATTGGCGTTGGGGTAGGAGTGCCTTTCTGCGGTGCTGCTATTGGAGCTTTGCTCTTCCTGAAAAGACGAAGAAATCGGCGTCTGTCCATCGAGCATGGCGGGCCCTGCGCAGCACCTGCTTCTGAGAAAAGCTGCACCAATTTGGCTGTGCCAGAGGTTATGTGTCTCGATGGTACGCCGGTGTATGAACTGTCCGGCGAAAGTAGCATAAAGGAGGCAGACAGTAGTCATGTTCGATATGAGCTTGCTTGATGTGACTGTATCATTACTTTCGACAAAAGGAGAGCTGAAAAGGAGCTATCAGTAATGATATCTTTAATGTATGTTTTGCACAAAGGATTGCGGGAAACCTTTGGCCACATAGAAACAAATCCTAATATCTGCAGACAAATATATCCACTCCACACTTATACCAATGTCAAGCAAAAGCATTCCATATAAATCCACTAAATCCCTCCCGATTGACTCATTCAAGATTCAGCTGCCATGAAACTCCAAACCGATCGTTCACCCACGCAAACCGGCGACTGAATCCATAGTTATCCAACGGCATAAGCACCGAGCCTCCTTCGCTCAAAGCACCCACAGCGCGATCGATGGCATCATCGCCATGCTCTTCTGTAAACTTGACGAACAGTGACAGCGAAGGGGTGAACTTGAACGCGTGCTTCACGTAGCTATCTATTGCCATAACCTCAAGCGACCCTCCGATATTCGCTCTGGCCATGGAAACCTTCCCTTCTGTGCCTGCTTCCCCGGGTCCATAGCGGGTAATAGAGATGATGCTGGATCCAGGGATTGTTTGGACGTAGAAATTCAGGGCGGCTTCCGCGTCGCCTTCGAACATGAGGAAGGGGGTGACTGATGTTGTTGTTGCGCTCATTATTGTTTGTGGATGATGGCAATATGACACTGTGATATAGGCTGGGATGCTGTATATTAAGCGTTTCGGATTTAGGGTAGTTAAACTGGTTAAATTTAACTAGTTCGTCCTTCGAGTCTAGGCAGCACTAGGCAGAACATGATGCATTGTGGGGATAGCTCTTCTTGGCAGAAGGGTCTGTTCGTGCTTTGGATCACAGACGCATAACGTAACGACTCCTGGGGTGAGTTTGTCTAAAGTGGATCCTAGTAGCTACTTTTATCATGGGGTCATAATATATTTATTCCGTGGCGACTGTCCGCTTTTAATGGGTACAATAGGCATATATGCGATACCTGATTTGGGCTTGGTGTACAGCTAAGGTTGTTGGCTGGCCTTTAGCATACTAGCTACGGTAGGATATTGGTTTGACTCGACTAGTAAGTTTCAACATGACCTTACATCTGATGCCAAACATTTCACTCGGCAGAGCATCCTATAGTGAAGCGCTTCCTACTGCCTACGCAGCCTCGATTATTTCGACCATAGTCACGGCCTTCGCATGGACGAACTGGATCTCGCAGGCTCACGCTTCGAAAAGCATTTTCCCTGATGCTTTGTACGAGATTCACTGGATCATGCGTCCTGTGGTAACCCTTAGTGTAGCGATGAAAGATAAAATTCAATTCTGATAGTGCCTGGTCAATTCCGGTCACGACAGCGGCAATATCCGCTGTTTGTTCGTAAGTGTATCAGTTTGGCTTATTACTGGTTGCTATGGTAGGGGCCAAATAATTACAATTAACAGGCTATTGTTCAGCTCAATGGCACAAAGGGCTCATAGAGGACGACGGGGCTTAGACAGACCCTATGTTTGCCGCAAGACTTTCGTTGAAGTAGGTCAACAATTGATCTCGTGATGACCAGCAACCACCGTCGCTGAACCTTCTTCATTAAAGATACAGCAGTTATATGTCAAGTGACTTTATGTGTATTATCAGCTTTTTAATTTAGACCTTCTTCCACATATACAACTTCATATCCTGTGCAGTCCCATCTTTTGTCCCCAAGATCTTAGTAAAACTAGAATGTATAGGCAGATCGTGTGACACAATGAACATTCTGACCAAAGACACAACATATCATAAATAAAACCAAATATATAGCAGACTAGAGAAACCTTCACGAGGTCTCGGTCCTTGGTATACATCTTCTTGGGAGGAATAACTACCCTTCCCTAACACGAAAGTTCGATGGCCAGACATACCTCATACACTAAGTCATCTCCGTCCCATCGCGTCCAATAGAACTTGTTGAGGATTGGTAGATACCGTTGTATCCCTCGACCGTTTCCCCCAATTCGTGGAATACAATCTGTGCGAGCTTGGCATTTCGGTAAAGAACGACACCGTGGGGATTTTTCACTTCTAGCAAAGCTCCCATCGCACCTTCATATCCAGCATCGACCACACCAGCGACAATGCCGACACCGGACCGCCAGAGCGATGATCTAGGGAAAACGCTTCCCATGCAATTTCGCGGGATTTGAACGGTTTCGTTGAAATCGACCAAGTAGGCGCCTGGCTGTAGTGTGATTGCGTGACTGGTGTTGTCGAAAGGCAGGCTGGAAGTCTTGGCCGCCTGCCGCTTAGTATTATCGAAATCAATGCGAGCCGCTGAGGTCCATTCGCAAACTCGACGTAGAGTGAGGTCGACACCGCATGGCTGTTGCTGCTGGGGGAGGTGGCGTAGGTTACGCACTAATTGGCGGGTGACGACTTCGAGTCCACTGAGAATCATGTTGACCCTAATGATGTTGCTGGGATTTGGAACCGGACAGCCTGAGTGGGAAGATACTGCACAAAGAATGAAAATTCAGTGTGGTGTCTCCAAGGCCGGTATCCTATTTATACCGCCTATTTGGTCTTCATACTAAGCCGTTCGCAGCGAAGTGTGGCTGCAAGTCTTACCTTAGCGTCCATCAGTCTCTCTTGTGGCTTGTGTAATTATATTCCCAAGTCAGACATTGAAGTTGATGCTTAGCTACGGATCCCCCCGGTCATCTGAGGTCTACCCCCTTACTAGCCCCCTTGCCAACGGCTCGCTACCTTTAAGAGCAATGATACTTGGAACTTATTCAACGGTGAATTATCTTTTGTAGAAACTAACAAACCGACTTTGTAGCGGGAAAGAAGGACTACTGAGCATAATCGTGTCAATTCACAGAGTATCCATATCCATGACACTTTTCTACCCTCGCATTCTACAAGCGATGATGACGGATCGTTAATGCAATCAAGGAGCCCAAGATCGAGAAAACCAGACAGATCACTACTCATCCATTAGTACAAAATGCGCCCACTTGAAGTCGTGAAAAGGACTCACCGTAAGTATTCTTCAAACCCGCCACAAAGCAGCCCACGACAACCTCCCAAATCTTTCCTTCCAGTTTGGCAATATAATTAGTATCCGACGTCGCGCGACGAATGATCTACAATAGTCAGTACACATGTAGTCCCATGATTACCGTGGAGGACTCTCACCTTCTTCGCCCCACTGCCATGCAGGTTCTGTTCCAGCTGATGCTTGAATCCAAGTCCCAGAACCGTATTGGTCATGGTGATACCCGTGGTCATAGCAAAACTGACGATGAGCATATATCCACCGGTCGCCATAGCCATGTCCTGGGGCTCTAGTAGAGCTGTCATAGCGACGAAAGCAGACGCCGATGCGATGCCCGTGCCTATACCCCCGGGAATGATATACAGGGATTCTCCAATGTTCGTATGTCCATTCCATCGGATGAGCATGAGCACATGGGTGATTGCGGCGACAAGTCCTCCGATGACTAGCAATGTCTTGTAGCGGCCTGTTCGACGGATGACATTGCCCGCTATTAGCCCTCCGACCGTGTTTCCAACCACGGCTGGCACTAGATGGCCGCCTGCAACCGTCGCGGACGCGCGCTGTGTGACTTGGAAGTATAGCGGGACGGAGAATAGCATGCCCAGCTGGCTGGTGATCTGGAGGAACCCAACCATATAACTGGATGCCACGTTTGGGCGGGCAAGAATCCGAAGATCGAAGATAGGCTCGGCTGCGGCGCGTTCCGCCCAGACGAAGAGCATAAGTGATGCGATACCGACACCGCCCAGCAGGAAGGAAGGCAGTGAGATCCATGGGAAGGCATGGCCACCTCGATCGAGGAGCATGATGATGGCCACCACGGATGCTCCAAGGAGTCCCGCTCCCAGGAAATCAACGCGGCGGATCGAGGCTTTCGATGTTGCGTGGTATGTGATGTTCAGCTTGGCAATCACCAAAAGACCACCGAGGGCGATGAATGGGATCTGGAGTAGAAACAACCTATTACAAGAGCAAAACCAGTGTTAATGAAATTCTTAAAGGTTTGATTTGCAAACGTACCAGCGCCATCCGATGGCGTCCGTAAGCCATCCACCAACAGGGCCTCCGACACTCCGACCTAAAGTCATGGCGATATTGATATAGGCTCTCCACGAGGCGACCTCACGTCGGGGGACAATATCTGCAAAGCAATTGAGTCACAAGCACTCCCATTATGATCCTTAAACGCATACCAGTGATAATAACCGAGCCAAGGGTCATGATACCAGCACCTCCGATACCACTGACTGCTCGGCCGAGGATGACCGTCCAAAGATCCCGACCGACGCCCCTGAATAACCACTTGTTAGTATATGAGATCAACACCACGGTATAAAGAACCTACGAGACAAGGCAGCCCAAGCCAAACAGAACGTATGCCACAAGTAGAAGCGCTTTCCGTCCATATATATCGCTCAGCTTTCCGTACATCGGTTGCGCAGCACATACCCCCAGGGTATACCCCGTCGACAACCAGCTGGCATCCTGAAGCTTGTTGAATTCGGACGACACTTTTGCCGTCGCAGCCATAACTAACGTGCTATCCGCATTTGAGATAAATTCGCCTATCACAAGTCAGTCGCCTAGTCCCGTTCATCCGGTCAAGATGGGTTCCAACCGAGTAGTAAGACGGCGACAATGGTGCTGACACTAGTCGAAAGCTTTACTTCACGCTCGTCATTTGCGGTCGGAGGGGAAAGCAATGCACTTTCCTCGTCAGCACCGTAGCCATTTGGCTGTCTATCGCTGTCCTTTGAGATAGCCTGGTAATGAGACACCGTCCTGTCTCCTCCCTCCTGAGAGGAATCGAGACGAGCTACTGCATCTGCATCGACGACCATAGCTGCAGAGTCTGAATGATGTCTATCTAGACCTCAATGTAACGAGGAATGAAGGGAAATAAGTATTTTATCATTACGACAGCTTGGGCTAGCTCAATGGCGCAATTGCCGAAAGCCGTGCGTCCCTGGCCCTAAGCTTGTCTCTGGCCATAGAAGCTGCTTGACACTATTGGGGCGTACTCAAATAATAACTTTCGCTTCTCCTTACTGGGTACTTAAAAGGAGCTATCTAGCAGGCGAGATTGAATGCCCACCGATTTCATACGATGGGCGCCAATCAGTCGCGTGGAATTGCCTTGCTCATCGGATACCGGAAGCACGTCATATCAGATATGGATGACTGATCCACCGACTCCGATATCGACCTGTATACTACATTGACGTTAGAATAAAGTCGATTGCAGTTTCAGATTTTATCCACAAAGGAATTTAGCTACGGTGACATTGGGCTTTGCACGATTAGTGGCATTTGAAGGGGGTGCGCTCGGTGGGGATGTCGAACATTCTTCGGGGCTGATTATATATTTTGGACCGTTTGAAGGGCGACTGGGTCTAACTTGATAAGCGAACGTATTATACTAACTCAAGAAATATGAGTGAAAAAAATTAAATAAAAATAAAAATAATAAACTAACAATAAATAAATACAAATTTCTTCCGTCAAGAAATAAAGACGTATTTCCCAACAATTGGCAAGAGACAAGGCCACATAACTACTGTCCGATACTTTTGTGCGAGAACATCCGTTCTCCAACATTTTCAGGTAAAAATTTGAATATCCACAATAGGGCTGTCCACTGCCTAGAATGTCTAGAAGCCTAGAGCTGAACTAATCAATACCCACTGTGAAAGCGAACGAGAGCCGAGTCTAAACAATAGGATAGACTGAGTTCATCCGAACCATGGAAAGGATCCGGTCGAGGCTCAAATTTCATGGACGCTCACCTAAGGTTCGGGTTATTTACCCCTTGGAGAGTTGGAGAATATAGCCCCTTTCGTTGTGAGTTTTGCCTTTGTTTCAGTCTATGTCTAAATACTGGCGATCAGAGCTGTTGATAACCTTGTAGAAGCGGCATGATCATTGTCTATCACTGGTGACTATTGAAAATCCGACCAATATATCGGGAAGTGGCCGAGTCCCAAAGCTCGGCGCTTCGGAGATCTGTGGCAACGCGAAACCTCTGGCGGCGATCAACCATGGATCACTGGTCAAATTCGGCAATGATATTCAGGACCCATCAGGTACAATGTCAGGAACAGGCAGAGATGTGAAGTCTGAAGTTTAAGCTCGGCAATAACGGCGGCTAATCGGGTGATGTATCACGAATGGGTCTCCAGTTTCAAGAATGGGGCTTTGCTCCATTCTTTGCATACCAGGGATGTGACAGGGCCATCTGATCGATTCCAGAATGCCTGAGGGCATATGCACCCCTGGTTCCTTGTTGCCTGCACACTTACGTGTTTTTTCGTCTCCCTTGGCCCCTGCATTAGTGGGGGTCTATTTTTTTTTTTGAAATTTTCCGGCGTTATAAGAAGCAGGGACACAGCCATGGCTGCTGACTGCTGACCTATCTCGTCCTGTCCTCCATATCTCAATTCGAAAATGTCGCCCTCATCCCGGTCGCTTTTGGCCCCCTTGCTTCTGGCGACATGCGTGTCCGCACAGAGCGCCGCCATCACCCGAGCAGAAACCGCTCTCACCACGCTGCAGACATGGTATAACGCATCCACAGGTATGTGGAATACTTGCGGGTGGTGGAACGGGGCCAATTGCATGACAGTGTTGGCGGACCTGGCGCTAGTCGATGACTCTGAGTCGGTCAACAACACTGTGAAAGAAGTCTTCGCAAACACCTTCAGCGTCGGGCCCGTGTCGAACCCGTATCCCGAGCGGAATAATGATTCATACTATTCCAGTGCCGTGAGCACAAAGCGGTCTGTAGACGCCACGCAATGGATTGATGGTTCCTACGATGACGATGCATGGTGGGGACTTGCGTGGATCGCTGCGTACGATGTGACAGGAAGCCAGAATTACTTGGATTTGGCCGCTGGGATTTTTGAGCATTTGGTACGGACTTCCTTCTTTTCTTTCGCTAAGAATGGTGGCTAACAATTGGCCGTTCAGAGTCAAGCTTGGCCATCGAAATGTGGAAATGGAGGAATCGACTCCGATTTTACACATGTTTACGTGAATGCCATTACAAACGAGCTTTTCTTCTCTCTCGCTGCGCATCTGGCCAACCGTGCCTCTGATCGCGATTACTACGTCGACTGGGCTCGACGACAATGGACGTGGTTCAAGGACAGCGGGATGATCAACGCAAACAACACCATCAACGATGGATTATCGAGCGATTGTAAGAACAACGGGGGAACAATGTAAGTGTTGACCATTCAACATTCCATGCACGCATTATGGGACCTGAAGACTAACAATGCCGGAACAGCTGGTCTTACAACCAAGCGGTCGTTCTAGGAGGTCTCGCCGAACTGGACCGAGCAGTCTCTAACGAATCATACGTGGGTGCCGCAGCAAAGCTTGCCAAAGCGTCAATCGCGTATCTGGCGGACGAGAACGACGTCATCCATGAGTCGTGTGAGCCAGACAGCTGTGACAGCAACGACACGCAGTTCAAGGGGATCTTCATCCGGAACTTGAAGCTGCTACACTCTGTCGCCCCGGACGATGCGTACGTCAAGGTAATCAACGCGTCTGCCACCAGCATCTGGCAAAACGATCGGAATGCGCAGAACCAGCTAGGTGTGGACTGGGCTGGCCCCGTCTCTCAGGTGGATGCTTCGACACATAGCTCTGCCATGGATGCGCTGGTTGCTGCGATTGGGATTTGATTTTAGAATTTTTCACTTGATTGAGTCAAGGCGTTCGGCACATAGATCGTTAGATTTGCATATCTGCTCTGGAAAGCAGGGTAAAACTCATTAGCTTCTTTACATAGTTTTTTACATCATATTGCATAGCGCAAATACCACAAAAATTCAAATGAGGAACAAAAGGAGAACAAAGCGCATTCTTGCTGTTTGACGGGTTTGTTCGTAGCACATGGATCGCACTAAACCATTTCAGGATCAGGCGGTGCTGAGGGCGGTGGAGACGTTCTGTCCGGCACTATTGAGGCATCGCAGGCACAGCAAGATGTATACTTGGCATGTCTGGGTAAATGCTCACCCTCTTGAACGCATTTCAACCCCGCCTTCAGTACTATATCTTTCTTGTCAATCTGCCCGAGATCCTCCACGATCCCGTCCCACTTAGCGTACGTCGCGATGGCACAGCCGCTCCGGGAATCCACCAATATGACCCACTCCGGAGATGGGATCAACGATCCACCAGCGAGTAGGCCAGTGATCTTCTCTCGTGTCCCAATGCGACAGCCCTTGGCCGACATTCTCTGTTGCAATATGCGCCCAATCAACTATGCGTAAGAGCCCATCACTATCTTCCGCAGTACGACATGTCCACGACGCGCTTGGCAACCCACGGCCGCTGCCGAGTGATTTCCCGTCAGGATAAGTAAGCTGTATAGGCGCGGCCCAATGGCAGAAGATCTGTTTGTACAGAGGACATTGCGTAAATTAGCCGACCGGGAATTAATCTGCATGGCCCAAACGCCACGCGTAGATTAAATACTATGGTCTTGAAGAAGATGCCGTGGCAGTTTCTATGGGCTTGGATGATGAAGCCTTGGAACCGGATCTCGCACATTCTAATGAGCATTTAGAAAATTGCAGTTCAATCTAACCCAACCGGTGCAGTGATTGCTTTTCGTATGCACCTTAGCGTCAAGTGGGATGCGCTTGAGCGTAGATAGTAAGTAACGCGAGACTAGCATGACGTACACAATGGGGGGAGGCTAAGAAGCCCACAAGTGATAAGCGTGATTTTCAACGCGCTCAATAGGCTCCCTTACATTCTCGGCGGCCACATAAACCGAAAACGCATATTGAAGAGCACACATGCTCTCCCTTGCAAACTCGTCGCCCCGCAGATATAGAGGGGATGATTGTAGCAGGTCAGCCTCCATTGCGTTGGGGAATGGATCCTCAAACGTTATCACAAGCCGTTCCGGTTAACGGTTTGAAGACATCTCGGACGCAAAACGTAGAGAAGATGTGCGAGGTGATTCTGTCAACTCGCTCATCCGGGGAGGGTAGTATGAGCCCTTTTGAAAAGGTGAGTTGACCGTCAAGTACGAGGACATTGACGGTGCGGGTACGCCTTATCGAACGTACTCAGACTCAGGAGCTGGGGTCACATCGTATAGCCAGCGGATATAGTCGTATATCCAGTATTGTTTAGATTATGTTTGAGTCAGTATTTGTTTGGATGATATGAGAACCACGGTTGCTCGTGGCTTTGAAACATGGATTCCTCGTCTTTCCACGTGGCCACCACCGAGTTACGTACAGTGCATACGGAGTTCTATCTGCAAAACTACGTAGATATTTATATAGCAATGAATAATCCATCTACTTCAATACTCTCGTCTTTCTGCTACCTGCGCTAATTTTCTTCCTCTTCAACGTAGATTACTGCAATGGGCTCACCTGGACATGATCTATTCTGACTCAGGATCACCTGATCACAATTGATATCACTTTTTTGAAAGGACAACGGAACTTGCTCATCTTCACCACCAAGCTCAATGCCGTTAGCCTGTCATGTTGTTTTGTCATTCCACTCTTGGCATGCTATATGCGTTCCCCACTTGCATACTGGTTGTAGACCTTGGCGCAGGCATAGCGTACTAGGACATAGTGCTGCGAGGTCAAGGAGCAAGGGCCCTCACGTTAGTATGCTCAAAAAGTTCTGACGAGTCTCACAAGACCCACAAACATGCTTGTTGCGAATTATTCAAGAAGAACCCCGTTTCGCTAGCGCGACAGAATATGATGGCGCCACGTAATTTGTGGGGACTTGGCTTGGAACGAACCACACGGAGAAGGCATGAGATCATCCACCCATGCATAAGCGAGGATTCTCTTCGGAACACTCGAGTCCAGGGAGGATGTGCTCAGCCCTAGCTGCAGTCGAGCTCAACTTAGGTAAAAGCTTAATAGATCTGCTGTATTTTACCCCCTTGACTCCCCCGCGCAGGATTGTGAGCTGGTGTGGAAATGACAGAAGATCCTCCACGACGCAGGAAACGCGGGAGGCGGTCGATGACGGGATGCCGCACCTGCCGGTAAGAAAACGACCGACGCATGGGTAAACCTCGGCTAATCTTGGGCACAGCGCGCGCCGCATCAAATGCGATGAAGCTCCCACCCAATGCAACAACTGCGCCGCCGCAGGACTGAAGTGCGAGGGTTATGACTTGTGCCGTTTGCCAGTCAAGAGGAAGAGCGCGCTGGGCCGCATTCCAGAAGTGGAGCTGTGCCTGGCCTGGGTGCCGACCGCGGACGAGAGACGGTGCTTCTCCTATTTCCAATATCGCTCCATCCCAAGCCTGGCCGGATTCTTCGATTCCCAGTTATGGCAGCAACTCGCTCGGCAGATGAGTCGCGCGACCCGGCCGTGTACCATGCCGCGAATGCGCTAAGCGCCCTCCACGAAGACTCCGAGACGACCAAGCTGTTGCTGGTAGGCGAAAACCTCCGGCGACCCCTACATCGGTTCGCGCTCGAACAGGCTAGCAGATCGTTTGCCCTCCTCAACCGACGATGTGCTTCTCAGGATCCCGAACGCCTCGAAATCGTACTGCTATGCTGTCTGCTCTTTATTCTCGCCGAGTTGCTATTGGGACAGTATACCAGAGCGCTGCAGCATTTGCAAGGTGGTCTCCGGATATTGAAGGAGGCACCGCACACCTCGAAACAGCGTATCCCCCATTGCGTTATCCAGGCATTTCGGCAGTTGGACGTCCAGTCTGCGCATTTCGGATCCGGCCCATTCTTATTTGCGAACGACGGCCTCAAGGAACTGTCCGACGCGGACTTCGTTCGCCCCCTCCACAATCTAGAAGAGGTACGGCGCAATATGAATTCCTTGCTACTTGCTGGTATCCATTTCCTCGCCAATCGCTGGCGGCTTTCCAGTGCCCAGGTCCAGGCCAATTACAGCAAGTTATGCCTCAGGCAGCAGCGGCTTCTGTCCCTATATACTCGTTTCCGCCACCAATTCGAGACATTCTACGATCGCTATTATCCTAGTTTGAGTTACAGGAGGCAGCAAAGCGCGGATATCGTTCGATTACAATATCGTAGTCAGCTCGTCGCGATCAAGACTTGTCTTATGAAGAAACCTGTGCCTAAGGACTTGATACCCGAATATGAGGCTCTCCTGTTAGCCCATGAGGCATACATGGCCAAGTTCCCGGAACGTCCGACGATTACCCTGGACTTAGGAATTATTCCAGGGCTTCATACGGTGGCTGTTAATTGCCCGCGATATTCCCTCAGACTCAGAGCAATCAAAGCCTTACTTGCCTGGCCCCATTATGAAGGTATCATCAGCTCGACCTTCGCCGCTTCGATAGCCATCGTGTCTCTAAAGGCGGAATTGGAGGCCACAAACCAGCATATATCCTCTATTATCGGTGAGCCAGAAGAGGAACTTGCTCGGTATCTATTTGACACGGTGACGTCTACACAGAATATCCCTAACTGGACAACTGTCCGCGCTTCTCGATTCTTGGAGCATTACAAGGAAACAAAACCATCGCCTACCCCTGAAAGTGAGCAGAAGTCCGAATCCAATCGACAGAAGAAACTAGTATATCGCTAGTCAAGTATGGACGTTGACAGCACATGTACTGAAAGTGCCATGCGTTGCGAAGTCTGTCTACAGTTTGGCCTGGATGCCTTTCTCCAGCTCTCTCTGAGCCTGCTCGCGGAGCGTCTTGCGTAAAATCTTCCCTGATGGATTTCTGGGAATGGCATCGACGCAGACTACCCCGCCAGTGATCCGTTTGATGGGCGACACCTTGCCATCGATGAACTGCACAATATCCTTGGCCGAAGCGGCTTGACCGGGCTTGAGCACAACGTAGGCGCGGGGCCGCTCATCGTTGTTGCTATGTTCACGTTAGCGTTTGCTGCAAAGACGGACATGCCATAGAGAAACAAGAAGGATGTACGTGGTAATTCCGATCACAGCGGCATCTGCGACGGCTGGGTGTTCCAGCAGTAAGGCCTCCAGCTCAGCGGGGGCAACCTGATTGCCCTTGACCTTGATCAACTCCTGTACCATAATTGTCAGCTAAATTTCTATACTGGTCACACACAGTGCCCACCTTCAGCCGATCTACAATGTGAAAATGGCCGTGGTCGTCAACGAAAGCAACATCGCCCGTCTTGAGCCACCCATCTTTCGTCTTCGTTGCTTTGGTGGCCTTCGGATTCTGCCAGTATCCCTTCATGACATTCTGTCCGCGCAACCACAACTCTCCGCGCTGGTTGCGTTCTGTGAGTTCAGTCACCCCGTCCTCCGCCATGATTTTCGCCTCGCAGCTGGCGTTTAGCTCCCCGACAGCAGCCGAGAAACCCTTCTTCCGGGGATCCCAATTCATGATCGAACAGGTGGTTCTGTTATAGACACTCATGAGCATCTCCAACTGTATCACAAACGACAGGAAGCCTTACTCAGTCATTCCATAACCTTGCCTGATATTCACCTTCCCCGGAGGCCACAGAGCCTGCACCTGCTCACAGACCTCTCTGCCCAACGGCGCGGCGCCACACCCTATATCCTCCACGCTACTCAGATCAAACTGCTTGACCGCCGGGTGTTTGGCCAAGGCCACCACGATCGGCGGCACGAGCACATAGTCTGTAATGCGGTATTTCTGCGTGTACTCGAGCATCTGGATGAAGTCGAATTTCGGCATGATATACACTGGCGTGTTCAGGGCCAACGTGGCGGCGATCATAATCATCTGAGCCATGGCATGGTACAACGGCAAGAAACATAGACAGCGTTTGCGAGCCTTCTTCTCCTCATAGTTCGGGTGAAGGTGTTCAATGTACGTGAACTGCAGCATGTTGGCGACGTAGTTCTTGTGGGTAATTTCCACGCCCTTGGGGTTTCCCGTCGTACCGCTCGAGTAGTTGAGCGCGAGCGTCCGATCTGCCAGCTCGGGTGTCCGCAGCTCGTCCCACGCAAATCCCGCGCCTTCTTCTGGCGTTGCTACCAGCTCCCCCCAGTACCGACACCCCTTTTCCCCGACCCCCTGTCCATCGTACAGCGTGTTGTCGAACACAAATACCCTGTCCCGGCTCATGCCAACTAGTCTAGCTGCCTCAAGCGCCGTGTCGAGGCTGGCTCGCGCGCAGATCAGATACGTCGCTCCGCTGTCCTTGAGCTGGTAGGCGAGCTCGCGCGGCACGAACATCGGGTTCGCGCCCGTGAAAATGCCCCCGGCCATGATGATGCCCATGAACACCACGGGGAAGAACAGGTCGTTGCCGGAGAACATCAGCACGCGGTCCCCCGGGCGCAGACCCGACTTTCGTAGTCCGGCCGCGAACCGCTGGCTCCAGAGCCGGAAGTCATGGGTCGTGAAATAGTGCGTGTCGGCGCGTTCGGCGTCCAGGAAACATCTATCGGTCTTGGATAGGGGTGCGGTGGGGGAGGTCAGTAGCTGTGATGCTAGGTGGGCGTTGGGGACATCGATCCGCCAGCGGGATTTGTACGGCATGGTTAGTGTAATATTGTATGGCAGGGATAGGGGATGGATGTACTCCGTATGGAGAAAAGAGGTACCTTTGGGCGAAGGTAGTGGTTTAAATATGTGTCCCCTCCCAGGGGTCTCGCTGTCTTTCTTTGTCTTCCTACAGGGATCTGGCGTTGCTCCAATGCCGATGGCTGCCTATATTATACCCTCTTAAGTATTACTTGGTGATTTACAACGCGACTATTACAGGGGGGCCACGATCTGTACCGAGAAGCTCAGATTTGAGTAGTTGGTAGACAATTTAACCCAACAGTCATGATGTTGGTCGTGAGGCTGAATTCAGCAAACGCTGAATGTCGACGCCAACGGAATACAACTCAGCCTCGCCAGAAGCTGGAAGATGAGCAGTGTGCCAAGATGCCAGCCCCAATAAATATCGATCTCTTTGTTCTCTTATGCAGGGATGCCGACCTCGTTGGCATAAGCACTAGTCCTCTCTAGTGATATGGCTCCAACGCCGTCTAGCCGTCTCTTTTGTTAAAATATCGCGAGCTAGCAGTATTGTTACGTAGTTGACCGGCCTTCTACCCTGAAAAGTAGATCTCTTTTGCCAACCAATACTGGCTAATCGAATACAAAAACCCAGGAAAATGCGTTAGAACGTTAATTAGATCTCAAATAAAATTTTCCGTGGGAACAGGGTCGATCGGTCCAAAAATAACCCTATTGAGGGGTAAGGACTAGGATTGCTAATAGGACATCTTGGCAGATCGCATGCTGTTCTATCTTCCCCATCGCATATAGCCTTCGCCAGGCTCGTTTTCCAATACAAGGCTGTACTACCGCTGGAGAGAAACACTAAAAACCTGATCGGAAACAAGTGAACTGTTGGAAATACTGAAAGTATTGAACAAGCCGCGAGAACATTTAGGGATATGGTACGAGCTGTTAAACAGTTATACTAGATATTTATTTAGGTATTAACAATGCTAATAAATAATTATTATTACTATTATCTTTTTTTGAATATCTGCCCGCACCCCAACGACATAAGTCTCGGGCAAAAGACTACATGGTGGCATTAGTATTTGTGGCTTCGAGTACCTCCCATGAAGTTAGGCGCTTAGAGTCTCAGGTATAGTATGGAAGATCAAGGAAAACGTTAACAAGGACGTATACTTGCGGCTCCATGTAGTTCATAGTGAATTAGGTGTTGTAACAGTGACTCAGATACAGCCAATGTTTCATAAATTTTACCATAGCCTTTAATATACATCAATCTTGAGCACTAACCCCCAATGATTCCAGCAGATATGATGGTATCCACCCCTGGAAAATATATGCCAGCTTGATCTTTGAAGAAACAGTTTCCATCTTGTCCACCATCAAACGAGGATGTCAAATTGGCCGAATAAGTTACACCTTTGCAATCATCCTTGTTGGAGTCAAGGCAGGTGTTGATGCATTCCTGTATAGAGTACACAGTCGCGCGACCAATATCACTGACTTTCCCCTTGCCATTCATGGCTTGAATGCCCCTGGGCCAATCAACACCACACAAAACCGTAAACGCAGAGCCCGTTGACCCTGTAACTATAGTTTGATTGATTCCTGGGCACGGGTTAGCGGCTATGCCACTTGTGCCAGATGTAACCGGAGCAGAAGAAGTTGCCGAAGCCGTTATCGATCGCTCAGAGTGAGTAGCAGATGTAACTGGATCGGATGAAGTTGTGTAAACTGTCGTCGACGCGGGTGACGGTGGGCTGTTGCTCTTTTTCGCTGCGATTGAGCCACCCACTCCTCCACCAATAGCGCCACCAATAATGAACGCTGTGGTTAACGCGAATAATATCCAGAAACCGGTTCTTGGTAGGCCGCAAATTCTACGCTGCGGACTCTGCTTTTCCGGAAGATGCTCGATCGTATACGGAGTGTTTGCTGCGCTATTGTGCGCAATCTCCGGAGGTACATACTGGAGACCGGCGGCGTCTCCATTATATTCCAGGCCTTGGAATCGCGCGACTTCAAGCCTTCGGCACTGTGCCTTCTCTCCATGGACCCCGCCCGTCTTGCTGTCCGTGACCGTATGTCACCCTAGAAACCGGTCGGTTTATTCCGTCAAGGCCGCTTGTATGAAGGCTAAAGGGTTGATGCCCTCCAGAAACAACAACATCCAAAACGAGGATTCCTCAATTTATCCTGGCGGAGTTGATTATGAAGATCCACCTCAGACTGTCGGGATTCAAAACCCCGGAGGTGGGTTTGGACCAAAAGCTATATGAATCCACTCTCTGGGTAACACAGCGACCTGAGCGCTACACTCGATTTGTAGACGCTTGTGCTTCTCCAAGTTAAAACTGTGTGGTCAAGAAATAGCTAATTCATGCGAGTCGGGGGCGGGGACGTGGTGGATGAGAATGACCCAGGGGCGAGCGAGGATGAATAACAGGACAGATTCATGGCTTACAATTGCAGGGAACAAGATGGCTATAAGGAGAATCCGGCCCCTGCATCTCAGGGAAATGAGGTGTTTGGCGCGAGACACCGCTGGTCCAAACTGACTAGGGTTTCCTCCAATCCGCCAGCCTTATTAGGGCAAACCCCTGCCCGGCGATACGCCCGGTGGTTCACCAATGCACTTCGCCATCGTCCAGTCGGCAAGCTGCATGATTAGTTTGTCGGAACAGATGCAATGTAACATTAGCATAATTTCTCTGGCAAGGCAGTTTTCGACCCCGGAATAAGTAGTAACAAGTGATAAGCTTAAAAATAGAGTGAGCGATTCCAAGCGTAGGTTAAAAATAATGGTTACGAATTCCACAACTAGATATTAGAAATTGTAGGTCTATGGTAGTATATATCATACATACTGTCTGCAAAGTAGTCATCTAACTATAAACGCCAGGTCCGTCCAGCACATAATTACTTGAGAGAGTACCCATAGGTTCATTGATAGTAAAGCTACTATACACGTAATACAGCAGTTGAGGATATTAAATTGTCATTAGAAATTCGTATATATTTCTCTAACAACCCGATTAAAAATAGATATCGGCGTCTTGTTGTATGTACATACGACATGATAAATTATGGTTCATGAGCGAAGTGATAAAACGTAGTCTCACAAGGGCTTAGAGGCCAGCAGACCATCGCCAGTGACTTTTATTCTGGCCCGTCCCCATTTCAGTGCTTGGCCTCTCGATCTTTATTACGATCGTACCTGAATGCAACAATAGTCGGCCACAACTGTAACAGCACAGCCCCCACCATCAAACTCCCGGCAAACACCTGGGACCGAACAAAGTTCTTGTGCTCAAGATCGACCAATGCGCCCGCAATGGGTGCCCCGGCCAACGATCCGAAGGAACTGATTCCCCACATCATGCCCATGCGAGTGCCTAGGTAGTTCTTGTCCGGGGTGAAAACGGGGTGCGCGACGATGGCGGTCGGTGCGGTGACCAGGACCCCACTCAAGAAACCCCAGTAACAGGCCCAGACAATGAATCCCGCCGTATTGCTCGTTGCAATCCAGGTGTACATGGCAATTGCCGATGCAGTGGTGCACGAAATCAGGACAAATGCTGTGTTGACACGAGAGCCCAACAGATAAGGGACGGTTCGTCCGAATGCCGAGGCTCCATTGATGATGGACACAAGGTAGAAAGACAGGTTCGTTTCCGTGTTCAGTTTCACCCGTGCGTAGGTGGCAACGTAGAAAATCGGAACGTAGTAAGCGAGCATCACGCAGGTGAGGGATACCGATAGGAGCATGAATGTTGGCTGTTTCAAAGCTTTCCACTCAACTAGACTTCGCGCACGGGTTTTCTTTCGCGGATGGCGACACAGGATCAAGCACGCGATAATGGCCATGAATAGATTGATAAACCCAATGCAGCGGACTGCCCAAGGGAATCCAATGATAGGTTGCAGGCGACGAAACATAATTGGGAAGATGACGCTGCCAACGCTCGACCCGATGGATGCACAGCCGACTGCCACGGCTCGTTTCGTTGTAAATGAGGAGGATAACACCACCATGGCGGGGATGTACGAGATTCCTCCACCTAATCCCGTACAGAAGGCTTGTGATAAGAGTACCTGTGGACTAGGATTAGATTTCATGCGATGTATACGGGTGCATGTACTGCAGATAGGGTCGTACCTGATAGTACTCGGTCGCCAGACTTGTCATCATCATGCCAAATACGATGAGAAAACTGCCAGACAAAATTAGTATACGCAGATATCCGGCGTCGACCATTGGCCCCGTGACCATTCCCACCATGGGGATCAGAGTGGCTTGGATGCTACCGATCCATGAGATCGCCGAGGAGGATTGGTCGCGCAGCAGTACGGTTCGATAATACTCCTGAAACGCACCAAATGTGGTGATTAACCCCCTTCATCAGTCGGTCAGTATACCTATCCGACTGTGTTGAACCTCGACATTATTGGCTAAAGCATACCAGGTATTCACGAAAACACAGAACGCCGCGGCTACATTGAGCCACGAATTCACACCTCCGTTGGGAGGTGGCTTTTCTTGTTCTGCACTGTCGCGGGCGGATACATCCTCGGGCGCTTGTTCGGTCTGTTGCTGGCGTTGATCGGGATACTGGCCGTGATCATCGTTTCGGGAGGTTTGCCCGGACAATTTCTCTTGCATTCCCATGTCTGTCACTGGGCATACTTGGGGAAATTTCCGAGAACCAAGAAAAAGTTGTCGGACATTCACATTTATGTAATTATTGGCGGGAATGATTCCGTGTCCCCGCAGCGGAGGTTCCCGACTGTCATTGCTTCCCCGTGGGGTCTTTTCGTGGTCTTTGTTTCTGTGCATTTACCGAATTTTGTCGCCGGCGCTCATCCTTCGGCACGCTTTATCCGAGAGCTCTTATGCTTGCACGTGGGGCCAGGTGACTAAACGCTTTTCCGTCCCTTTGTTCATCTCGCAGCCACACCAAGGTTCCATTGTATTGTCTCTGCCACTGGACCTTCAATCCAAGTCCTATAACATCTCTCGCTATCGTCCCAATCACGACGAGTGTGTCCACCAAACGATCCAATGAACAACCAAACAGACCGAAACGGTGAGCTCTGATGTGACCAACTCTGCTCATGACGCCATACGCCAACACGCTGGACTTCCTCTGCATACCCTGTTTTCGAGACCATTGAAAGAGATGCTGACACTCTTGGCGCAACGATCACGCTCTTCCGGGGAAATTCGGGTGGTCTTAAGTTTGAGTGAGATTGCGTCTTGGCATTGACTGGTCTGATTCGAAATACTAGAAGACGACGTGTATCACTGGCCCTGTTTCACATCATTATGATTGTCAACACTGGGTGTGATCGCAATTTGACTATCACACAGCAGGACGCCGAAGTAGAGACAGACTTTAGTCTTCCATTATGGTCCCAAACACGGCGCTGCAGGCGAGGGTGCTTTAATATGCTGAAGCTCAACCTTGATCTCTTCCAAAACTCGAATCTCCCGTGCTGCGTTGGCACCATCCTCTCGTCTCACACCCATGGTGACATCGCTATGGGTTTGATTTCCAGCGCCAGGCTGCACACTCCATGGGCCCAGGATCTCATTGTATTTGGATGCCCGGACCCAGCCTCTTTTGCTTGAACGGCGAGGCCGAGGAGTCAAACTCGAAAATCCGAAGCCTCGAGCGAAACTTCGACTCAGGGCAATCTTTAGAATCACGCGCATGGTGGGAAGACACGTACAGACAATGCCGAGGGAAACTTCGATAATGGACCATATGAATCCGCGCCCATAGTAATATGTTACATCCCAATTGCCGATGACGAGCACTGATGAAAAGAGTCGCACGAGGGCTGCACCGCAATCACTAACGAAAATGACATGTTAGCCACATCTAGTCCTCAATTAGGCTCTCATGGGGCGGAAGGGCCCCTACATCAGGCCAAGAACGAAGATGAGCGTCAGAGCAATCTTCTGTGAGGTCGGAAGCTGCAGCTTCCACATGTTCGGGATGGGCATGAGCCACACTGCCAGGTCGGTGATGATGTTCACAATGGCATATCCGATGGCAAAATCCCTAAATGAAATGCATTGCCCCTGGCCGGTCCAGAACCCACTGATTGGTATGCAGTTGAAGATGGCTAGGAAGATCGTGATGATGGTCCACACACTGATAATTGCACCGACAGCATACACGATTCTGAGGAACTGAGATGATATGAAGATTCGGCGATATAGCAGTAAAAGCGACAACTTCACGGTTGGCGGGCCGAGAATATAGAAAATCTGGAAGTAGTACAACAGTTGGAGAAACACGGGGATATTGTCTTCTGAAACTACCTCTCGGTGCCTTCCAAGTCCATATTCCCTGCCTAGATGACATCGATGATTGTGAGTAACAATACCAATTGTTGTGACAGAGGATCCCATACATGCAATGAAGAAGCCGTACAACGCCCAGTCAAGCAGCTGGCCAATGTCAGCCAGTATCCCAAGCAAAGGCAGAGTTTGTATTTACCAGTGCGACACAGATTGCCCAGTCATCAGCGGCCAGAGGTAAGTTCTTCAGCCTTCTTGCGGCAAATCTCGCAATGACCGCGAGAGTCGCCAGTCCGATGAATGTACTGTTAACAACCCAAAGCAACACGCCCCGGTCCTCATAAACTGAAGCGTTGTCAGCCTGCATTTTGACAATGAAACGACCGAGGATCTTCCTCTAACTGGAGGTCCCCGACGATCTTTTGTTGGGTCAAGAAGCCGTTGGCAGAGAGGAAAATCACTTTCGCTCATTGCATGATCTTATCCAATTTCGCGGTACGGCACAAATTTTCTATCAGTTCATAATAGCGTTAGATTCTTTGCACAGGCACCGAGATAGTGTGATGCATTAGCATATTCCTGGCCGAAGTTCAATGCCCACAGCTTGCCCGTTGATTGGAGTGAAAGGGCGCTAGCAAGAAACTACCCGGTGGATCCTGATCGTTCGGCTGCTTCACGTTGCGCTATGTAGATGGTCTGCATGGATAGGGCAGAGATCCTGATCCTGTGCCAAGACGATCAACCGGCCTTGAGGCTGTTGATGGTATCGAAGATCGGTGTGCGATTAGCTAACTTAAACAGTACCCACCGACTACCTTTGGGAGATATCGGCCCAACGTGAATACGAATGAAGTAACGCTGTCCCACTGCGGAATGGCGATAAGAGGACGATGTAACGTGACGTTATAAATAAAATATCTGTACATCCACGATACTGCCCATGTGGTTTCCCTCGGTCACACCGGTGTTCAGATCAGGCCTCAGCATTGCTTTATGTGTAAGCTTAAGTGCAGATATCGATAGCTCCAGCAGGCTCCGTTGCGAAAATGGAACCCATCGAAGAGATGCCTTCCTGATGAGAAATTTTCCAGGGGATGCAGGCAACACGCGATGGCTCTCTTGCACGTGGAGATTCCCCTCTACCTTTGTCACCTTCTTGACTCCCCAACCGGGTGGCCGAGATTCCTCGGCAGCTTCTATCCCCTTCGAGGATGTCCATCACGGAAACCTCTGCTGAGAATTTGGTGGTCTCTCGCGCTGCGGGGGACCTGACTTCCACCGCGGTCACAAATGTGCTCCTGCGACGTGCAGCAATTGCCCCAAAGGAGGTGAGCAAGGGGTTAAATTTGCCGTACATCATTTTCCCGGTCTTCGCTAATGTCATATGCCTTATATAAACCAATTACATCTATGAGGTCCTCCCCGAGCGTGCTATTCTCGCGGGAAAACAGCTGGACAACTGCTTGGTCGAACATGGAAAGCCAATGGGGCCGTTGCAAGGCTTACCGATTAGTTTTAAAGCAGATGTATGAATTGCTGGACGAGACAACACGACTAGCTTTGTCGTCTGGGTTGGTCAAAAGATTAGGGAGGACGCGAACATCGTGAAAATTCTCCTCGACGCGTGTGTCGTACTGTATGCAAGAAAGGCGCAGCCGTTGGGTTTGGTATGTTGTTCAATGCTCAGAGCAACAGGACCACTATCGACGAAAAGCATAGATGGCGCTTGAAACCTGCAGTCACATCACTGGAGAACTGTTCATTCACATAATACGGCCCTATCTGTGCGCGGTTCATCGGGGTTGAGTTGGCGTTGCAAGCGCTTTATGGCAGCCCCCATGGAATTGGATCGGATATTGGCATGCCACCAGCCATCATCATTAATATTAACCTCACATCATTGAAGCCAGGCCGTTGCGCAGGTGGCAGCATCCGATCTCCTCTTCGAACTGCGGGCTCTACCGCCTCAAGCCAACAAATGGCCGCGTTTAATTGATTGGATGCACCGCATATGTGATCCGCTGTTAAATAACCCTCGGAACCTTAGGACTACTTTCACCTACCATAGGAGGAATTAAACTGTTTATGAGGACTATACTGGCCGCTAAACCTTGCACCAGTGACCCTTCGCTACACCAAAATTCATGGCGTGATAACGAACCTCATATCTACCGAGACAGAAAGAAAAGCATTACCGTTGGATTGGTCTGGGATGATGGTGTCGTGAAGTCTACACCACCAGTAGCAAGAGCGCTGCAAGAGACAGTTGAAAGCTTGAAAGCCTTGTCCTCCGATGTCGAGGTCATCGAGTGGAAGCCTTACCAACAGAGAGAAGGATCAGAGAGCCTGGTAAGTGTACCCGAGGAAACCAAATTTGTTGCGGGATTCTCCACCGCAAAACGAGGACCAGTTGGCGAACATAGCGATGAAGACGAGATTTTATACCCCCGACGGTGGTAAGGCATTCGCCAAAAACCTCGCCCTCTCGGGAGGGTCTTGCTTGCCGCTCTTGGCATGCACGCTGCGAGACACTCATGGCGCTGAGGAGCTGATTGTGCATGGAGTGCGGGAGTGGACCCTTAAGCGTGAAATGTTCCACTACTCTTATTTTCAAGGTACGAAGGTTCTTTTGATGATTGGCCATGGATCGCTCATGCTGACCTCCTCAGAGTGGAACTCGGTCGCTCCCGAGATGGACGTTATTCTTTGCTCGGCATATTCGACACCCGCGCCACTGCTTGACACCTTGGGAATACACATCCATCTAGGATTTGTTAGACTGCCCTCCAATTTTGTTCCCTGTTAATAAGGTCGATCCCAAGCGGGATGCGAAGGACACTACATACATGCCTCGAAAGGAATTCAATACCTGGTACCATGAGCACTACGATGCGCGGAAACAACCGGACGCACCGGTCTGTTTGCACCTAGTAGCAAAGATATTTAAGGACGACAAAGTCGTTCAGGTCTTGGAGGTTGTTAAAGAGAAGATTGGTCTGTTATTCGTGGACTGCTTGGCATGATTTGGGCTATGCGTCTCACCGATGTGAATGACATTAGGTCGATCAAAGCATGCCACGCATGATGCAGTTGTGGACTTGGAAGATAATCAGCCCTGGTTTCACAAGTCACGTCATCGGAGATCCTTCATCCAATTCAAACTGAAATTTGGAGGAACAAACCCTTATATCATGGCAAGGATAACTGCAAGGGTTTCCTCTCGTGACGCTGTTTTCGTATCTGCCTGTTGTCGAGCACCAATAGTTCTTGACTCAGAGCAAACTAGTAACTTCGAAGTAAGGTTTCTTGTCGATCTTTATACGCGAACACGAAGAAGGCTTATATCACATTCGACAAGTCGCAAACTTTTTCCTCTTTGGTGCACTCGGAATACGGGGAAAATAAAACAACTAATTAGGATAAAATCATAAACAGAAAAGCCAGAAGTCAAATATTACGAGCGACCTCCCTCCGCATTCACTGCTCGCCTTGCCATCCCCGTCGTCCTCGCCTTGAAGCCAGTATTACATACATTGACCATGAATCTTCGTCAAGTGTTACCGTTTGCGCTTTTAGGAACCACATTCGTCTTCGCAGTGATCGAACTAGGTCTTACCGGTCACCTGGTCTCGTTCTTTAGCCAGAGCAACAGGGAATATCGCTATGATCCCTCGAGAAACGGATACACGTCCCAGAGAGTGACAATAGCGGTCCCATCGATCCTCGCTTTCATTCTTTTTAACTCAGTATGGACAATGTTGGCTTCGGTGGCAGCCGCCGTTGTGCCATGGATCTTTCGGAGTAAAGCAGCCACGAACACCGCACTCAACACGATAATCACCATCGGGCTTCTTGGGCTATACTCTGTGACTATGGTTTTCTGGTTAGCTTCTTTTGCCACTATGGCCGCGAGGCTATCTCATACATATGGGACGTCTGACTATGTGAATGCGATCATTGCTTTCGCTGTTCTGCTATGGTTCGTTGTATCCTTTCGTGTTCCACACATAATACAGAGACACAGAGTACTTATAATCGACTTTAATTAGGGTTCTTTTCTGCGTCTTGACACTCGCCGTCACCCTCGGCATCTGCGGAATCTTGAAATTCGATCTTCCGGGCTATAGGCCACTTGGAAGGAAGGAAACTCCTTCAACGGCACCAGCAACGACACCAGCAACTGCACCGCAGAGCACACAAATGGACCAAGTCTAAACATTATTTGGATCAGCCCGGGCCTGCGCTCGGCGAGATTATGTTTATCGATACCCTTTTTGTTTACCCGGTCGCTTCGGCATTAGTTTTGGTATAATTTGGTGGGTCGCCCAGATGCCTGCGATATGGGAATAGTTATCAATTAATTACCGTTTTCTGGCCAAGTAATATGGTCGCTGTGTATCTCAGAATAGTCTGAACAGCAGACTGTACTCGGAATTACCTCTGACGCAGAGGGGCTATATTCATTGGATTGAATAATGCTGCTGAGTCAATCCCAGTATCACCCTATTCTGAATTAAACTAAGGTTTCTACCCCACGGCCACATTTATCGAAATCGCCCGATATCTTCTGGTCTATTCCAAGTATACGAAGGGCCATTTAAAGGCTGTAGCGGGACTTCAGATGGCGCCACCAGTCCTTTGCCATCCACGCGTCAAACTCGGTGATCTTCATCGCGCTGCCAGCCAGCATGATGAAGCTGGTCTGACCAGTCGGGGTCCAATCATAGAAATCTAGAATTATCAGCGTCGATGTCTCCTAGAACCGAAGGGGAATAGCGTACCATCCAGAGCGAAAGTATGACCCATCTCATGCAGGAGAATGTGGATATCCTCGAGCTCAAGGTTCTGCATGAAATACTCCTGTCCGATGCGCTGGCCCCAGTCACCACCAGCACCGCCTTCGAAGCCATCAGTGAGCCACAGGCTTTGGTCTGTATTGTCATTAATATGTATCAGTATGCAAGCGTACCGGAGGAATGAAATTGCATACCGTAGTGGCGATCAGCCCCAGCAGCGCAGGCACTGTAGTCGTTGTCCTGGTGGAAGAATCGTCCACAGCCTGGGTCACATTGCGGGATACCCTCTTCATCGGTGGTGGTATACACCTCAACACCCGAGGTATCGCCCTGCAGCAGGGCCTTATCCTTGACAGCCCATCCGACGACATTGACATCGACCGTCTCGTACGGGAACCCATCGAAGCCGGCCAGTTCGGCTATCCATTTGTTGAACGACCGCCGCACGGCCGTCTCGACCTGTTCCCGCTGTGTCTGGGTCACAGACTGGGTGGAGTCCCACCGCACGCAATAGTTGATCTTGCCCTTGCCGTCGATGACCTGGTCGTATCCGTAGTTGCGGAATTCGAGAGGGTCGCTGTAGGTTGACATTTGGTGTTCCCATACCTATGGATGTTGTGGGTCGTTAGTGAAGGTCCGAGATCTGCGATTGGAAGTATTACCTCGTTAAGAGGGGTCACCAGTTCTGATGGAGGATTCCAGGAGCTCGTGTTCTGGCGCTTGACAGTCTTGGCCAGGACGCTGTCCTGCAGCGGGAGACCTGTCACGTAGCTGGCCAGCAGCTGGAGGGCTGTGAGAGAAAGAACGGCTTTCATTTTGCCTTGGAAATAACACAACGAAGATTTAACAAGAAATGAGTGGATTAAGGTGCATAAAATTAACAACAACACAACCAGAGAAAGTAATCACATATTTATTGAGACGAGCAGCAAAGCATTGTTATATATTCCTAGCTCTGTTCGAGACCACCGAACAGTGTCCATCAACATGGCCACAATCTGTCCGATACAACGGTTTCTAGGCAAAGACGCGGAGTGTCGGAGAGTCAGTCCTATAGCCCTATTCTCCATCAATCAAGCACATAGATAGAGCCATGTCTAGAGAGCTTAGGGCCGAGGGATGTGGCATGCCAAGCCATATCAGGTTTTTCCGGACTCACTTTCAGACAGGAGTTGATCTGCCAAGAGTCCCTCGGCATATTAGACCCAGGCTCCACCAATAATATGGCATTTATTTTGTTTAATATAGTCGGCAAACTGGCTCTTGATCCACTACGACGCGAATTGGGAACCGTGCAGAGTCTCGCTCGCATGTACCGATGTTGGGATTGGGATATCCCCTATGTCGTTGCTGAGATCCGGTAGGGTATTACAGGGTTAAAATTTGTGTTGGTCCCATTTGATTAAGACTTCGAAGTTTAAATCCTGTTGGTCGAATAGTATATGGCTGTATCTTGGAATACCAGTTGCAAAGCGAATAAGCAACAGCGCCGGAAGTAGAGCTCCACGGCAGCTTGTGGAGTGATGAAACATTAGCCGTCGAGCTACCTTAGCCAGTGGATAAAGGCCCCGGTCCGGAATCGTAGATTGGTGATGGCAAAGATTGGCATGGCCCAGACAATGTCTTGCTTACGGGCGATGCCATCACTAGCAATGTCCTGTTATGTCACAAAATGATGCTCTGCAGGTTTCTCCAGAGTTTAACCGACAGCTGCATCGACATCTAATAGAGACATTCCATAACTGATCCCCTACGTGGGTCATAAAAGCTGACTTATTCATATCCAAGCTCGTGCTAGTCGTTCATTTCTTGACCCCTATATCAAAATCTCCTTTGGTCAAGCTGAGGTACTCCTCGATTGCTCTCAGATTATTTTATATGATTATATAGAAAAGGATATTATAACTTTCTATATATATCAAATAGAGATAAAAAACAGTATTTTATTTTACTCATTTAGTAGTTTTATAAATACCAAGACTGGAATTTTATGTAAAAATGGGCTTTAGGGGGGGGCTATCGTGGGCTTAGGGATTGGGCTTGGGCCTTGGGCCTAGAGTTTGGGCCTATTCATGGACCCTGAAGAAGACTAATATTTCAACACTGCAGGATACAAGCAACACACCAGCCAAGATCCATTTGACCGATTCAACAGATCAGTATACTCCAGAAGGGACCAGCGGCGGAGTTCAGTGCAGTGTGTTGGAGGACGCCTGTGAGAAGCATCCAGAGCATATCCAATAACGATATAAGTAAGGCAGGCGAGTAAACACACAACTGCCTTGGAGTGTGTTTCATAGACCATTGCAAGCTCACGGCCAGAAAGAAACACGACGAACGATAGAATGGACGCTATTGCCATCATTCGTACCCTACGAAATAGTGCCAGTTGTCAATGATGGAGAGATTGAAGGTACTGACGATGGCAATAGCATCCACAGCAGCAGAGAGCCCTGAGGTAAACCATGTATCAACCGCCAATAGGCTGAAAGAGCCGAAAGAAGAGATTCTGGCGATTTTCGGATGAAATGCGCCTGGGGTGTTTGCATTGTCCTCAGCAGTTGGAGAGTGCAGATACATAGCTGAGTCTTCTGTTGCATAGGCAAGCATAGCTTCACAAGACTTGCATATCGAGGCGCTCGTGGGCCTATACTTCTACTCCCCCAAGATCCTTAAATTTAGTTTCAAATACATACATACTTCTCTCAGATATAATGAGACATTGCCATTGTCGACGCAATTGTTTTTATTTCAAGGTAACGCTAATTTATGCACTGAAGATAGACAAATGTATGTTAATACATTTCAACTGATGGATCATGGACAGCAAGCCGCTCGTATAAATTGGCATTCTCTTAATGCTAAATGAGTCTATCTGAATCGTGACGGTTTGTCCTATCTGCCACCTTCACACAATCATTCCATTTAATTGTAACTTGACTGTGTAGGACGGCATAGTATACCGTCAGTCTGACGCTATCACACGGCGAGCTTCAGAATTTCATTAGTGACTCCCTTATACAAACGGCTGAGATCATTTCCTGGCGCCCATTGTGCCTCGATTGCAAAATGCCTGTTGGCCACCGTGCCATAGAATTTGAAGACTAGGGGTTTGTCGTCGATCAATGCATGAGTGTGGATTCCCACCTCGATTCTCTCAATGTGAAAGATGGCGTTGATTTTCTTTTGGATCTCATTGACCACGTCCTCCAACGCGTGCATCCCCTTTTGCCAGTTCTCCTTGAGTGTCTCTAGTCCAGCCTGCATTTGTTGGATGGTGTTGTGTATTTTGTTGTGGACCTCAAGCTGATAGTTATATTTTCGCTCAAGATCTGCCAGCATTGCATCCTCTTCCAGGGATTTGATGTTCTCATCGGCCTGGGCGATCTTGTCTTCTAGGTCGGGTGCCTTCTGGTCAAGAATGTGCTGCGCTTCCCGAATAGCCCTTTGATACTCGTTGTTCTCATTCTGCATTGCCTGGAGAGCTTTTATAGCTGCTTCGATCTTGGCTTCTTCCGTGTCGATAAAGGATCTAAGAAATCCATCAACACCACCTCCGCTGAGAAGTTTGTCAACTCCGTTTGCCGCGCGTTCTACCGCTTTTTCTGTATCTTCAATGGCTGTGACGATGGATTGAAAGGCGTCAGAATTAGCAATGTCGTCAAGCGCCTGGGCAGCTTTGTAGTATACGTCTGCTGCAACCTTGGCTGCCTCAAGAACACCTTTGGCTGCCACGAGCCTCACGCCCTGTATGGAACACATCAGCTATGGTTGCCACTAAGAGATAGAAATAAGGACCTACCCAATATGCGTCCTCAGGGCTATTCCTACATGTCAGCATTCTGCGAGCATTGTATGAGAGCTGGGGGCAGAGGGGCACCTACAAGCTTGTGTGGTCATACTTCCATTGAAGCCACACAACAGCGTCCCACGCATCTGATACCATCTTCTTTTTTTCATAATAGGCTCCTTGGGCAAGCTGCACTTTTTTGAGGAAATCGGTGCCGTATTTATCTCTCTGTCGTTGCCTCAGTCGTTCTAGCTCCCTCTGATTGTTTGCTTCAGCTTCCTTGGCCTTCTCGAGCTTGTCATTATACTCCTTTCTCTTGCTTTGGATAAGGGATTCCTTTTCGAGTTTAAGCTTTTCGACTTTTTCCTTCAGTTCATTTTCAGCCTGAGCCTTGTCTTGCTTGGCCTTGGTCACCTTGTCCTGCAGCCGTTCGATTTCTCTCTTTGCCTCGTCGCGTTTATCTTTTTCCCTTTTCATATTTCGTTGGCGCTCCTTTCGCCGGTCGTCTACCTCTTGCCGTGCCTCGTCCAGTTTCTTCTTCTCTAGGTCCATTTCGGCCTGCTTTTCGGCAATCTGCGCTCCAATAAGGCTCTGAAGAGATTCAATACCCTGGATACCCAGCTCCTCAAGCGTCCGGAGCAGGCTCTTGATACTTTCACAGATCATGTCAAATAGATCACCTTTGATCTGGGCTTGGAAGTATAAGTCCTTTGTTGCTAGATTCTTGACCTCCTTAAAGTCCTCCACCGTCGCCTGTAGACTGATTATAAATGCCTCGGTAAACGCCACGTCAATATGCGCAGCAAAGGACGGGGTTTCGGTTCCTATTTGGATGTCGACTAAGGTGGCAAGCCCAATTCCAAAGCATCTTACCTTTCCGTCCACTTGGATCACTTGTTTGTCTTTAGCCATCACCACGACCATCTTTGCGCGGGGATCTCCACTGGCAGATGAGACGATCAAGGGCCCGAGACTGAAATTATCGATATGCCCTTGGAAATCCAGACCAGCCTTGCCGATGCTTAGGTCAAACTGGGCCGTCTTCCCAAACGCTGTCAGCTTCCCACCGGCTGATATACCCTGTGGGTACTCTCTCCCGGCTATGGTTCCCCCGGTGGAGAAATACATGTTGGCATCGGTAAAAACAAACGTATCCTCGCCACCACGGATATCCTGCAAGGCTTGGATTTCGGCGACCTGGCCAGCAACACGGATGATTTCGATGAGATCGACCTTGGAGATATTGGCCGATATAACCTGCTCACCAGGGTGGTGGCTGATCTGCATGGCGGCTCCAGCAGTAAGCTCTCCTACCTCGATATCTCCAGCTAGGCCCAGTTTGCTACCCCATATGTTAGCCAGCGGGCAAATCGTAGCTATCCTGGGATAGAACGTGGTTGACTCACGATGGTCCAAGCTCCATGACCGTGGCATAGGTAATTTCGATCTCGACTCTGAAGTCGGCGATTTTAACATGTTTGCTGATGTTCAATGGATTCACCCACGGCGACTTGGTGGCACTAGATGTAAAGATTAGCGCTGGTCGTCTTTAGATGGAGGAATACAAGAGGCCATACATCGAAGCAGATGAACTGAGCAGGCCAGCTTTCACCATGCCCTCGAGGAGCAGAGGATCCTGATCTACGTCCATTACGATGTTCAACGTGCCCATGACCATCAAGCTGGGAGTCTTGCTGATTTCAATGCCAATTCCAATCTCACACAGTTTAGCGCTATCGGTAATAGTGACCTGTTGATTCACATACTTAGCAATTTGTGCCAGATGCACATCATGTTGAGCATGGATACTCACATCAAACGCCGTGGGCAACTGGACGCCGAGCTCCAGCTTCTTCTTTTCTATCGTTGCAACGAGAACCAGTCCGTCCACCTTCTGCTTGGCGAAATTGTTCAGCTCAGGCAGAGGTGGGATAGTCGCACATAGCGAGATTCCTACCGTCAAGTCATCAGTCTGCAACAAAATGGAGATGATGCCCCAACTCACCCTTTCGTACAGGATACTTAAGCGTGTTCAACGCCTCGATTGTCTTGTTCTCGCCGGATGCCGCGATGAGAGCAACATTTTTCAGTTCGAGGTCAGCCATGGGGCCTTCCATAATATCGCACATCTTTCCTAGGTGCAAGCTCTCTTCGTAGATACCAAACAAGACCCATTCCCGCTCAGACGACTTCTCCGACTTGGCGTTGGTTTCATTGCGCTCAGTCATAAAGGCAACCGTCACAGTTATGCCACTGAAATTAACCCTGCCTTTGATGGCAAATTTGCTTGCTCGGTTGAAGACCTCCACTTTGTCCTCGCCAGCTTCCTTTCCGGATTTCCTATCTGCCTCGAGTTTCGGCCTGGTGTTCTTGGAGTTGTCCTGGGACTTGTCGGGTTTTGCTCCAATGAAGATATCAATACTGGCTTCTTTAATAATAACACCAGCATCCTTGATCTCGTAATCCTCAACTCCGCCATGGATAGTGAGGCCTGAGGTAGGGTCAATTTTGATCAAACCGTGAACACTCTTGCAATCATTGAAGCTGACTTTGCCGGAGAGCTCCAAGGAAGTGGAAGGCTGTTCCTCGTCTTCTTCCTTTTTTGCTTCCTTCTCGTCTTCTATTGCCTTTTCCTTGCTCTTCAGCTTGCGGCTAATATTCAAATGCAGTTCTTCGAAGACTAAGTCATGTTCTTTGGCTTCCTTCGATGGTTCAGCGCCGGTAATCTGAGCATACATCTTCAAGATTGAATCGAGCTTCAGATTTCCCACCTTGGCATCAAAATGGTAGTCCTCTAAAATATTGTCAGTCGATATTCTATTTGCATGATCAAGCTGGCTCACGTCTGGATAGAACCCCCTCGATTGTTAGAGTCGCATTCTTCGACTTGTCGTCTTCCTTCTTTTCCTCCCCTTTTTTCTCTACCTCCTCTTCCTCGTCATCCTTGTCAAGACACCCTTGGGCAAACTCGAGGGATCCAGTGACAGACAAGGTGCAAGACTTCCGGAATTCGCCAGGTTTAAAGAATGCGTGCAGCTGGGCTTCTTTCATCTTTTGTGTTTTCAATATTCAGCAACTCATTCCTCAATATATTGTGCATGGTACCTACATCAAGATTCGAAATGGCGCAGAAATCCTTCCATTCGCTGACCGCGATCAATACTAGATAAAATCAGCTGTTTTGTCTCTGCTTTTCACACTGGACAAGGAGCTCACCTTCATATTGCCTTCCTCTTTCTGCGGGCTGGCCCTCTTTTCCACCGTTCTTTTCGTCTGCTTCGTGAGTTTCCTTACCCTCTCCGCCGTCTTGCTTCTCTAATTTCTTGTCCTTGTCATCGTCCTCGACTTCTTCCTCTTCCTCTTCCTTCTCCTCTTTCCAGTCTCCCATACGAATCCAGTATCTTGCCTCCAGTGGCACCGCCGACTTGGGAGCTTTGGTAATATTGAGCTTGCCAAACAGCCCAAACCTACCTTCCATTTTTTTTCTCCTTGCTCTCCTTCTCTTCTTTTTCGTGCTTCTCCTCCGTGGCATCATCCTTCATCGTGGGGGCATTCGAGGCCTATGCATGATCAGATCTTGTATTGGTCATTTATCACGGAGCAATCGACCGTGGGACGCACCTTGTCTTTATTGACTATTATTTCCCTTGACTTACCGTCTCCCTCCTCTTCTGTTCTCTTGTCAACGCCCTCTTTATTGTCTTCCTCCGGATCCTCCTCGATGTCACTTTTCGCGGTTTCCTTCCTAGCAGACAGCTCAATACCTGCCGTTTGAAATTCCAAAAAGTCCCATGCGGGTAGCTTCATCTCATGGAGAAAGGCCTGAAGAACGATACCCTCAATCTTGGGCTTCTTTGTCCAGTCTCTCTCCTTGGACAAAAGGGCACTGACCCGTATCTTCGAGGGTAGCTCTGTGGCCTTTTCACTGTCAAAAACATTCTTCAAACCATCGGAAATCCACTGCAGTCCATCCTTCAACTCCAGGTCACCTTGCAGACGGAGTCCCTCCGGAAGCAGAATCTCTTTTTTCGTGTTGCTAAAAGTAAACTCCAGGTTCTTGAGGGGCAAAGCTTTGATCGTCTTGTTTTCGATCTCGGGGAAGAAGATTCCTAGGGGCGATTCCATGTCTTGAAGCATAACTTTTTCATTGATTGGTTTTTCTCCCTGTTCGTCATTCACCTCCTCATCACTCTTGTAACAGTACAGCTTGCCTGTAACCCCCTCGACGCCAAAGAAGTTCTCGATCTCTCCACTGAGAACCATGGCATTAACAGCCGCCACACCGACCTCCCCCTTAGACTCCTTCATTGCTTTCTCCAGTTCTCCCAGCGGCAAAACCTTGCTATCATCGGAAAACGAGAGATCAGAATCCGTCTGGGCTGGTAGCAAAAGCATCGGCTGAGCAGCTATCTGCTTCGATTCTCCGACCGGGGCAACAAGAAGAGACCCCGTACCGCTCTTAGCCCCAGAAACGGGGATAGGCATCACCTTGAAGTCATGGTAAGCACCGTGCTTGTCTACCATAACAAGTGACACGTTTTGAACCTCAGCACCTCCAATGATGAGCTGCTCGGGAGTTTCAGGAGAGTCTTCCAATCCGTACGTCTCACCCGAAAAATTCGGCAGGTCTATATATTTGGCCGGACTGGCCAGCTGCGGTGGAGATATTTCCCCCGGGGCAACCTCAAGGTTCCTGCGAGCTGGGGTTTTGATGTCTTTGTCGGCGAAGTTTGGTGCGTCCAGAGATGTAAAGAGGCCGCTGGCCAGGAGGTCCTTGCCAAACGAGGAAAGGGAGATGAGCTCCTGGTCGCGTGCCATTCTGTCGGTTTGTTCGCTCTTCGTCCTGCAGTCTAGGATTGAAACGAACTAGATCTGCAGTGGCAGGGCTATTCGTCTATATAGGTTTCTTTCAAACTCTGCACCAGGCAGACCTCTAAACCCCCTGTTCCGCCCCACTTTGAGCACAGTATTATTCTATAACCCTCAACCACTCGTCGCGATATCCGGTAAATAGCTGACCCATTTCATGTCCAGCTGAAGGGCGGGGTGAATCGTGATTCACCACTATGTCCTAGTTTGCTGTATGTTCCCAACTTAGTCTGAGATATGCCCAATACTGGAATAAGTAGTGGGGCTAATCCACTACGATCTACAACTTTGCTTCACAGAATGTGGAACTTTGTGATATCTATTCCATAATCCATTAGCCACGACTACTGATCTGCATGGCAGGCCTATCAATTCCCCTGTCACATTTGACAATTGGGTAAGGGCGGCACGTTAGTGCCCTGGATCTCACCGCAACTCATGATTCATCACCGGAAACGTCTTCCAGTGGGTTCAGCTTTCAGCTCGGTTGTGGCTCGTGTTTTTCTTTCCCCCTTCTCTCCCCCCCCCTTTCTTTTTTCCGCTACTGAGTATGCAAACCATACAACCAAAACAACCTTTTTACTTGAACTCAATCCATTAGCCAGAGGTAGGTCACCTTGTTTGACGACCAGCAAGGCCATCAGGCCGGTCTCTGACAGGCAGGCAGGATAGTAGTAATGATTGAATTGGCCCAAGTCCCTGTAGGTTCGGATTGGGGTTCTAAGCACCCGGAAATGGCCGGATCTAGCGGGGAACCCGAATCCACTTTTTACTATAAAAGCACGGGGAGACGTGTCTGCTATTATATACATAGCTTGAAAGTGGAGAGAACACAACTTATGGTCAAGGAGAGAGCCCAAATGGCTCCTCTCCGCACTGACCGTAGCGAGAGCATCTCACCCAGTAATGTCTAATCTACAGGTTAACCTAAAACCTTACCCCCCAAAAAAGGCTGGGTTGAAACACGACCCGCCATCCCCCCGGATGTTAGCGAGGTCGAATAACATTCATCTGATTCCAACTCCCAGAACAGTCGTATATATACTCCTGTCCTCCGTAAGGGGCGCATGCCACGCTGCGCCTTCGCTATCACTGCGTTCAACTCAATGGCCACCGGTGACAATTTTGAGCCCAGGGTCTTATACGAGCCGCGTCAAGGAGTAGAAAGACTTGAAATGCCCAGAATGAAGGCAACAGCGTCATTGATGGGGTGATGGGCCGTACGTGGATCATACCGGCTGGCATTTTACTGTGTGTCTCCAGGCTCATGCTAGTTGTTCATTGTTTTGACTCCTATACCAAAGTCTCTTTCGGCCAAGCTGAGGTTCTCCTCGATTGGTCTCAATTTTACGTGATGATTGCTAATGCATTACCAAATGGCCCACTAGGTCAGGGCGCGCTGGCATTGGTTCATTGCAGGCCGGAGATAAAAGTCCGGCGGGAACTGATGGAACCAGAAAAGCTCTTACGCCAGATGTCTATCTCTGAAAGTAAATTTATTAGACCAAAACCGCAACTAATAACCTGCTAATGGCAAAACTTCGCTCTTCCGAAGGGTCATGCTTGGACTCTCTAGCCATGACGGACAATCATGAAAAAAGTCCTTTTCCAGGAAACGTTTGGCCGGCCACGAACTATATTGATTTTAGAGGTCCTCTTGGTTAAAGCGTTCACGACCCAAGAAGTTGTGTAGTGTCGATAAACAGCCGAGTACAGTCACCCGAGGGGTCTGAGAGACTTCCATATTACTCTCGGTTTACCCTTATTATCTTTGCAGAAGTAAAAGAATATTTGTGGTCGGAATATCTTGTAGATCCAATACTTCCGAACCTGCTAGGTATTAGAGACCATAAATATATCTCGTTGTATATTTAGTAGATAGATTGAATCTATTTTAATCTGTGTATAAAGTTAGCATGAAGTTAGTATACTATACTAACTATCTGCGAATTTCCAGAATTTGCAAGATTGGCTTTAGTAACTATACAGATACCCATCAGAACAGACTTGATAAAGTGTAAGAGTCGAGTCTAGATACTATATCCAGCGAGATATTTGTATATAAAGGACTGGCCGTAGGACTGGAACATAAAGTATATAAACGGGGTTTGGAACTGAATTGAAGTAGTGTCACGGGTTACACGAGGGCAGCGATGGATATCCAGACGCTGCTCATGCTAAGTTTGTATGAATGGGGAAATAGCGATGGCTTCCGTGGCTGGATATCATATTACGGTCTCCGCAGTTAATATATTCTGCGCCCATTATCAATATTATATTTATATCTCACATAGCAAGGGTAACTAAGCTTTTTGTTGTTAATAACTTATTCTATTACATAAATATCCTTCTTCTTTATGAAGAACATATCTCTTTTTCCATCTACTTGATTAACTGTCTACCAGACTCTGCAGCCCCCCTTGTTAATAGAAAGGGCTTTTCGTAGATAGTAGAATCAGAGTATACAGGATATATTTGTAGGTGTATTAAGTATGATCAATATAATACAGAAGCTTAGTAAGACTAGGCAAAATATTCCGATGCCTTTCCAGGACTGCCATGAAAATTGGCCAGTTCAGGCATAAACCGGGAACTTAAGGTCAGGATGCTACAAGCAGTAAGGTTGGTATAGGTCCTGTATCGAGGAGTATGCAGAAGGTTGGCTGATGAAAGAACCTGAACTGTAGGAAGTGACGAACTAAGATATAAAACGCATCTTTTAGTAGTTTGTTATCCAGGCCAGTCAGAGGATCCCTACGAGCGTTTCTTTACTTGGGGACTCGGACTGGGAGGAGGAACGACCGATCGCTGTTTCTCGATGCTCACTATTCCTTTGGGGATTTGTAAACTCGGGTTAATCGATCTCGTCTAGGCCCCAGAGAAGTTTGATGTCATTTCGACTGATGTTTCAGTGTGTTCAAGACACATTGCCGTCAACGAGAAGGGCCGACAGGGTGGGGAACCATCATGATGCCATCTGAACTTCTATATAATTTTACTTTCTTAGCAGTTTGCTGCATTTGCAATGTTCGTCCAGAATTCTCCATGTTCTAACCGGTAGTCGCCGGAACTCGATCTCCAAGAGAAATCAACCGGGGGAAGCCCACCGACACCTTTGATAAGCGTCCTCATACTTGAGGTGGATATCAATTTCTTGGTTGCAAACAGCAGGGGGGTACGCAAAGTTTGAAGGATGATTTGATAGCAAGCTCAAGATGTTCCCCTTGAGGAGCAGCTACTAGTCCGCCACACCTGATGCGAATGAATTGTATCAAATACGAGATGCGAAAGCCGAGATCTGGGAGTGTCCCACACTTGGACATCCGATTGGGAGATCTTGCCGGAAATGGAATATGGTATTCTAATAGTAATGCATCACGACTTCCCAGGTAGCGACTAGTAGACTAGTAGCACTAGTTACTATGGTAGGCTTTGGAATCTCAAGGCTCTGCTGGGTTCACCTTCACCGAGTATGGAGCTGGGCGTACTATGCTTATACGATATTTTCAACCCCAAAGCCTAGAGCCCTATCATTGCCTAACATCCCATTGCTTGTGCATCTACGCCTCCGTATTATAAGTACCCTGTAGATTCTCTGATATCCCTCTCAATAATGCTGCTCATTGTTCATAGCTTCCTAACCGCAACACCTTGAATGATGGCCGCGCCATACAAGGGTCGGTTGAATCTAGACAGCCATGGCAGTTTTGCCACCTCCATGCCGAGCCATGCATCCATTCTCTGAGTCCCTGGAAAGGTTTGGCCCTCGGAAATAGTTTGTAGCGGGGTAAGCTCCCCCAACCTATCAGATATGTTCAATTCGTTCATACAATAGGCAACTACGGAGTAGTTCCCGCGTGTGATACTAAAACCAGACAACTTCACCATTCTCTCGGGGGCCATGCCGGCTGGTGGCGTAGGAATCTGTGTTCGACGACGTGAGCACTGAATGTCGTGTTTCGATATGGTAACCTCTGCCCGCTGCACAGAAGGTTCGAGGTTAATACATCGGTAGGACCTACCATTTTGGCTTTGCGGACCTATACCTACAGCTTTACATTTTTATTAATAGTACTTCACTGTGAATCCATCCAGATTTACCTACTCAACTGGTATAGCGAGGACTTCGGGAGAAGGATGGTCAACTTTGGCCATCACCCTGCTACCGCGCCGAGTCTCACATATACACTACCCAGTATTAAGGTTGGAACTAATGCATGATTTATGACTGCATCTGATGGTGACCGCCTAGATATCGATCATCAAGGGAGAGGATGGCATTTAAACAAGCATTGAGGTGAGAACATCTTCAAGTAGACAGCAATTTTCAAGAACTCTAGTCAAGAAAATGCTCATTTCCTGAAAAAAGCTTTAGGATGCTACAGATCACTGAGGCGTATACATACTGGATTTTATGAGAAGATTGCCTGGCAAGAGTCTTGAGGGCGGGTGGACGCGGTAGTTGTGTAGACCACTCTACTCCATACGGCACTACTCTACATGAAGATGTATTTTTGGGCACAGACACAAAGTCAAAAGGGGCAAAATAAATTGCATCGTAAAGTGGGGAGTTTTACTTCTCGGAGGATGGCGGAAGTGATAGTAATACCAGTATATCCGAGAGGAATTTTCTCGGGCTGCATCTGCTATCCAAATTCCGAGGCTTGGCCGACAGCTAACTAGCCCTATCAAAGGGTTAATCAAACGCCCGCTCTACCGAGGACCGACAATCCCAGATATGTTTGTGCCATATATGGTGCATTTCACACGTTCCCCTAGAGTTTAAATTTCGATGAGAGATCCAACGCAGATCTGGGCCCCTACGGGAAGCGCCTGGTGGAAGAGGCGTCCTGCGACCAAGATTTGCTTCCCGAAGCAGCTTCGTATTTCGATTTCCCCTGGCCTGGGGGGGGAAAACACCCACTTAAAGGGGGAAGTTCTACGGTGATAACTGTAGTGCACACTCAAATGGCCGCCTCTTTACATCAGGAAACTGGAGTCCGCAAGGTGCAGGCTTTCATGACTCGGCGAGGTGATCCTAATTAATTACTATCCATCTTTCCCCCTCGATGGGTTGAGGGACACTAAGCCGGCGAAGCAAGAGGCAAAAAATAAATAAATAAAATGAAAAAAGAAAAGAAATTGCAGAAGGGAGATGGCGATACTTGTAGAAAACGTGGTTTGGTCAGAGAATCTTCACGGATGAAACAAGTCAACAACCACGGAACCAAGCAAGAGGGAATCCCAACCACGTGTGGACTGTGGACTGTGGACTGTGTACCAGACTGGACGCCGTGACGAACCGGTTGGTAAGCCAGGCACAAGCCAGCCAGATGGACCCTAGGGAGCAGATTCAATATCCAAGGTACCGGATTTACCCAATTGGGGTAGGATCCATCAATAAATCTGCAACCGAGATCTGGTCCTAAGTGGAGACCCGGGGACCAGAAAAAGTTTTTTTTCAGGTCGCCTCACGACAGCCAAGACTAGGGATAGCCTGTTCATTGACTGGGTTTCACTGGACCCAATTTTTCTTTTTGGAGAACCGATCGATCATAGAGTCAGAGACCATCGTGAGGGTTGATCACTGAGAACGCTAAGCTTAAGAGACGCGCCAAAGGTCCTGCACTGTTAGCGATCAAACCCTGATTACCGATGTTGGCGTTCCAAATATTAAGCACCGGGATTTATGCCACGAGGCAGCCAAATGACGACAAATAAGCTTAACCTCTCTAGTGTAGTATGAAACTTCCCCTTCGGGGTCACTTGCCATGGTGGAGAGGCACTGGCCGGGCGTTCCAAACTTCGCGAGAAATTTTTAAAATAAAATAAAGAGAAAAAAAACGTACAGGGATTAGCGGGCAGTGGGCATTAATATCGAAGCGAGGCTGGCCCATCCACAATTTATTCTATAATAGCTACTCTATTTCCTGAATATGCTTCGCTAGGTCACTGGATTGAAGTGCCTCCATTGTCAAAATGAAGGTCTACCAGATCGTGCTGTCTCTACTGGCTTTGGGGGTTGGCTTGCACGCCGCAGACCCCAACCCCAATGAGTTTCCATCGTCGGCTGTAAGTCCTGCGCCAAGTCTGGGTCACGTTTGGGTGATGGCACTCGTTGCTGACCGTGTATGTCTGCGTGGATCAGATCTCGTGTATGCAGCAGCTATTTCAAGGGGAGTGGAACACAACGACATACCTCTGCGCCGATAAGGCCCGGCAGACTGCCTTAGTGGACTGCGTCACCAAGAATGGTACAACCAAGGAAGAATTCAGTGAGTCTTCAGCAGGCCTGATGGGCTGTTTCGAGAGGTTAACCGTAGACAGTCACGCAGCGATTGACCGAAGAATCCTGCAATATCACACCCCGTCAGGGGCCGCCCCTCATTGAGGGCTCGACTTTAGCTCCCCTCATTCTGGCCACCTTTTTCTTCACCGTCCGTATCGGTGCCAAAAGCTTCAACCTGGGTGGGGGTTGGGGGTGGGATGACCTGACCATCATCATTTCCTACGTAAGGCACCAATCTGGCGCAATACGTAGCCTCTGTACTAAGCTCTTTTCAGGTCATGGGTTTGGCCATGTTCGTTCTCAATGTCTATAGTAAGCTCGGTCCTTCGAAGTTTGGGAATTGTTAAAGCTAACAGTCTAGTGATCAAATATGGCTTCGGCAAGAATATCTGGGATATCCCCTTCGCTGATATCACTCAATTCTACAAGGTCAGCCATCGCTGCCATCTGATTGCCTTGGTGTCATTATTGACTTCCCTTTAGTATTTTCAAGGTTTCGCCGTGATGTACAAGATCCAAATCTCCCTCGCTAAGATATCCGTCTGTCTGTTCTTGCTCCGGATCTTCCAATCCCGCATGTTCCGTACGCTGGCATACACGCTCATCGGTATCAACGCATCGATTGGAATCACATGGGCACTTGTGGACGGGCTGAGATGCACTCCGGTCCATTTAGCGTGGGATGGCTGGAAGAATGAGGATCCCGGAACATGCATTGATTTCATTTCTGCCATCTTGGGCAACTGCTTGGTGAATATCATTGTCGACGCCATCATGGTCTTGATGCCGGTCTATGAAGTGAGCAAGCTGCAGCTGCCATTGTACAAGAAGCTCAGCGTCGGTCTGATGTTCGTGATGGGATCGGTGTATGCAACCCCCTTGTCTCTTTCCCTTGTTGTCTGTCATGGCGCTAATAGTATATGTCACAGTTTGACTATCATCGGCATCATCCGAGTAGTCGTATTCTGGAACAACCGCTGGGGCCAGAATCAGACCGGTACGTAGTCCTTGTATCCCCCGTATTTTACTAGTGAACATTGCTAAACCTACTCAGCTGGTATATATCCCCTGATCCACTGGTCCGTCATCGAGTCGCAAGTTGCTATCATCTGCGCCTGTCTCCCGTCCTCCCGCGCTCTGCTTAACCACTTCTTCCCCGGTGTTTTCAGCGGGTCGACCAAACGCACGTATGCCACCGGACCGAGCAACTGGTACGCCAAGGGCCAGTCGAATGGACAGAGCAAGATCAACAAATCGGTCAGCTACACGGTTCAGTACTCGTCAACGTCGCAGAGGGATTCTTCCCATAGGGATGATTCGAATGATTCGAACAGTGTGGTGCAATTGGTTGACCTTGATACGAAACGAAATTATTAGTGGGAATATAGTGTATTCTACATGGTCTTTTAATAAATTTTCTTATGTCTTTCTTCAGTTTTTAGCACGACGGTGTAGTCTGCACAACCGGGTGACAACCTTTCGGGTAGTCTATATTATACAAGACAGTAATATACAACGACAAAGGGGAAACGACAAACGCCAGCGAACCCATGAAGCCCGTAAAATACAACAAAGAAGAGAGAAATGCGAAGGAAATCCTCACACTGCCTCCCAATCCATAGCGTCGACAATGAAATCCCAATCTGCCTCTGAATCGCCCGACAAGCCGTCACCAGTATCACTCTCGATCTTAGCTACATGCTCCCGGGCCAGTGCAAGTCCATCTTCTAGACCCACGAAGATTTCTGATAGAATATGGTCGAAGTCGTAGCTTTCAAGCGGCATCGCAGTCTCCCTTGGTCGACGAAACGAGTCATTCTCTGTCTCTTCTTTCGACATGTCGGCTGTCTTCCAGCGATTACGTAGTTCTTTCGCCTTCCTTAGCTGCTCGCGCACATTTCCAGTCCCGAGAACAGGATGCAGTGGACAGCTCTCGCTTTCCAACGTATCCAAGACATTGGCATGATACCGGTGCGTAGCCACCGGGGATCCATTCCTCCCCAGCCTCGGAGTCGAATGCGATCTAGTGAAAGCGCCAGTGACTGTCACGCCGAAGACGCCGAGTAAATGCACGATCGCCCGCTCCAGAAGCGCATAGTACTCAAAGAAATCGATCTTGAACATGATCTCCGCATGCGCGACATCCACGCCACCGTCGGCGGGGAGTGTGGCAAGGCGGTAACCCTCCGCCAGAAAGGGCAATTTCCACTTTAATCGCCCGACAATTTTCATGAAGCGGGCCAGTTCCTGCGAGGGAGCTGGGTGGTTCCCCCCTCGGGACGTGGAGGATGACCGCTTCGTCTTTGACTCCTCTGGGCGCGGAGCCCATCGTGATTCGAGTAGAGTGGACGTGGTCCTCGATGGCATTTCGACACCTTGGCGGGCTGGAACTGATGTCAGAGTTGGTCTTTGCGGTGCCCAGCGGAATCAGCTTCAGGTTTCGGTTGTGATGTTGGGTGGAACCATGGAACCATGGAACCACTCTCGGGCTAACTCGGTTGGTATAGCGGTTTCACATTGCTCACGAACCGGTCCAACTTGAGAACATTTCTAGAAGACTAGAACCAGGTTGACGCTTTGTCAGGCTGATCTAGATTTTGCTGAGGGCTCTATCTTTCAATGGTCTATGTCATAAATGTCTTGATGAGTCACTCGGAATGATCACAAATGAGCGTAGCTTGGCTCCGCTGAGGACGGAGGTATTCGAGACTCATCTGTGGGTCTGCCAACTCATGAGAATAATCTGAAAGGAAAGACATGTTAATATCCGACAAAGAGAATAGATAAGTTGGGCTGTGCCGTCTCATACAGTCAGCACTAAACATTGAACCCCTGAGGCATGAATAGCATCATGAGAAGGGTAGGCGGTAAGCTTATCGAGCCTCGTTTATTCCATACATGACGATCTTTTCTTAATAAAGAGAAGGGTCAGTTTTAGTTGTGGAGACTACGCAGTGGATATGTGGGCGAACTCCGAACATAGTAACTACCGCCGAGAATTACAAAAAATATCTGTTGGAAAAAAGGAGACTTTCCATCCCAGTGGGATTCGAACCCACAGGCATTCGCCGAGGAAGCGGACAGATTGATAAACGGGTCTAAATCGATCTCTACCTAGTCTGGCTTAGCGTCAGACCCTGGTGTGCTGAAATAGCATCAAAGAGCTTCACTTATGCAAGTCATCCTTAACTAGCTACTACTAGTAGTCAATGTAGCGCTGACTGGGATCAGTATCAGTCTTCAACTTCATTACCTATATAAACAGCAGAATTTCAAAGGGCCGGTACAAAGGACTCTCTAAACCATACAGTCGCTCAAATACTAATAGCCAATGTTTCATAACATGACAAGTTTTGCAAATATATATTTGTTGGAAATGTTTGAACTTGAGAATCGTGAGTAGGAGGTGTATTATTGTTCAATCTCTTCAAAATTTAATTCCCATTCCGAATCTGATTCTTCTTCTGAGTCCTCATCCGACGCTGCATCTGGGTTGAATGCCGTCCACGGTCCCCACATATTCCTACATGGAATCTCAACATCATTGGGAGGGTCCGGAGCAAATGACACGGGGGTGAGCGTCCCCTTCCCCAGCATTTCGACTGGTGGAGGTTGATTCAACTGATCGATCTGTTGTTTCATCCTCCTCACCTTTTGTACATATTCTTTATCCATCTTCTCCACGGGCAACGTGACTAACTGCATCCCCTCAAGTCCCTGACTCTGCAACGCATTACGCAACATCCTCTTCCGCCAGTGCTCCTCCTCCTCGTCCTCATTAGTAAACGCATCGTCATCTCCCAGAACCGACCGAATGGCAGCAGCCCACATGCGCCTCCATCGACCACAATGTAGGATATGATGCATGGCTGTCTGGTCTCCTTCCCCCGGTCTTTCAAGGTGCGTCGCATACGGACCGGTCGCCAATCTGATAAACCCGGGGTAACTGGAACAAACCCAATCAGGGAGACAGTAGGTGAAGTAGTCGATTCGTGTTCGTATATCAAAATAGGGGAGATTCTTTTCCGGCTGCAGAAAGGCGTCCATGCTTCGCCCAAACAACTCCCCGTATGTGATAATTTGGAAGGTCGCCCGATCTGGCTCCGTGGCGACGGTGTAGGGTTCGCTCACCCCGCCATTCCAGAAACCTGGCGTAGCGTACCACTGCCTGCCGGCCATCTTGTCGATCTTGTCCGAGAGAGGGTTAATGGTGGAGAACCGGGCTAGATGTGTTCTTCGGATGTCTTCTAGCGTTAGGCCCGCATGTTGGAGGCAGAACTCATAGAGGCTGTCGATTCCACCTTGCAAGGCTCTGCGGAGGTCAGATGTACGCGCTTCATTCCCTAATGCCCAGTCACTGACTTGGCGGGCTGTGGCAGCGACGAGGAAATGAGGGTGGGGAGAGAAGAATGTGGGGGCCGAGGCGGCAGCCAGCCGGAGTATCGTGTTGGGGTGTGCTGTGTATAGGCAATCACGGAGTCTGCGACATGATGCTGCGGCGTTGGTGAAGGTCTCAATGTTATCGATGTAGAGAGGGAGAAGACAGAGGATTTCATTGGGGAGTGCGTCGAGACTCATGGTGCGTGATATGAGTGAAGAGCAAGTGACGACGAAGGGAAGTGACAATACAGGAGGAAGCAGTGTTTAAATAATTGTTGTATGAGAGTGAGCCTGAATAATGCGCCGCTCTTTGTTGCCTATCAGCCTGAGTCATGTGCTGCTCTGACAAGGCTGACCGCGAAAGAAGCACTAAACCACAAACAGTGCCCGGACGCTAGACCTTACTTAGAGTCATTCAAGCAATGCTCTAGTACGCGATCGAGTTGGTAGGCGTATAGTTGCCCCGTCTTTGTCACCGTGGCGCCTCCGTGTAGGTGCTCAACGTCGGGCCGCACCGAAATTTGTTGGATTGCCCGACTTAATGGGCCCAATCTCCTTTGCAGAGTCCATGGGGGCCAATGGTATGCCGAATATTCACCTATCTCCGGCTATCGATTGTTCCGCATCTCTATCACTACCTCGGGTCCTACTGATTCCTAGGTAGTAAAAGGGAGATGAGGCAAGCATACAAGCGCAGTGAAAGTGAAACATGGGTGAGAACATGGAATCTACCGCTAGTTTAACATATCCCAGGAGCAGGGAGAGTTGCATACTGCTACTAAGTAGGAGTCCATGGGTGTATTTCCAGACCAGAACAGGAATGTTGTGTACCTGTTTTCTCAGGTTTCATTGTCACGTTTAGAGGTCGATGGGGCAGTGACGTCAGAGGGTTTTCATTGTGTCGATCCAGTCAATGAAGTCAACGCGATCGCTAGGGGCCGTCGCAATCACAACCACAGTCTTTGTTTATAATGAGAAGGATTTCCCCAGTCATTGGGCTTTCACGCGTTACATTGCTCTACTCCTCTACTCTCTCATCGCGATCTCGGTCTACGCTGACACCCACCATCGTTCGCAACATGCCTCAAAAGCGCAAGCCATCGCAAAATGTGACCAGAGAAAATGGAACGAACAGCACCTCACACTCTAACAAACGGGGAAAGGCCGATCTATCATCACCGCATCCCAATGCGCGACAAGCGGAAGAATTCGGCATAGTCTTGCGACAGTTTTACCCGCCCGAGATGAGCAACGAGCGATGCCAAGCCTACAACGACGGCACGCTGGAACGACCAATGGAGGCACTGAATAGGGTCTGTGAAGAAACGGTGGATGCCCGTCTATCAATTCGGCCGAATGCGGCCGTGGTTCATTGGTTCAAGTCCGATCTCCGATTGCACGATAATCGTGCCTTGCGGAAGGCATATGAGCTTGCGCGCGAACATTCCATCCCTCTTATCGCGCTCTACATTCTCTCGCCCGAGGATCTCACAGCGCACTTGAGCAGTCCCGCGCGGGTGGATCTGACGTTGCGGACTTTGGAGCAATTGAAGCGGGACCTGGGCGAGTTGGACATTCCTTTGTACATGGAAACGCAGGAGAAACGGAGGGGTATACCACAGCGCATTATTGATCTATGTCAGGAGTGGGGTGCCAATCATCTGTTTGCAAACATTGAGTACGAAGTTGACGAGCTGCGTCGAGAGGCGAAGCTGGTTCGGTTGTGTGTCGAGAACGGTATTGCCTTTGACTTGCTCCACGATACCTGTGTTGTTCCGCCGGGTTTACTCAGTAGTCAACAGGGGAAGCAGTATGCTGTATACAGTCCATGGTTTCGCGCATGGCAGGTGTTTCTTATGGATAATCCAGATTATCTGGAAGCGTCAGAAGAGCCTGGCGCCAATCCTGGTAATACTCGGAAAGTCTTTAAAAGCCTTTTCGAAAGCGAGATACCCGGAGCACCGGATAATAAGGGATTGTCCGACGAAGAGAGGGAACATTTTCGTGAACTATATCCAGCGGGAGAACACGAGGCTTTAGATCGCCTCGAACGGTTTTTGGAGGAGAAAGCCACGGACTACGATGATATGCGGAATTCACTATGCAAGCAGACCACATCAGTTCTGAGTCCGTACTTTGCGTCTGGATCGTTGAGTGCCAGAACCGCAGTGGCTCAAGCTAAGAAAGCGAACAAAAATCAACTGGACCGGAATGACCTTGGCTTTGTATCTTGGATTAGTGAGGTGGCATGGAGGGACTTTTACAAACATGTGCTGGTTCATTGGCCGTTTATATGGTAAGCATGTGTCACCTCTCTATGGCTTACATGGGGCCGATCTAATAGGGACAGCATGAACAAATGCTTCAAGTCTGAATTTACAGACCTTGAATGGGAGTACAATGAGGACTATTTTAATGCGTGGTGCGAGGGTAAAACCGGATACCCCATCGTCGACGCTGCCATGCGACAGATAAATAGCGTCGCCTGGATGCACAACCGATCTCGCATGATCGTGGCCTCGTTTCTATCAAAGGATTTATTGATAGACTGGCGACGTGGAGAGCGGTACTTCATGGAACACCTCATCGATGGCGACTTCGCCTCTAACCACGGCGGCTGGGGGTTCGGTTCCAGCACTGGAGTTGATCCGCAACCATACTTTCGCATTTTCAATCCACTACGCCAGAGCGAGCGATTTGACCCGGATGGTGAGTATATCCGGCGCTGGGTACCGGAGCTGCGCGAAATCCAGGGATCGGCTATTCATGATCCGTATGAGCGCGGCGCGGGCGACCTCGCTGAGAAGAATGGATACCCGGGACCGATTGTGGATCATGCGACGAGACGGGCACTCGCCCTGGATCGCTATAAGAAGGCTGCTGGTGGAAATTCTAAGTAGAAGTGATGGACAGTGGAATGCCCCTGACTATTCGATGGGTCCAGCGCGGAATAACAGCTAGACTCCAGCTAGAGTACTCCTTGTCACAGAATATCCTACCTGTTAGTGGTCGAATGAGCACACAATGACCCTAGCGCCAGTCTTGGTGACAGAGGCGACACGGATATCAATATTATTACTCTAATCATGGCGAGCAAATAGTTGATGGTAATAACTGGATTGACGAATATGCCGACAGTCGCTTGCAAAGGTGGGCGATGGTCTTGCCAAAGGCAATGCGATTTGTGTGAACGTCCTGCTTTGAAATCTGTATTGTATTTAGATCCAGCTAAAGAGATAACTATCGGGGAAACAGCTAAAACCACAACAGATCAAATAGCCCACCATGTGTTAGTCAGACTAAAAGATTCCACTTGACCAACATCAGAAAATAAAAACGGAGGGGATAGTATCCATCACGAATGAAAACAACTTGAAGATCGGAGCGAAGTGAACAGAGGAGAAGCCAACATTCACAAGCCCGCCTGAACAAGATCATACTTAGATCACTGGAGTTCCCTGATAACCTCCAAAAGACTGTCTCGAACACCACAGGGAAGAGGCCAATCTTGAATACCGCCAAGCGCCATCTCTCTGTTTGTGAAATACCATTTCTCAATACTCTTGAGGATCATACGCGCCTTCTTGGAATATATGACATCAGCGGTATACCGAGGCTGGTGGCGTAGAGCTTGAGTGAGGCGGGTGGCTGGAACTCCCCAAGGATTCACCTGAAAATCGTCGATATAGTTCACATGTTCATGCAGCAGTCCTTGGTGTCCTCGGGGCCACTCTGCTCTCGGTTTATCGAAGAAAGAAAGATCATCCGGAGCCGCAAGCTGAAATGTTCTAAGATAGGTCGTGCGCTTGAACAAACCTTTCGGGGCCCAAACCCCATGTCTTTCGACTTGCCAGTGATAGTGTGCCGCGCGATGTGCGAGGTCAGTGGGCAGGGGATCGATCACAGGAGCTGAAGGGAAGGGGTCCTCAGTATCAAATTCGAAATCTACCAACAAGGCATCCCCGGGAAGGCTCGTACCATCATTGCCACTATCAGCGGTTCCTTGCTCCTGCCTGGAGGGCTGCTCCCGCTGGCGCCGCCGCTGCTCGTCTTCTTGGGCCTGTAATATAGTGATCCTAGCGAGTACGCCCCTTATAGCCTCTTTGAGCTTCTCGCAGCGAGTGACAATCGCTTCATTCACAAAACCGCCTTGTACATTGGCTCCGATCTCCTTGGCACACGGATTCACCATGCCAGTAACCCGGCCGAACGAGGATGAGTCAATCTCTCCACGGTCCTCGGCTGCTTGTTGCTCTCTGTACCAAACACAGAGATGGTCAAGATCTTCATGTGTCAGAGGATGCTGGAATATCGAGTTGTTACCTCGTCTGATCTGAGCGAGGACGAGCCGAACCTCCCAAAGCCTTCGTTCCTTGCGCCAAGAGCGCAGCAACAGGAGGAAATTTTGACGGTATGTGGTCAATTCGATTATGTGAGCGTGTATCATCTCTCTGACTTTGATCAGTCTAAGCTTTTCGGTAGCAAAGCCAGGGTCAAGGCAGCAGTCTGCGCTATTCAAGAGTCGTCCAGTCCTGCTAGCGATGGCCCAAAAAGGGGGCTCAAGAGAAACATGTAAAAGTGCGACATCAAATGCCACACGAGTTCTGACACCAGAATTCTCATCCACATGATCCGGGACATTTAGGACCATACCAACAGGGACTGTATCCAATCTAGGCTCCCGGTAGGTCGGGATTTCAGGTGGGCACTCCGTGAACGACAGAATATCGCTGGGTCGATAGGCGTGAGCAGCAAATTGTTCAGGAAGAAACCAGAACAGTGGGTAGCCACGGCGTTCAGTATTGACCGACTGATGCTGGTTTTGAAACTCACCAGTTTCTCTAGCGGTGCTGCTGTGCTGCGTATGGTTCAAATGGGTTCTTTCCTTTGGGGTCTCCTCATCACCAGTGCGTTGCTCTGCCTCCGCGGTAGACTCCTTTTTGGTTTTAGCAGATCTATCGATAGGGACGTTGGTTTGGACAGGCTTCGCCTCGGACGGTTCAAGTGGAGACTGTTCCATATTGCTGGATGCGGAGAGATCAGGGGTTCCAGTCCTCTGCCTCTTTGGTGAGGGACGGCGAGGATTGCTTCCCCGTCGCAATCGGCGTGTTCCTCTCATTTCTTGCTCCGATGTGACTGTGGGGTGGTATGGTTTGAATACCAGTTCTTTCATCGAGGTTATAGGGTTGTACGAAGAGGTGATAGTAAAGACAGACAGATCTCACGGATAAGAAGTTGGAAGAAGTCGCGGTGCGCGAAAAGAGTGTTTTGGTTATTACGCGAGAAAGAACACAAATCAATCAGTGAATATCAGGCACGAAAAGACACGGGCCGCGTGAATTGAACGCCACCTATGCAAAGATGAAACAAGCTACCAATGGGCGCTGAACATAAGGCAAGGCAACTACATACACGGGAAATATAGGATGCAGTGACTTTCACTCATGTCTTTCAGTAGACAGTGGTCATGGCAACGCACATTCCCAGTGCTCCCCCCCGACGTAGGTACTTCTTAGTGGATATCTGTGTGTTATTAATAACACCACTCGCGGGTATCAAGTTTGTGCACTATCACTAACCTGCAATGATGACGCTGGAAGGCAACCCCGAGCGCTGGATTGTCATTCACGTACTTTGTCCCCGTGATCGTCTCTGGGGCTATGCCGAGTTCCACCCAGGCCACCAACGCAGCTAAGATATTTTCATTTCTGTTAAACGGTGTCATTGTTGGCACAGGGCTGCCACCCTGCCCAAATGCCCATGCGCCTGGACCTGAGCTACAGTGGGACATGCCAGAGATACGGAAGAAACGGAAGAAATTGTCAAGCTCGGAGGCAGACATGTTCATAGTTGTCGAAAGATGATTGTAAAACCGCTCCGTGTTGAAGCTTGTAATTTTGCCATCCTGCTGTCCATGGTAGGTGATTATCCTTCCTCCTCGTTTTTGTAGTTCGACAGGTCGTTCGGCCAGGTTCTGATACTCTGTGGATTTAAGTCATCCGCGACCTTTGCGTCATGAATATCAAACTCGGCTGGATTCCATGACGGATCATAGACCACATATTGAAACCATTCCTTATATCTCGGATGAGCACACGATACGACTACGATCGACCAGGAGCACATACCTTAGAATAGCTGAACGGCTTTCCTGAATAAAGCTTGTCTGCGGCCTCCAGCTCGCTCCCTGGTTGCATTGCGGGGAATATTAGTTGTTCATCTTCACCGTACATTGGACTAAACACCTTCCGTACGATCTCTACCTGCGCAGGGCTCAGACAGTTATCTATTCTATCGTTTGTGCACATTAGCACCTCCGGATGAAAATGGCACAAGGTAGGATCCTCGATGATGCCGTCATCGACACAGTCAAGTGTATCGCACTGGGCCAACACCTCAGGGTGAATCAGGTTCTTCCATGTTGATACGCTTATGAAGTTCGCAGAGTCAGCGGAACCTGTAATAGGGAAGAAGCTTGCTCTCCAAGAGACAAGATTGTTGAAGTCCAGTGCTGGTGAGCCGGCAATAATACCATCAAAGTCGTCCGGGAAGGCCACAGCGGAATGGATCCCCTGCCGGCCCCCTAAAGAGCAACCCAGATAATATGAGTTTGTATGCGGTTGCCCATAGAATGCCTTGGTGACTTGTTTACCTATGACTGTGCTAAGATGAAGTCTGCTAACAGTTAGCTACCTAGAGCTGCATCAACACACGCGTCGACAGGATGACATACGCTCTCCAAGAGAAATCGGCGAGGATATCCGAGTTTTGATAAAATGAGACGGCAGTCGTGCCATTGTGTCCGTTGTTCGACCCGACCACGGCGAATCCGTTCGCGGCCCCGTATGCCAGATCCTCATATTTTATACCTGTTCAGTGACTTGTCATGAGATTGCCTTCACAATCACGAACATTTTTGTTCTCGACAGGTGTTAACATACAGCCATCGATCCCGCCATTTCCAGTCCCCAAGAACCTGCCAGTCCAATTTCGAGGGAGCCAGAGCTCTGTGGTCACGCTTGATCTGTTGGATGTCTCCAGATATAATGCGACACGACAAAGGTCTACCGGGACAACCTGATACGGGCGAGCACAGGTTGCATCATTGTACGGCAAACTGAGGTTTGTCCCCGCGGGCACATACTCAACGAATTCACGATGTGCATCCGTAGTCCTCGTATCGGGTGAAAAGGCTTGGCACGAGTCTTGAAAGTCGGCTCCCACGGCCAAGGCGAGGGATAGATTTACGCCGAGAATGTTCAGCCATAGTGAGACCTTCATCTTATCTCTTTCGACGTGAAAGTGAATCGGTATTCCGCCCGCTTCGCAATATCCATCGATTGTCGTGGCATATGACCGTGAGTGACCAAGCTACGACTCCAAAGAGGGAGGGAAGTGCAGAAAGACGTGTCCCTTGCGTCTTATCTTCGACTAGTCCCGTTCTTGGCGGCTGATCACTACGATATGGGGATACGGTACTTTTGAATTGGTGATGATGCTCGCATATAGTCGATGTCGCGACTAAGGAGAGGGAAAAACAAATACACACCAGAGGATGATTCACAGATTGCCATGAAGACGGTTTCTGCAATTGAAGTTGTAGTAGAAGCACGAGTATCGACCTCTATACATGGCATAATAACAGGCCAACAGCGGAATGGGGTAAACCAGCTTCAAGGTGACGTAGAGTAGAGGCAACTTTTAAACAGTGCAGCATGCACATCCAATCAATCAAAAATTCTGACATAGGTATCAACTCGCAGGTGTATTGCTTGATAACTTACGGGAATCATCTACCGCTGGAAAGAATACCTGATGCTTTAGCGTCAGGATACAGTGGGGCAAAGCTTGTACATACAGAGACTAAATCTGGACTTTACAAACCTGATATCACATCACAGAGCGCAGATTAGATTGTAAAGAATCGTCAATTAGTAATTATTAATAATGGAGAATTAATAATCGGACCTGCACGATTTTCAGTCGACGCCTGGGATTCGGCAGGGACGTGCATATCTCCACCTGCAGTGTCCAAGGCGGATGACGTCGTTAGGGAGAAGCGTTAGAGAAAGAAGGTATAAGTATAAAACATCTGCTATACACATCACCAAGGAAAATTCTCACATCAACCATGACTCACAATATCCTGCTCACCGGCGCCTCGGGCTATCTTGGGGGTACTCTACTGGCCCGCTTGAAACAGACAGATTTACCTCCATATGGCAAGCTTTACGCCCTTGTTCGCTCTGAAAAACAAGCCGAATGTGTACAGGAATATGGAGCAGAGCCTTTACTCTGCAACGTTGCGGAGCATGATCAATTGACACAGGCCATTGTTGACAGAGAGATTTCTGTGATATATTTCCTGATCGACGCTTACGGCCAGACACATCAGCAAGTGATGATCAGGGCCCTTGGGAAGGTAAAGGAACGCACAGGTAAAACGGTGCATTTCTTACATACAACCGGTGCCAAACAGTTCAGTCGACATGGAGGTGTTCAAGATAACAGAGCCTTACTTGACACCGACCCGATGCTCTATGACATCCAGAAAAGTGCTGTCCCACCGTATGAATGGTTTGCTCAGGTATCAACCTTCCTGTCCCAGCGCGTACAGTAACAGGAATACTAAACTCACTCGCCTCTTGAATAGGGTCTTAGAACCAATGTCGCAGTTGTTGACACCGCAGAGGAGAATGGAGTGCGAAGTTACATATTTGCTCCCTGCATAGTATACGGAGAAGGGGAGGGGTTCGGCAACCGCATTTCTATTCAGGATGTCGCAGTGGTGAAAGCCGCAAAGAAGACAGGTCGTGTCTATATGGTCGATTCTGATGGCCCCGTGAGTTACACGTCGATCATCACGGGCTATCTGTCATAGCGCTAACATGTCCGCCAGATCTGGCCTGTTTGTCATATTATTGACAACACCACTCTCTACTTGCAGATTCTGCGACAGATCTTGCTCGGGAATGATATCGGGTATAACAGGAATGGGTTCTTCCTTGCTGCCTCCGGAAGTATAGCTTGGAAAGACATATATGACGCTTTTGCTAAAGCTTTATCAAAACGTGGTGTGGTTAGTGATAGTACGGTGGCACAGGGAGACGAAACAGCGCTGGGAAAAATGGGTGAAGCACTGGGAGTGGACCCATCTGTTGTACCTTTTCAAGTGGGCGGCAAGTACGTGATTCACTATCCTCAACGCTACCTTCCCATAAATGTTAACCTAGTCCAGCTGTACCTTCACTGCAGTCCATGGCAAGCAGATCGGCTGGGAGCCGCAGTATCCACCGGAGCATATACTCGAAGCAGCAGATGACGAGGTTAAGCTGATTCTGAAGAGCCTTGCATCAAAGGCAACCATTGGGTGATCCTAAACCTACTCTACGAATGGTTGGTTACTGGTAAAGGACTAGATAGGTAAGCATGGCAGGATTGCGAGTACTGCATTGGCATTATTTCAACAAGGGCCTGCAGCTATGATGTATGCTCATGCATGTTGATGCTACGGCCCTTGCGATACACAATACAAACTAAAGCTAGAGCAATAGAGAATAGAATTCTCATTAGCGAGATTTTACCAAACTCGGCTGATGAGCCTTCATGTTCATGGCTCCTACTAAGTCCACTTACAGGTCCCGTTAAATTCATATCGTTCTTCATAAGGACGTTTCCGTTCTTTGAGTTACTCTAATTATGTCCCTCAATATTCGTAGGGGAATGTACCGAAGAAAGAAGAATTCCCTATACCTCCAGAAACTAAGCTTTGCTCTCCCTGACAACCGAATTCCCTCCTTCTAACCCACGAAATAAGCACGATCACCAAGCTTGGTATATGTTATGTCTAATCTCGCTATCTAATTACCCAGATGCACCTGAGGTACAGGTGACGCCGAGGTCTGAAGGAGTGTTGCCACACAGAATCTTTGCATCTCCCGATGGAGCTTTCACCTCGAAGCCACTGATGGTGACATCGCAAGTGCCCTTAGAGCCACAATTCAGATTTGCTACCACAGGGTCCTCCTTGGCACTCGTGGTGCCCGTAAATCCCTTAACAACAATGCCTTCCAGCACGGCATTGCCAGGATTTTCTTCACAATATTCATCATCTTCGCCATAGCAGCTTTGAATCTGGAAGGCATAATCACAGCCGTCGACAATGAAGTCTTCAAATGTGGCATTCTTCACCGCTGACACGCCATGGTCTCCACCACTAGGGTAGGTTTTGATGCCTGCTGCTTTGCTCGAGTTGATCATTGTTATGTTGCGAGCATAAACGTTCTGGACGATATCATCGCTGGACTTCCCAAGTGAGCCCACCGATATGCCATGAGACCCTGTGCACGTCACATCCTCAACGGTTACGTAGTTTGCGCCAGGCTTGAAAGCCACACAGTCATCGTCGTTTGTGATAGCGACGGATGAGATGATGACATCGGTACTGGCGCCTATGTCAAAGGCGTCTGTATTCTTCGGAAGATTGTCCGACTCTGAGGTGGCATCCATAGTCAGACTCGTAAACTGGGCATTTGATGTGTCGCCTTTGACAGAAATGAACACGTTTGGCGGATTCTTCTGTCGAAGTCCAGAGACCTCGATATTGCTGCCCCCGGTGATGTAAAGTAGGGTCGGGCGCTTGTAGCTGCTGTCCTCTGCAAATTTATCCCATCTATGCAAGCCAGTTAGTCAAGACATAGTTCAATATAGACGAGAAGCAACGTACGACTCTTGGCCATTCCCATCAATAACTCCAGAGCCCGTTACCGAGCGAAGCTTCAGCCCGTCAATATCCGAGACACTGATCATGGCCGTCTTTCCATTCCAGTAATCTGTGGAGCTGGTAAACTGGAGCAACCCTTCCACCTGGAAGTCACAGTTCGAGCAGCCCTTGAAATCGAGCACGCTATTCAAGTAATATGTCGTATCGGCCGGGATTACGATCGTACCTCCATCACCGCATGATGTGATCGCTTCCTGAATTGCTGGAACATCGTCGGTCGAGGAGCTTCCACCAGCAGTGGGCGTGCAAGCAGCACGCGGCTTGATAGTCCTATCCGGGGATATTTCGCTTCTCGATGGGGCAGCTCTGCTAAGTCCAAATAGCGAGAGCAGTAAAACGCTGTTGAGGCCGACCATATTCGCACTGATTTACGCCAAGCTCCCAAATGCTTATTTGTTGTGTACGCCACGGAAGATAGAATCGACAAAGGCCAAATATATAGCCTCAAGACGCAGAATTCATCGCCTCCAGTCACAACAACGTCCCACCATTGTGCCAGTCTTGTCGATCACAGGTGCCATTGCGAATACGAGGGCTGCACAGGACTCCAGGAAGGACAAGCTGCTTTGACGGAGAAACGTGTTCATCAAGATTGTCCGTCACCTCCGCGCGCTGCCCAAAGCTTGTTTTGCTTAAATTGCTCTTACTCTTCCAACCGAGATTAGGGAATTGATCGTCGTCCGGGGTGAAACACATTGGGCAGGAATAGCCCGGCTAAATGAGCACCCGCTTTTAACCTGTGGGCCTCCGCGAACTCCGGCACTTGCGCTTTGCCGATTGATGGAAGAATTCTAGAACACCATATATCTGAATACGGTGTAAAGGTCGTTAGAGACATGTGAAACAGTGTGCTGTGTTAAGTCCGGGCCACACCAGTGTGCAGGGTTTATAATGGTGCTCATGAACATCATTACTAGTCAGGTACAGCACTGCTTGCATCCGATCTACCTATCACATTCCATCGTCGACCCAGTATGCGCCCGGCCCTTCTGAAAACTGCTCTGTTGAGCTTCAGTCTCTGTAGCTCTGCATCTGTGCTGCCCAGGAATTCGGGTCGAACCAGTGCGCCATCCGGATGTTCCACGGTAGGCAAGTCTGGCAATTATTCAACCATCAGCGATGCCCTCGACGCTCTGGGCTCATCGACGGCAGACGCATGTATTTATATTGCAGCCGGCACATACGAGGAGCAGCTGATTATTGACTATGCGGGCCGCTTGACGTTATATGGGGAGACAAATGATACCGAAACATATAAGCAGAATACCGTCACTATCACCCATACCTTATCATCTCCGGAATCTGGCTCTCTCGATAGTAGTGCCACTGTCAATATCAAGTCGGACTTGGTTTTGGTATACAACATCAATATAGCGAATGGATATGGGTCGGGCGCGCAGGCCGTTGCGTAAGTGATTAGTCTTTTCCACTATGTGTACGAGTAACCCAAAAATACATCTAACATGTAGCTGCTCCCAATACTAGACTTGTCGCCAATGCCGACCGACTTGGATTTTATGCCTGTCAATTCACAGGGTACCAGGATACTCTGTATGCCAAATCCGGCCATCAGTACTATATCAATTCTCGCATTGAAGGTGCGTTACGCAGTGCCCTTTTCCGGCTTCAAGGCCTTGAACCAGATCTAGATCGGTATTAATCTATTCACAGGCGCGGTCGATTATATCTTTGGCGACGCCGCTGCCTGGTTTGAGAATTGCGATATAGTCTCGAATGGTGCTGGCTACATCACCGCCATGTCGCGAGAGGAGACGTCTGACACTGCGTGGTACGCCATTGATCACTGCAATATCAAGGCAGCGTCCGGAGCGGACCTGACTGGTGATGTCTATCTGGGCCGACCCTGGCGAGTCCTCGCCCGCGTGATCTATCAGTACTCAGTCCTATCCGATATTATCAACGCCAAAGGTTGGCATTCTATGGCGGATGGTGCAACGCCGCTTTATTATGAGTTCAATAATACTGGTGCTGGATCCGACACATCGGAACGAGAGTATCTGAGCACCATTGATGCTGCCGTGACAAAAGAAACAGTCTTAGGAGATAACTACAATGATTGGGTCGACTCCAGTTTCTAGGTGAATGAAGCATCGTCAGTTCTAGGTATATTAAGTAGAAACACTAGTGTTATCTCTATCCAGCAGTGATTTATTAACAGCATTGCTTTGAACCTTGTGAACTATGTAGGAGATGTTCTTAGGAAAGCCCTGAGGTCGGCTCCGAGATATATTTCTGAGAGAGGTAATGGACCATGTAATCGGGTCGGCTCATGACTTTCTTTTCTATATCCGTTAGTGCTTTGAATTCTACTAAGCTAGGGGCACATGGGGAACCTTTCTGTTTTCTATATTCTCGAAAGTGTGTTTTATATTAGCAAGTTGGTCTATCTTAATTTAAGAATAAAGTAAAAACCAAGGGTCCCTGATGTGCTGCCTGCACACCTGAGGCAGAAAGGCCTGAATTGCGTGCTTTCTAAGCAATGCTCATTGGCTCCTTGCCTGGTACTGCCGAGAGAGGAATAGTGAAACCCCACGGATGACTCTTGCCGGCCCTAAATCTTCACTCCTCCAACTCTACCGTTGGCATGATTCACTCTGGGCGATGGACGGGTCATCCTCGACTTACGCCGCAGAATCATGCTGGACGTGTCGTCGCCGCCGCCGAAGATGCGACCGCTTGCTTCCAGCATGTCGCAAGTGTGAGATAATGCAAGATCAATGCCTCGGATACGCCAAGGAACGGCCTCTCCGGTGGACGAATAGCATCGCCAGCCGCGGCAAATGGATGGGAAAGACCGTGCCAAGCGTTGGATCGCCAATGTCAATCGGGCGGTTACTAATTGACCCTGGTCTCCAAGACCTAACGAGGCCGATGCGCGAGAACATCGCATACTGTATGTAGATTAACCTCCACATGGCACGAGAACATACTGATCGTGGCGCGTAGTTGAGCGAAATTGCAGCCCAGAGTGTGTGATATATGACCTAGGACCGAATAACCCCTTCAAGGAATTCATGAGCCTAATACCGTCCAGTCGGGGTCTTTGTCATATTATGGTTTCCATTGCAGCGCTGCACCAGGCGCAACGCGAGTTAAATAGTACTCGCTTAATCGGTAACGAGCAGTTTCCTGGAGCGCTGGACACTGCGGAAGGGGCAAGAGAGTCACCCCGGTTCTACCAATATCTCTATCACAAACAGCAGGCTCTTTATTTGTTAAGAACTAGGTACCACGAGGCACTATGTCACGACTCTTATGGCGTTATTGCTTCCGTCCTCCTGTTCATTTGGCTGGCATGTTTGGAAAGCGGGAGAAACACCTGGGCATATCATCTCAACGGACTGAAGCAGATTATGCAGGCCCAAATCCTGTCTATGGATTTCGCACCGTCGACAAGCTTGACTGCAGCATTTTGCCGATTCTATGAATATTTCGACACGAGCTATGCCATGTTAGTAAAACCCTGGCCCTCTCTTGAACGGGTGTATGCCTAACATCGCAGCTTCGAAATTCTCGGTTCGACATTGGTAAAAAACAAACAGCAATATAAGCCTCTCTTCACGTCAATACCGATCATTGACATCCTCAAGCGCTCCGAGTCCTTAACATGGACGGGCTGTCCGGCAGACGTCCTCTACATACTGTCACTCGTCAACTCCGCCTGTTCAGGTCCGGTCGCTCCGGGGCCTGACGTTATCATTCACCTTTTCTCTCAGATCGAAAACTTTTCGCCTCAACGATGGGCTTTTGCAACGCCTAATACGTCTTACCTAACCGTCCGGTACCATGTTGCATGCATATATAAAGCAGCCGCGTTGATCTACATGTCCCAGGCCTTGTCCCATACATCGCAGCAGTATTACCCTATCGAATCGCATATTCCCGGCTCACTGGATTCCATCATTGCCCATTTCACATCGGTAGGTCCGGGGGACACCCACTTCAAAGGGCTCTTGTGGCCAGCGTTCATCATTGGAGCCGAGGCACAAACCGAACACCAGAGGTCAGCAATCATGGAGGTGTTTGAGCACCTGTGGAGCTTTTGGCGCGCTCATAATGTTAGCCACGCGCTAGAGGTTCTCCAGAAGATTTGGGAGCGACAGGCTACCCCTGAGGGAGCGGCACAGCCCTGGATTGAATATTTGTATGAACAAGGGGAAAATTGGATGTTTGTATAGTACTAGACTAGAGCCTTTATATGGCAATCTCCCGCTTAAGTGAGTGTTGGAACATTAAATGGCCTATAAGAGTAGTTTGCCATTTCCTGTAAATCTTACTTTATGAAGTTCTAAAGGTGTACTGTCACTCGTACCTGGGAAATGGCTTTGTGACCTATTAAAAGAACTCTCGGAATACTAATTGGGAATGTGATGACTAGTGGAAATTGAGAAAGGACTGGGTGCAGTATGTTACCCACAGATACTGAGCGTATAATGGTCTATGAATTATGCAGTGGTGTGGCCACTAGGAGGAATAATATAAGTAAATAGAGTACTACGGCAAGGGACATACATGCTGCTTGTATCGACATTAGAAGCGCCAATGGTGTGACGGCGCGATAATAATAAAAATTATATGGTTTTGTGACTTAAAGCTGCAGACACTAGCAGCATGAGATTAACATGTAAAGATATAATTCGTCCAGCGTCGGTGCGCATACACCGTATCGATGGATTATTGCACGGCCTTTGCCCATATGCCATCCACATCCTCGTCCGGGCTCATGTTATCTACAATACCCAGTGCCGTGGTCGGTTTCTTGTAACCCAAGAGTTCCAACATCTTAGGGCTCATCTCCCGAACCTTGCTTCTTGGGATAGCAAGGAATTGGTTCTCCTCGGTCCGAAGATGGCCACGGATAAAGAATAAACTGTGCATCGTTCGGACAGAGTCAGGTACAGAATTATGCCCGCCGCCATGGAACGCCGAAGCGAGGAAGATCAAGGCCGAGCCGGGCGACATTTCTTTCTAGTTAACATGCGCATCTTATGGGATCGTGCATGACGCAAGTAGATGAGGATTACATACCTGCAAAGCAAACTTCGTCCGCACGAGCCCACCGATCATCATCCCACTTATGACTTCCCGGGACGAACATTGTCCCCCCGTTTTCTCGCGTCACCTCACACCCGGCAATTAAGCATCCAAACTGGCTCACCTGTTTGAAGCTCCATGGGACAAAAGGATTTCGTGTGTGGCGGATATTGTGAACGTTATCATCACGATGTAAAAGTTGTCTCGGGGCTCCATAGCCGATGTTCATTGATACGCTGAGACTCAGCAGCGGGTCGAGTGTGTTGGGCTCGGCATTGCCCTCACGATATAGAACAAAGTCGTCGCGAAGGATTCGCTGTCGCAGTTCCTCGAGTACCGGGTACTCACAGATTTGTGCGACAGTTTTAGACTTCCCAACCAACCCGGGCACAAGTGTTGTTTGGGGAGGGATCGTGGTAAATGCATCGCCGTCGACAGTCGGGTCGAGGTGGCGACGGTGCTTACCATTCCAGGGTTGGAGTTCCTGTTCGATCGCAGATAGGTCGTCCTTTGAAACAATGTCTGTGAGGATTACGCCACCATCACGCTCGAGGATTGCGAGGATATACTCAATCGGTGTTGTCGCGGGGATCTTTTCTACGGATGCCGTGGGCTGATATGAGGGATCGATCGGGGCTGGCATTGGGAGTGGAAGTCGCGTCATGGTGATATGGTAGCAATGGTCAGTAGGAAGTATTCTTCGTTCTTCTAGTCTTGATAGCTCAACAGGGATAGACAAATACCACTCTTAAGCATATGGTATCCCCGCAGTTAGAGATCAACTGCGGGGATAATGGCCTGCTATCGGGTGGAGTGCTCTCATTTTTTATACCGCGTTGGGAACTTCCGAGGTTCGTCATTCTTGACATATTTTCCTACGCCATCGAAGGGATAGTATCCACGTTTACCGCAAGTTTGTGTGGCACTAGAAGCCATAAAGCATGTCAGCACTGTAGATTGGCTTCCCCTATCGGATTTAATGGTATGATGCTCTTTGTAGAACTGCTGTTCCCAGGCTACCAATATCACACGTCAAAAGTGTTACCACTACGCAACATCCATCAAGTTTACCGCAATTGCAACGATATTAAAACCCACAGGACTTGCATACCGGTCTTCAATGGCTCTAACATCATATAGTAGAAGCAAAACAATAATAAAATGACACGGTCGGCAATAAGCCTTCTTACCATACCGACATGGGCAAGCAGTCCGATATATAGACACCGAGGGATAGCATTAAACCTGGGAGTGCGTCAACCTCTTAGGGATAATCGGCATTTCCACAAATCGTCTATAGAAATCAATGCTCTCTTCCTCTCCTATTTCTTTTGATCGTAGCCCTGTACCCCCTAAACTCGATAGATGAACATGTAGTTAACACAGATGCCGATATAGGTTATTCGCCCACCGCCAGTGATCAGGTTTGTGAGCCTACCACGATTAGCATAAATTCAGGTCCATTGTGAACTCACTTATCAGTCTAGGACTTGCACGGAACGGCCCCCCAGCTTGAGATACGAGAGGCAGCCAAAGGCCAAGGCGACCAGGAGGCAGTATATTGGCCCTCCATTCTGAGTACACTTGCGGATGATCTTAGATGCCACCGAGAAAGCCCATATACTGCCTTAACCGATGTACCATTCATGGTTATTGGACAGTCAAAGATCGATAACTGAAATTCCGAGGATCTGGGCATTATATAGGGGGTCGGTTGACTCGGCACTGGCGTATTCCATATTATTAAACCGTGACCGCAGTCCTTCAGGCAAATGAAGTTTCGGGGAGCTGGGCGTGATACGCCTTGAAGGGATATGTAACAAGAACATATAGTAAACATACAAAAAAGGATAACGCTTTTACGGGTACATGGCCTTTCCCTCTCTGCCCGAATTCGATCAGGAGAAGATTCTCACGGCTTCTGTGGAGCGTTTACTGTTGCCGGTCCCAACCGAGAAATCCGACACGGATTCTAGCCCCAACACGAATCTGCAGAATTGAAGATCCACGCTCTGCCATTACATTGGGAATAGAAGCATCTCCAGCCACGTGGCACTGTTCTAGAATTGATGCGTGCCCAGCTCGGAAAGATCGATGAAAAGAGTGAGGGCATCGGTTGAGGAATCCGAGATAGGCTCGGGGAACGGCTGCCGGCTATGAATTAGCGCAGGACCTTCGTTAAAACTCCTATACAGCTCAATCGAGATGTAGTGCTGGATCGAGGTACGTCGGGATACCCTTGCGATTGTTGTAGTATAAGAGACACACGGTGCGAATGGAAGTTCATGTTTTACTACTCAAGCATTCTTAAACAATATATATGATTGCATGCGCCTACAGTCTTCGAAGCTCCTTACAATAAATACCTTAAATCCATTACGTTCCTCACTTGCTATACATCCTGTACCCTCTGAAAACTTTGGAACGCAACCATGCAAGCCAGTGAACTGCGCGAAGTCTCCCTTGCCCTCCGCGCTGCCCGCCGCAATCAAACACCAATCGAAACACCCACAAAGACATGGCCTGCCCTCGATGCCGAAGGCGGTTTCGAGGTGCAGCGGATCACTGCTGAGGAAGCCATTAAGAGCGGCGATCGATTGGTCGGATATAAATTAGGAAACATCGCCAAGGTGATGCAGGATGCGTTCGGACTTGATCATCCGGACTATGGGTTCCTTCTGGCGAGTACATTTGTATATGAAGGGACAACCCTCGACCGGAAGCAATATATTAAACTGTTCGTGGAGTTAGAGCCGGCATTTGTGCTTCGAGGACCTCTGCGTGGGCCAAACTGCACGGTTGCCGATGTCATAAATGCTGTTGATTATGCCATTCCCGCCATTGAAATTATTGATTCCCGCGTGAAGGATTGGGCGATCGACCTCCCGGATACCTTGGCTGATAACGGTTCAACTGGTGCGGTGATTCTGGGTGGTACTCCACGGAAGCTTACTGAGTTAAACTTGCGCGACACCCGCGGCACATTGCGTTTTAACGATCGGGAAGTTATGTCCGGCAACACTGCCAACATCCTTGGAAATCCTCTTTCTGCTACTGCGTGGTTGGTCAATCGACTGGCTGCCTATGATATCGAATTCAAACCCGGCCAAGTGATTCTGCCTGGTAGTTGCTTACAGGCCGTCCCCATGGAGGAAGCGGGCCATTGGACTTGCACGTTTGAGGGCTGGGGAACTGTCGAATTTGACGTTGTATAATCTTCAGAAAAACTTTTTTTATATGTGAAAGAAGAGGTAGTTACTTAGGCTAGTTGACCAAGAAATATATTCTACATCGCATAGACCGCAGGAACAATAATACTACATCCAGTGCCAACGGGACCATGCCATGTTTAGTACACAACACGTCTCCTCCACGTAGAGAATAGCTAAGACGTATATATAATACCCCTCTGATTGTTGTCCTTTACCTTGCCCACTCTGATGGCAACCAGGGTCAAGAGAGAGGAAAAATGTCCAGTCGGCTCCACCTAGACGGGATTAAAGAACCCAATGGGGCATAGGACGATAAGACGGTACTTATCCGAGTCTACATTTCGCTTACTTGTCTTGGTATGTGGATCCCATCGCGTGTCTGGTTTTCCACTCCCCGCGTCCAATTTTGGCACAAGCTCCATGCCGGATGTCGACCCAAGAGACTGATGTCGATGTCATTGGCTCATGAGCATAAGACGAAGACCCAACAGAGGGGAGGCAAACCATGGGGAGAAGGTGAAAATAAAAGTAAGTGAAAGAGGGGGCGGAGAGAGAGAGACAGACCCTAGAAATAAGCAAATAACAAGCCAAATTAAGGATAACAATAAAGTACTGCTTCGAGATCTGCAGGCGTTCTTTCTGTCTCTAGGAAGAAGAGCCCCAACATGAATGCTCGGTGGAAATACTCACTCGTTTTGATTAGGGCTAGGGCTGAAGATCGTTAGTCCTCCAAGTCTGGCATCCTAATGGAACCCCACAAGAAGATAGACTGGGCGGTTCCATTCATTTGAGACTACCAATGAAGAGGCAAATGAAACTAGCCTCTAACTATGCGGGGGACATGCATACGAGGTCAATGCGAAAGCGCCTCCTCTCACGGTTATCAACTCATATCCGATCCCTGTGGCGATCTCTGACCTCAAACATCACCGCGATAGGCATCTCAAGTCTCGGTGCGCTATGGCAACAGAGGTGCCAATCCAACCCCGCAAGCTAAGGCGAACAGCGAACGCGTAAGTAACCTTCACCCGCTTTAATCTATCTTTAATCTAACGTGCTTGGCATCACCAGATGCGTTGCTTGCCGTCAGAGCAAAATCAAGTGCTCGGGCAAAGAGCCGTGCGCCAACTGCCAACGTCGTGCTGTAAAATGCCGATTTGTGGAAGGAAGCAACAAAATCACAGTCACGGAAAGGTTCGTCGGTAGCAATTTTCAAGTCATATTGCGCAACAGCAAAATAACCACGTCCGTGTTGGTTCCAGTTACCTACAGCAACTGCGACGCCAGGCGAAAGCGCACCAGAGTCCAACGGGCACCAAACGTTCTGCGGGTACAGCCTTTGGGTCTGTAGTCGAGGTCGACGATGTGTCTGAAGGTGAGCTTCCCAACTCGTCCTTGCATTGGGTTTCCGGAGCTAAAGGGACACAGAGCTGGCTTACCCTCCAAGGGAGGAACCATCTTTACCCCCGAAAACGATTGACCATGCACGTAGCATCTGGACAAGCCCGTTCACCTTACCCTCGAGAACCATCAAGAATACATATAAGAACAAACGCAACTGGAGTACGTTTCCTAATCCTTGTGATAGATATGTCGGCACAGAGGTACAACCACTAACGTGTCTTCATACAGTTTGGCTAGCCCCTACGTCAGTGTGGTCTTTCACCGCGAGGCTTAGCGTTATGTTGTCCGAGAAGCTGCAACTCGAATCGCCCTACACAACCCCGAGCCAGCTCGACCAAGACATATATCCACTCCGTTGGAAGCAGGCCACAGCTGAAGGGCCTCCTGATATTAGCGGCTTGCCTTCAGTTGATCATGCGCTTTATTTATTTGACACAGTTAAATTCCATCTTGGTGTGAAATATCGTTTCTTTGATGAACGTACTTTCTTGGGACATATTCACGAATTCTATTATGGAGATGCCGCCCAGAAGGCTACTGAATCGCGCCTTTGGTTCGTCCAGTTCCTACTTGTCCTGGCATTTGGAAATGCATTTCTCTTGCAGTCAAGGAATGCAAAAGACCCGCCTGGGTCGAAGTTCTTCGTACGGGCAATGGCGCTTATGCCAGACCACGCCTCCCTCTGGAAAGACAGCCTATTGGCAAGTGAGACATTGGCGCTGGCTGGGCTCTACTTATATTGTATTGATCATCGAGAGTCAGCGCACGTCTATGTGAGTAAAGCGCTCTAGTACATTCAGACGGCCTTGTTTCCACTGTGCGCCATTGACAATCCTTCCTTGCACAGGTCGGCCAAGCGATACGAATAGCTCAGTTGGAAGGTTTGCATACCGAGCTTCCCGAAGATGAGCTAGGTGCAGCGACAGTCACTCGGTGTCGCAATCTCTGGTGGACCTTATATATCATGGATCGCCATCTCTCCTCATCATTAGGGCTACCGATGACGACGCAGGATAGCGACATAACCACTTTGATCGATCCACCAAGCTCATGTCCGCAGCGAGATGTTACATTAAGTCTGCAGGTCAGACTATCACATCTGCTCTCTTCTATATTGACCTGTAAGGCAATCTAGATGTTCATCAACCTTTACTACAGGCAGTAAGCTAATTGAAATTTGTTATAGCCATTTACAAGAACGAGAAAACACAACTGGGAACCTTCTTGGAGACAACCAGATCCATTTTGCATACAATGGCTGGTCACGCGCAAGAAATCGAAAGCATCATTCACATGAAGAATGAGAATTCCGTAGATACGATGCCCAAAGGGACACGGCATATCACATTGCTATACCACCAGGTCAGTGCAAAGTTACCATAGCGCACCCTGGTCGATAATTCGCTTCTTGTGTTGCTTTCTCGGCTAACCTGGCAAAGTGTGTCATTGTTGCCACACGACCCCTGCTCCTCTCTGTGCTCAAGGAAAGACTAGATAAGCTTGATCATGGAGAAGAAGATTGGCAGAACTTTTTGGCTCCTACAAAGAGTCTAATATCAACGGGGATCAAGTCAGCTGCCAAAACGCTGCAGATCTTGACGCATGAAGACAGTCTCCTGGGTACAGTCTCTTTATTTGTCTTCAGAAGCCAACGATGCGCTGAACTAATCATAACACAGAGGTCTTCCTTCCTTTTGACTTGGAATTCACCTATGCTGCTGCGATTCACTTAGCGATGGCAGATACACTGTTTCCGCACTCTACTGAAGGCCAGAACTACAGTGAGGAAGTACATGCGATCCTTGACGAGATGATCTACAAAGGTAATAGGTTGGCTGCGGTGCGGAAAGGCGAGCTGGCACATCTAGAAACACTTTTCAAGGATCTCGCAACACGGATCGAGCGGCGTGGTTTGCAAACTTTAACATTATCCAGTCCAACGGAGAACGAGCAGCCCACGCCTTGCGACGGAGAATATCAAATAGGGGGATCAACGGTACAGACTGAGCCAATCGATGTGTCGTTGGTTAGAGACCCAAGCACTTCGCCTGATGTTCTTCATCACACGACCAGTGACATAGAGTTCCTTGAAAATATCGGGATCTCCTCGTATGAGTTTTTCACCATCGTCAACCAGATTGGCAACTCGGACAACTATAGCCTACTGGATCCTGCGCAAGTTTGGTGAGCTTAGTGCAACAGAGGCCATTTCTACAGCAGAGCCTGGGTTAAAACATGATTGATATACCCCAGTTAATGTCGAGTTGCCGCCCCTTTACGCTAATATAGTTGTTTTCACGGACCTTCTACAAATGAAACCATAGGAGCATAGTTCACAGCATTGGTTCCGAATTTGGTAACGATAGAAGCCATTGACTTTGGATCATGAATGAGGACTAGGTTGAACGTCTACATGTTCCAATCGCCATAACTCATAAAAATGATCAGAACGGCAACGTAGTGTCCAATCATCACACTCCAATGCAACAACGTCTCCGGCCCATTTGACATTCATCCTTCCGGTTTATCTTTCCTGTTCCACAATAGACCCCGGTCCCATCTCAATACCCACACGATCAATTGATAAGAGGTAGGCGTTTGTTCTGAATTCGTAAATGACAGTTTCTACGGGGCCTGATTCCCTCCCCATATTGTGACACTGGGTATACAGGAAAGACAACTATGATACAGTGCCGCTTTCTTTGCCAGAAGCTTCACTCCAGATCACAGTCCGTGAAAATTGGAAATGATGTTGCCATTCTGGCAACATGATGTATGATCACCTAAGTTTCTCTTCGACGAAACACCGATCTGCATACTTTTCTTTTCCAAATGAGTCGACCAACGAGTAACAATAGCCCATGGCCGCGGAACAGCCGGCGAAAATCTCAAGGCTCAATAGGCGAAGGGTGCGCCACTATCCCCCCGCAACGCACATTATCCTCGCTTATGTGCCTCTAGGGTAACGATGAAACCGACTCGGTATATCCATTCCGATAGGTCTTGAAGAGGTATATGTCCTTCGGTCGTCTGAAGGCCAGCAAAGCCAGCGTCTCATTTATTAGCGAAGATGCACAATATATGGTATCACATTCGCTTATAACCCACTGTACAAATAAGTTGTTCTTGCACATCAATTCTTTTTCAACGCCACTATTAGGAGGTCAAGATTCTGGCCGTAGATTGTTCTCGTTTGTTGGATATGATGATATTGCCGCACAGGCTCGTCTGGTCCGAAATTTGGAGATCCGATTAGTGGACATATAAGTAAGTGGCCAGTTCTATTGTGTATTGTTCCGTTCTTAATGAGGTGAAGTACATTGCATTTAATAACCTGGGTCTAGTGTGTGAGCGCAGCTTCACATGTTCAGTGGGGTGTCACTTACTTGAAAGTTATCATGCTCTAACTCCCTGTTCAGTTCTTTTGCCTCACTGGCGATCTCCTCGCCAGTGTATTCCCAGCCAACACCCGCTTGGTATTGGCCAATTCTTGCTCTCCTCTCCCTGACAATATTCTTTATCTTCTCAACAATCGCTTTGGCGTTCTCTGAAAGATCTTCATAGGCCATAGTTCTTGAGGTGGTGTTATTAATCCATGTATTATTCTCAGTGATAGTTGATAGAAAGAGGATGAGAGAAAGAGCTGCGGGACATTTGGAAAGCTGTAATTGAGGGGCTGGCGGGGTTGGCGATTTAAGTACAAGTAGCCTTAGTGCCACGCCATGCATGCATATCACGTTCTCAACCATCTGACTTTTCTAGTCATAGTTAGCTAATTAACTAACTAGGTAGTGAGCTATGTCCTATGAAAGTCTGGGTACTTCAGGAAATGGGAAGCGCGCAGCAAGTATATGCTTCACCTTGAGCTTATGCTACAGCCACAAAAGCCTGAGTGATCGAATTCTGCAGTGTTAATTGGTATATGTCTTGCATCATTCAACGTAGTGCATCGAGGATTGGCCGCAATGCCCTATTCAACGAAAGTGTGTTGATAATCCGATTCAGAATTACCATACAGACCAGGATATTGGATACTCATTTCTTGATGGCTTTTATACAATCATCCCAAGGCTATTCTACCAGTAGTGGTTTCCCGTGTACTTTAACGTGGTCCAATTTTGACGAGGGGCCATGGGTCACTGCAGATGGCAAACCCATACAATTTCGAATGTCAGATATCAGGAAAAATGAATGGCTTTGGAGCCAAGCGTACGTGCCTCCTTCACAGCGGATCGTGTCGTCTCGATACGACAAAGGCAAGCGAGGAAGTTGTTGTATTGCTTTAATAATACGTATTAGCCGCCTTCTCTAAAGGGCTAAACCCGCGTAGAATCTGCTATAGAAGCCTAATGTCTATCCCTGTTGAGCGAGTACATACATGGAAGGGGGATATGTATTTATCGACAATGGCAGCGTCTGGAACGAGAGGCAAATCTACCCAATAAGCCGACTTACGAGTATAGTTGAACTCAATCAAAAGTAGACAAAACCCACATCAGCGGTCCTAAATCCAAGAGGTCAGGAATCTGCCGTATCTTGAGTAACATTAGAGCCGTGATTACATCAAAATCTAGATATCGCTTTTGCTGTGGCCATTTTATTATTCTTTGTATTCCATCAGTGCTGTAGTATTTCATATTGAATATCCAATATCAATACCCAGAATTGGTCTGTGAGTTGTGCACCCGTCTGCTCGACTATGCGTCTTTTCCCCTGCATACCCGGACGGTAAACCAACGATATGTAAGGGATATACAGCCTCACATTCAGACTACTTGACTAGTTCAGACCTCCGACCGATAATACCTTTCTGCTCCTCTTTGGTTAAGCATATACCAAATTTATCCCGGAGCACCTGAACCCGCTCCTCCTCCGTACTACACATCTTGACCAGCACAGACTTGCCACCGAGATTCTCTTTCACCTTGTCCTGGTCCAGTATGATCTTTCCGTAAAGGCTGCTGCCTTCGCGCAAGAACTTGATAACGAGGAGGTTGGAAGTCAGAAAACACTGCGGGTGTTGACTGGTATAGAAACTCATAACTTCAAAGTCTCGACGCAGGAACTCAGTTTCAGTAAAGGCATAAGCTGGTGTCCAAGGGCTGTCGGGAGCATTTCGGAACTGGTAGATCCACATGCGCTGCTTGTTGTCGGAAAGACCATCAATGGTGCCGTACAGCAGTTGCAGCTCTTGTGTACCAATGTTGGGCGTTGTTGTCCCTGACTCAAGAGGTAGTGGGGCCTTGGGCCCATCGCCACCATATCCTACATCAACTAGGTATTGGGTATGATCGGCAAGGGTGACAATGTTAACGGCATGTTCCCTATCAATTACGATCAGTGTGAGAGGAACAGGGGGCTGCAAGCCTTCATCCACTTACCAGCCTGACCATCCGGGAGAGTTGCTCCTGGCATCACGATGAAGCCTGGCCCCGGCTAGGTACACTTGAAAGCCGAGGAAGGAAAGAACATGATAGAGGAATATATTATTCTCCATACAGTATCCTCCGCGACCCCTCTCGACAAATTTGTGATAGATGTCAGACACTTCCAAGGAAATATGCGCTTCAGGGGCATAGTGTAGGGCAATGTTTTCGTAGGGAATGGTTGACACATGATAGGTGTGGATGGTAGTGAGCAGGGCGATATCCAACTTGGGATTACGATCTCGTCTATACTCATGGGGTAGCTGAATATACTCAAAGTATCGATCCACATGATCGGAGGTAAGAGAAGGAATGGTTATTGTCATGGTGGCTAATCTGGGGATTTGAATTGATGGAAAGATTCCCTCCCCAAAGGAGGGGGGTTGGAGGGTTATAAACACGCCGTCCCACAGTTCCCCATCTACACCAATGACAGTCAAGACTCGCTTAATCAAGAGCTGGGGAAGGTGGGGACATGATTGGTACATTTGTGTGGTTGGTTCCTGTCATCAGCCCGTATGTTCATGAAGACCTTGTATTGCCGTCATTTATACTCCGTACATTACGGACCTTTCGAGCTACGGAGAGTTTGATGGGATTATTAACTACTGTAACTATATCTGCGAACAAAGATAGTGCAAATCAAAACCCTGCACTTATTCCTCAAATGGCGTCTCGTATGGCCTTTCAGCCTGAGGCGTGAGTCTTGCCAAATGGCGTCGATATCCGTCTTCAAAGTCAAAAAGCGCTGCATGGGAGGTCACGCGATTCTGGGGTTTGTTAGCTATTATCTTTGTCCAAGACCCGATCTGATAGACTTAGACTTACATCATATACCACGACCGTACCTGGCTTCCATCGAAGCCGCACCTGAAGATCGTGAGAGAAGGCCGTCTGGTCAAACAGAAACTTAAGTAGAAGGTCTGACTCTTCCTTCTTGAGCCCAACTATACGCTTAGTGACTAGAGGGCTGATCAGTGATATACTACGATTATCTAAGGCGGTCTCCTATACTTACTGACATCGTTTACAAAGATCGCCTTTTCCCCAGTGGCCTATTTTCGCAGGTTAGCACTTCATAGGTCGGGCTTTGACAGGCTTTCACGGTCAATACTTACCGGATGAGTGCGCACAATTGGATGTGCCGTGGTGATGGCTGGCCGGCGCGAGTTGCCCCCCTCACTCTGGATATGGTCCGCACTCGTGTGCTCAGCTGTAAGTCCATGTAGCCTTTCACGAAAGGCAGGTGAAAGCCGTTGGTACGCCTGAACCATATCCGCGAAGATAGTATCGCCTCCACTTGGGGGTCCATCTAGGACGTAAAGAAAGGTTGTACCCGGTGGCTGCTCTTCGAAGCTTAGGTCAGAGTGCCAGTACACAGCGCTATTGCGGGATTGCAAGGCATTCGCACAGGTTTTGGCCTCAGGGCCACGGTGGACGACATGGATTTCAGGGTAGCCTTTGGGGGCAGCTGAGGTTGGATGAATGAGATGACGACCAAAGTAGCTACCATACTCAAGGGCGTCATCAATGGATAGATGGGCGAAATCCTGGTCTCGGAAGGCTGCATGGAAACGAAATCCCTGTTAGCCACCTGCCTGCACGCCTGGGAATCATCACGGAAGGGCCATCTAGTTTCACTTACCCACAACCTTTCGTTGGGCAACAAAGAGGGCCAACTGGTCTTTACCCTTGTTCGTTAATTGGCTTAGTTGGATGCCGCTCACCTCCGAGCCGAACTGAGGAGTGAGATGCTCGATGACGCCAATCCCTTGGGGAAAGAGGTCAGGAAAGGTGGAATCGGCATTTGTCCCATGCTCACAGTGTTCGAAAGGCTCCAGGGGCGGATATCTGCTAATAATCAGCGTTGTCAAGGTGTGCCGGCTGCAGGGGGGATAGACCTTGCCAGGTAGAATTACCTTTCTAGCTCTGGAACCGGGAGATAGTTGGGGAAGGATGCTGGTATTTGATCCATTGGATGGAAGTTCGGGATCTCCGCTTGTGCCTGGCCTCCTTCCAGTGATACGCGAGTGAGGTAATAAGTGGTTCTCAGCTCTGTGCAGTAAACCTCCTTTATAGCAAATTATGATACAACTGGATTCCTCGTGGTAACTAGACAAGATGCGAAAGGATCGCGTTGGTCTTGGTGGAAATGGTTGTATATCATTTCCGGTTTACGCGTCTGGCCCGGTGGGCATAGCTTCGCTTCAGCTTCAGCCACCCTTTGCCCAGTGGGTCCCGATGGTTCCAGTCACGAACTAGAATCCAGAGATCAACACGATCCTTTTCCCGCTCCATCTCGGCACAGGATTGGATAGATCTGCGATATGAATCTTAACTACTACTGAAGTCTAAAAAGCGGATACAAACTTGAAATACTGTTGGCCGTATTTTTTTCTGGAACGGACAAAACAATACTATTGTAATCGGATAAAGAAAGGTGATATATAGAACGCCCTCGTCTATCATCGGGGAGCCACCCTTTCTTTATAACCAGTCATTTTCTGAAGAAATACCACGATGAGCCTTGATCCCTCCACGCAAAAAGTGTTCGACGCGATCACCGCACGGTTGCAGGTTGTCAGCGATGGACGCATCAAGATGAAGCTGCAGGATGGAGGAAAAGTAACTGGCTACTGGGGTAATGAAGCCCCAACTGCTCATGTCCAAATGAATTGCGGCTGACCCTCATTTCTCACAGGCACTGCGCCCACAGGACGACGTGAGTGCCAGCCGACCTTCGGGCTTTCAATAACCCGCTAACATGGAGACAATGCCATAGCACACTTTGGATATATGGTGCCTTTAGTCAAGGTTGCTGAGTGTGTGGCAGCCGGTTGCGATGTCAGTTTCCACCCCGTGGTTCACCCCGTTGAAACGTATTGACAATCAGGAATAATAGGTGACAATCTACCTTGGAGACTCGTATGCATATCTCGTCAACTATGACGTTTCGCAGGAGATAGTCGCCCATCGGACAAGCTATTACCGTTTCCTCATTGGAGCCATTCTTCGAGCGATTGGAGTCGACATGTCCAAGATAGCCTTTGTGGCTGAATCCGAGTACACTTCAACTCCGCCATTCTGCAAGGATCTAGCCCGCATGCTTGTTCATTCTTCCCAGGAAGATATTAAAATGGTCGGTCTCGAGGTTACTACGGCCCACATGATGAGTCCATTGCTATGTCCGGTCTACCAGGCGCTCAGTGAAGTTTACATTGGTGGCGACTTTCAACTGGGTGGCCAGGATCAGGTGAGGGAAACCGAATAGTGCATCCCTACAACGTTGCTTGGTACTAATCTTCCCTGATTTATCCAGCTTGGCATGTTCGCCTACGCTGACAAGGTCCTCGCTCGTATCGGCTACCAGCCAGTGTCGCATCTGGCTAACGTGATAGTTCCCGGATTGCACAAGGATAAAATGTCGTCTTCTGCCTCGGCAGACACTAAGATCGAGTGGCTGGATCCACCAGAGACAGTCCAAAAGAAGTTAGAAGGCATTTCATGGGCAGAGCTTGACGGCCCAGCTGCGACAGCTGTCTTGCCAATGCTCCAGCATTGTCTCTTCCCTCTCTGTCATCTGGGCGCTTTGGGTAGCAAAGGAATCCCCGCCCAGCTGGTGGATGGGTCCACCAAAGAATACACCACGTATGAGGAGCTAGAGAGCGACCTACGAGCCGGGCACCTGCGGTTGGAAACGCTCCAACCGACGACAATCGCGCTCATCAACCAGGTATTGTCTCCAATTCGGGCCGAGCATGCCACAAATACAGAGTGGAGGCTGGCGGAAAAGCTGGCCTACGATGGTTAGTGCCAGTTTCATACACGAATACCATGAATATTTTACTATTATTATTATACCGCCTTTTTTACCACCTTAAACAGTCGACTTTTAAAGACAGCCAGCCCCCCTAATACCCTGTCTTTAGGAATTACCAGCACCCCGTCTTTAAATATTACTAGTATCCTGTCTTTAGAGACTATCAGCACCTTGTCTTGAGATCCCCTGGGACTCTAGTATCAAACTAGTATCTCCGGGGTGGTAGTAATATTTAGGGGTAGTAAGACACTACTTTTAGGGGCCGAGTAAAACGCTCAGATCTCGGGAAGAATTTTACATTGTCCGGAACTACGGCTTAGTCCGCCATAACTTTTCCGGTTCTGCGAACTTTGATGTCTCCACTCCCTCAGCTCGAGCTGCGCAAACGACCCGCTCGTTTCAATTGGAGGATTTCAGCTCTACTGCGGTGTACGGGTGGTTTTGTTGGTACTATGGTCCACCTACAGGCATCGGAACCCGTCGAATTCTGCCACTCGGATGCAATAGTGGTATAGTTAACGACCTATGACTCTGCGGAACTTGCTACTAATCGGTGAAGCAGGCTGACAGGGGCGTGACATGACGCACATGAAGAAGAGTAATAAATCATAGTAATCATGATAATATCAATGCAATAAAATAACATAATAATATTGGGTTAAAGAGAAGTATCATGTAACCTAAATAGCATTTAACACCCGACTGGTGGAGTTCTACTGCAGATCTCTAGGGCAAGTGTATCTCGAGCCTGCACGAATTGCCGCTAGGGAAAATCACGCACAGTTCAATGAACTAGTACAATAGGCTGAAGGCAGTTCACCGCCTGTATGCTGAGGTTGCCCATGCCGATCCCCCCCCACACCATCTAATTCACGCAGTGTTCGGGCGCAGATAATAGCTAACCATGTATCGTTCATGAGCGCCATCACGAGGTTGAGCCACCTTATGGAGGCAGGAATGGAGTCTGCCACTGGTTTGCTTCTGAAGCGAATTCGCCACGTTAACGAGGACGTGTCCCTCTCGCTCCTCAGCCCAACCCCACTGCCCCGTGGTCGGGTCACAGATCTGGCTGGCCATTTCCGTGCTCCATAAAAGGGTCAGGATGCCGTTATCAGTGTGTGTCGTATCGGGGAATTCATCCATACGTTCGACAGTAGGGATCTCAATTAGCTTTAGCCCCGAGTCATTGCTTTGGGTGTCTGAGTGACATGTCTCCAAACGGGCATCACCAGCTAGGCCCAACACGTCGGATAGAGTGCGTAAGAGCGTCATGGTTAGATCGTGACATTCGGCGGTGAAGCGAGTCAACAGCTCCGTGTGGGCTGCAAGTTGACCGGGACAGGCTAGATGGGGGCTTGCAAGCTCCTCACGGGCAAGCTGAGTTGTGGATCAATATGTTAGAGTTTGCTCGCGATCGGCGGTCAATCAACACGTTTTCAGGGAACATACTTCAAAGGTTTGATATCCATGACCAGGTTTGTACCTGCGCTAACGTTAGTAGGTTCTTGGGACGGGAAATAGCATATGGTGGACTTGCCCGCGATCAATGTCGGCCCGGAAGTGCTCTTGCTTCAGCTGGGAGGGTTGCTCAAAGTAATTTTTCGTAACTCGATACACCTGAGCCAGATCCGCTTGAATTGGTTTTCCGGCGACTCCACGCAAGTCCACAAGGAAAAATCCTGGACTTTGTGCGCCTTGCAGAAGCGCTTGGATCGTCTCCGGGTCCTTCGCTAGAAGTTGATCTAGGCTGACAGATCGCAGAGGGGTATACGTGTTGGGGGATATAGTAGCCATTGCAATGGTGGTAAGCAACTAGGCAGATTAGACAAAGGGGATAGATTCAAGAGGGATGGAAGAATTGTGTACTCGTACAGAATATTGCGCAGCAAGATGGGCTTTATACTTTGCTAGTGTAAGGGCCGCTATCCTTACTACTGCGGAGTATATACCACGGTGATATCATGGGTGTCACGATTGGACAGCCAAGCCCCCCAAGGAACTCCGTAGTGGATCAGTAGTTCAAAGGTCTTGACCCGCCAGCCTGCGGTAGAAGCCTCTTCGTGAAGTTTATTCAGCTCAAGATCAGCCTGTCGCTGCGGTTCAGTTCGGGTGCTAGGACTCTCGGTTCCTGTACATACTCAGCTCGGGGCAGCCAGCACAATGGCCGGCATCGAATGGAACCTTCGCCGCCCCACAGATGCTGTATGCTGTTTCAGTCGTTTTTCTCAGCCAGCCAGGCTTAGGGCTTGGTGTGTTAATCCCGTGTTTGGACGTATGTTGTTTTTCGGACACAACATTGTCGCATATCAGCGAGAATTCCGTGGCGACACACCCACTGCTATATGTTCTCAAGCATAGGCTTTCTGAGATAATAGTCCTTTAGGTTCACGCTCCGCACTACGGACTCAAGAGGTACCTATTGGTATACTGGCCATTACTGGTGTTGAGGCTGTTTGCATTGAACGGGTTGTCAACGCCACGCAAATATGCCTTTCTCCGGAACCCTTCTCTCCATTGTTGCTGTGATGTCGCTGCTCGCTGCGTTATATACGTTTTTGCGAGGGGCTCACAAACGGGCAGTCCAGCAGACATCCCACCGTGGAGTAAACGATGCAGAGAAGGAGCGCCATTTGCTCCATGATCCAATTGACAATCTGTGCCCTGGCGTGGAACGTACCATCGACTACTATCGATCCCTTTTTTCCAAACTACACAACATTGAAGATCACCAAGACATGCTACCGGAAGCCCGAGAGCTGCTCCTTTCTTTGCTTTCGGAAGCGATTGCAATCAACCCCGACAAGCACCGTGATCTCTTTGCAATCGACATCTGTGACGAAGGCCAATTGCTCGCATTTTTACATGACAGCCACAAGGAGGTCGGGGAAGCCTACACAAAGTACATCCAGGGCCGGAAAGCGGGAGGCCCGCGGATCCTCGCAGGAAATCGCGAACAAGCAGTCGCGATACTGACCCAGATGGCACCCCTCAAGTTGGTAGACGGTGCATGGCTGGGGCATATGCATCACATCACCACACTATTTGAACTTCGGCACATCACGAAGCAGGTCTGGCAAGTCCTCTCCGAGGAGCTGGGTGATGGATCACTACATCTCCATCATGCATATATCTATCACAACCTGTTGTGTGATCTCGGTGTGCGCTTGCCGGCACCGTATGAGCCAAGTTTCATAGATCCCGCGCACCAAATGAAGAGCCTCGGAGCATGGAAGGCGGCGGTCGTCCAGCTTCTCATATCACTATTTCCTGACGAATTCTTACCGGAGATTCTGGGGTATAACCTGCACTTTGAAGGGCTGAATCTCGAAACCATGGTCCTGTCGAGAGAGCTTCAGGAACTCAAATTAGATGCACAATACTTCCTTCTCCATGTATCCATTGACAATGCCCATTCCGGACATGCAATGATGGCTGCACATACAGTCACAGAGTATCTCTCACACATCCGGAAGAATGAAGGGTCTGCTGCAGCCAACACGGCGTGGAAGCGCATTCAGGCGGGCTATGCGTTGTCCGCACACCAGTCACAACACCTTCAGAGGGATATCTCTTCGCTGTTGTCAGAAGGCGTTAACTCGAACTTGGGTTCTAATGAGACTGTTACCTTGGAAGTTGATACTGACAATATCACAAAACTACTGGCAGACAAAGCCGCCGTATCAAGCAAATTGCATTCCGGGTGTCGTGCCCGAATTGGTGGAAAGCCCTTAGCGGAATGGTTAGAATCGAGCCTTATTCGTTCTAAGAGCGAGGGGCGAGATGCGCTCCACGAGTTGAGCAATGCTTCCCCATGGGTTGTAAAGGGAGCTCCCGAACGTAGCAGGTTGATTCGTGAGCTCGAAGTAGGGGGCAAGATGTTTGGCGCATTTACCATGGAAGAGGTGGAGCATTTGAAGACTTGGATTGTTTCCCTTGGCCAGAAAGAGCAAAGAGAGACAGCGTATTGGGACTTTACGGGTCGAAGCCAAAACGACCATGATCGCCATACCTCACTAGTCACAACACACTTACCATTGGCATCATATCCAGTTGCTTCTGATATTACACTGGATGAAACGATCTTCGATGCCCCTTTGAAATCCCACCCAATACCCTCTAGCGCCTGCAACACTATCTTGCCGTTATGGTTTGCTCATATATCGCTTCTGGAATCAGTAGTGAGCATTCCAACACGTGTCGCCTCAGAGCTCGGGGCAGCCATAGTTCGGGCTTTGAGAGCTCAGTACAACTTCAGTCCAGAATCAGATGGTGTTACTGGAATGGACGAAGTAAATCGAGCTGGTATGCCGGATCTAGTTGATATTGGTATTGAAATCATTGCTCGTCAAGGATTCGCTCCGTTGCCAAGATCCATCTCTGACGTTCTGAGCGTGTGGCCTTCAACATCTGCAGAGATGCTCTTGAGTACATCGAAGGCGCCCGTAAGGAACTTAGATGTCCTCCTGGGGATGTCGTTGGCCTTTTTAAGCCTCCAGTCGTCGGTCCTATGCTCTCCTGGTTTCCTGTCCCAGAGCAGCCAGTCTGCCTTGAAGAACATCATTGAACGCGAAACCTCATGTTTCCGAGTGGCGTACGGGATTCTTCGTCTGGACAGTCAAAGAATGCAAAACTTTACCAAAGGTTATCAAATAGCCCAGAGCATACTTGGGCAGACCTTGTCGGCGGCTGAATAGTACTAATAACAACATAAACACGCTTGATGAACCATTAGTACGCGTGGAATATGCATATATATATCCTAGCGCGCGTTCATCATTTCAGGAATGTATGAACTACGAGTTAGTATAAATATGTATAGATGCCTAATAAGATTCAATGGAATGTTCGAACACCTCAGCAGTGAGGTATATCAACGCTTGGTGGGCTAAAAGTAATGATACTGAAGGTGAGATGCCTTGCACATCAGCGCACTTTATATTGGCCAGATATCTATTGAACAATATCCTAATATCTCTGAGTAGGTGTTATGCTTTTATGTGTGTTCTAAAATGACTGTCTCTCGCACTGTACTCTATGATGCAATTACTCTTGGATATGTATATCTAGAAAGCTTTAGTCTATAGTTTGGGTCTGTATAAAAGTCATGATAGAAATAACCTACTACGGATCATGTAAATAAAGAACGAATCCTTCTAGGTTTAATTAGACTATATAGTGAGTGAAGTGATACGCATTGTCGATACACTGAGCCAGCCATCCATAAGTTGATGGAGGCATAACCGCAACCCAGTATCCCTGGCTGGTTCCCGCAATGACTAAATCTGAACCTTGACCAGCCACTACGACCAAAATTCCTCAGCTATTGAGTTCTCAAAATCCTAATATAGCGGCTGGAAACAGGTCAGACAGTAACTTTCCACCAGGCTTGACTGTGTCATAAACGGGGTCACATGACCCCACAACAGTCCTATACCTGGACATTGTAGGAAGCCTCTATTGATTTGCCATACCCCGTTTGTTCACGCGTCCTATGGACTATGGGAGACAAGGCCGACGTTCTCATAATTGGTGCAGGTCTAGCAGGGTAAGTAAAGTCCAGGATATGTGATGCAGGTAGAGGCCTTGCCAACTGACAACTGATGGGTCACTAGGCTCACTGCTGCAAATTGCTTCAACGGTAGCAAGAATCTCCGTGTACGAGTGATTGATAAAAATCCAGGCACAATCGAGAGAGGAAAGGCCGATGGACTTAAAAGCATCTCTCTGGAGGTTCTCGATACGTTAGGTATTGGGGATGCCATCCGCAATGAGTCGCATCGAGTGGAAGAAATTGCCCTCTGGGAGCCAGATAGCGAAGGAGGCCTTGTTCGATCCATGACGGTGCCGGATCGAGTTCCGGAACTGCAAAAGCCTAGAGAGGTGACACTGGACCAAGGTACAGGCGCAGAAAATGATTAAATTGAGTAAAAATTGATGAGCGAGATAGGTAGGATCGAGCATCATATGGTAGCAGCTCTACATAGACATGGTAACGTGGAGGTGTCATGGAAGAAGCGGCCGATCGGCCTGCGCGTTAATATTGAAGCTGTCGAGGAACCTCTTGCGTATCCTGTCACGGTCGCGATAAGGGATGTGGATGACGATATTGCACCGCCAGAGATTATCCAAGCTCGCTACCTAATTGCCTGTGATGGAGCTCATAGCTGGACAAGGAAACATCTCAACATTCCCCTCGTGGGGGATCTCACTGATTCTAGCTGGGGTGAGTGGCCTTTGGAGAGCCCCTATTACTATGATCAATATGGGCTCCCGCTGAGACGAAATTAGGAGCCATAGATACTGTTCCCAAGACCGACTTTCCTGATACTCGCAAGGTCTGCGTGATTCGTTCAGCGCAAGGTACGGTGATGGCTATACCTCGCGAGGGTAAACTGGTTCGGTTGTACGTTGGGATGGACGGAACTGGGCTTGACGTCGCGGGCGGGTTAGATGCCCGCGCTTTCACCGTTGACCATGTTATAGACTCGGCACGCTCTCTCATCTCTCCATATATGTTCGAGGCTGGCCATGTGGCGTGGTGGTCCGCCTACCAGGTTGGCCAACGTGTTGCAGAAGAGTTCTCCAGATATGACCGTGTGTTCCTTGCCGGAGATGCTGTTCGTAAGGGAAAGCCATTCTGCCTAACTTGCCCCCGAGGCTAATCAATGATGGACCTTCCGTAGACACACACTCTCCAAAAGCAGGCCAGGGGATGAATACCAGTATTCAGGAAGGTACGATAATTACCCTCGGTTAACCGCAATGAGAATTGACAAGCAAATCATAGCCTATAATATCGGCTGGAAGCTTCGTTTCTACCTTGAACAACCTTGTTCTCCATCGCTTTTATCGACATACGCGCACGAGCGAAGGCCCATTGCTCAGCAATTGATCAACTTTGACCGGGAGTATCTCCAGATAATGGCTACACCGAACCTTGATTCTGATAGCTTCTTGTCTGCATTTCTGCTCGCCATGAAGTTTACTACAGGAATTCGGATTCAGTACCCCCGATCGTTAATCGTAAGGCCCCCTCCACAGGTGGGAGAGACCACAGCTGTCGCTACAGGTCTATCACCCGGCATGCGTCTACCAGACTTCCAAATAGTTAATCAGGCAGATGGAGTCCCCAGTACTGCTCATCATCGGTTTGTTATGACTGGTAAATTCCGCCTCTTGATTCTTGCGGGGAGCATTTCGAAAGGACACATCCTTCGAAGATTATCGGCATTCGGACAGTGGTTGGCGACGTTTCAACAAAACCATTCGGGCACGGAAGCTATCACGATCCATTCGGCCCGACGAGGAGATATTGAATTAATGGATCTACCAGATGTCTTTCATCCTTGGAGCGATCAGTACGGCTGGGACTACTGGCGAGTCTATGCTGACGATGAGAGTTATCATGATGGCTGTGGAGAAGTCTATAAGCGTTGTGGTGTTGATCGAGACAATGGAAGTGTGGCCGTCGTCCGTCCGGATGGTTATATCAGTCTGATCTGTGATCTGGAGCAGGCAGATCAGATTAGGCACTTTTTTGATAACCTCGGGCCGCTGGGTTCAACAGTCGTGGCTCGTCATGCCCGGCTTTGATGTGTGAAGCTCAATATAAGAAAATACGGGTTGGAACTTCATGTGAAGAGTCTCGACAAGCGTATTGTGTACATAGCTATACAGGACTGGTCGGGCGAAGCGTTGGACGTTGATAGAGAATCGATGGCTACAACAGAAGTTAGAACAACTTTTTGTCACAGATCCTAAGGCTTGCACTGCAGGTGCGCAAAAGGTTCCAATATGTTCGAATGCAGCACCTGACACATATCGCCTTGCTATCACACTGCCCTATCAGTTTTGCTCAGTGTGTAAGTGATACCTGCGGCCCATCCATTTCGTATAATTGCCTAAACGGGCAGTACGGTCTTATTGACTCACTGAGTAATCACCACTTACGCATAGGGCGTCGTAGGCATTCTAGTATATCATGCATCGACGTATACATGATGTTAGTACGTGTGGGTTAGTCTCATCGCTTACTTTGGGTAGCATCGAAATGTCTCCTCGTGTACATGTGATGATTAACGTATAATACCTTATCGTGGTTTTAATTTATTGGCTCATCATTACGATTGGGCTGTGGATAATGTGGCATCTGGAACAGATTGCCGTCTCCTCCACATAGCGATCCAGACCCCAGAAGTTATGTCACCGTCACGCCAGTGGAGCATATCATCCTCTTTCAAATACTAATGTATAGTTGGGTCCAGGAGCGATCTCTATACAGAGGAGCTACAGTTCAGATTCATGAGCAACACCGACGTCGTATGCGCTTGTGTCTTATGAGGGAAACCCCAGTGGGTCATCAAGCTGCCGAGAAATCAAGCTCCAGGTGACTTTAAGTTTGTAGTAATTGGTGAATTAACCAAATCAGTCCTGGCGATGGCGTTGAGAATGATTCTATTCTCGGCGAATCATTTGCTGGCAACAAAAAATGCGTTGCATTTTTGACAGGACCTAAACATCAGATCTAGCCATCCATAGTGCCCATTATGTGGGAAATACCCTTATTTCTCATACACGAAAGACAGGTTCTAGTTTCTCCCTCTCCTCTGGCGGACATCGATCCCGATCTCATATGATATTGAGGGGCTTTCTTTTAACCTGGATATAAGAAGTCTAGACCGCTGATAGAATTACTGACTTCAGTCTTGAATGTAGGAACTTGGAAATTTTGTTCCTACTCTGTCATATGATAAAGGGACGATCCGTATAAGTACCACACCAACGTCCGCTTCATGTCTGAAGTAGCTTCAAATCTTTCTTGCAATTCTATTCATCCTTTCACATCCAAAGCATCACACGATTGAGCCATCATGCCAGAGTATTCCGACATTGTGCAGGAGCTGCGGGACGAGCTGCTCTGGGAGGAAGATGACCTTGAGCAGGCCGTCCAAAACGCTCATAAATGGGATATCCCCGAGCTGGACAAGTACGGCATCATCTCAGCCAGAGGCTTTCTTGACTTTGCCGACTGGTTGGTCCGAGGCTGGGTCCCTACTGAGTCAACCAAAGGCCGAGACATTTACTACATCCTTTGTGTCTTCTATTTCGTCCTGTCCCAGGAACCACTGGGTTCTCGTCTCACCAAAATCCAACCACTCAGCTTGAACAAACCCCTGAAGCCCCTCTCCGACTGGGTGGTCCGATACGCCAAGGAGATCGGTAGCAGTATGGACAAGAATTCATCGATCAACGAGGCTTCCATCACGACATTTAGAAACTCTCCGCTCTTCCGCGTCTTCGAGTCTGAGGGAGACGCCAAGAACTGGACAACATTCAACAAGTTCTTCTACCGAAAGCTGGACAGCTCTCGTAATATCGCCGGCCCTGATGATGATCATGTCGTGACTTTCCCTGCTGATTCGACTTTCGCAGGCGCCTATGCTATCAGCGAGGATTCTGAGGTGGTTCTGGAGAAGAAGGAGTGGAGAATTGTGAAAGAGCAGGTGGTTCTGAAGCATGTTCCATGGAAGGTGAAGGACCTTCTCGGTAAATACGGCGACGAGCCGCTGCCCGATGACAGCACCCAAACATACGGAGATGTCTTCAAAGACGGAATCTGGACTCATGTTTTCTTGAATTCCTTCGACTATCACCGGCAGCATGCGCCTGTGTCGGGGACTGTGGAGATCATCGATGTCATAGAAGGCGCCGCCTACCTCGATGTCCTGGTCCAGACAGACGAGCAGGTCGGTCACAACTATCTGGAGCTCTGCCGCCAGATCGCCGGAAAGAAAAGGAACCCTTCAGGCGTCCATACCCTTCAGGCCCCAGACACTCCAGGTTATCAGTTCCTCCAGGCACGTGGGGTGGTGGTGATCAACAATGAGCACTTGGGCCGGGTTGCCGTGCTTCCCATTGGTATGGCCATGGTTTCCTCTGTTAACGTGAGGAAGGAGCTTCAAGGCCAAAAGATCAAAAAGGGTGAGGAGATTTCACACTTTGCGTTCGGTGGTTCCGACTGTATTATAATGTTTGAGCGCAAGGCAAGAGTTTCGGGTTTTCCCGATTCTGACCCAGCTTCTCGAGAGCATTTCTTCTACGGTGAAAAGCTGTGCAGGGCTTACTTCAAACCCCACAAGGAGCCTAAAAGCTTCGGATCCCGTTTCGGTTTGCCTTCTAGATAAGCCTTCAAGGGAGAAATTTCAGACTGGTAGGGGCCAGGTGGCTCAGTTAAAAGGTCATTAAGTGTTCATTGTGTCTATGTTTCTATTCTCAATATGTGTCTTAGTTGTAATTTGAGATCCTTACCTGCACTTCCACATGAATGATCTGACAAGGAAGAAATTCCCCATTTGGGGTCCGGGTCGTAAGAACATCAGCTAGTAGTTGTAGGGTATGTCGACGTCGATGCTTATACATGTTACGATTGACCCAGGGTAGACTACAGGATCACGCTGTATAAGCGCTCGATTGACGGATCTTCTTTCCGAACCGATAGAAGATCCAAGGAAGAGGAGCAAAAGCAATAGCGAGGAAGCCGAGCAGGCTGGATGCCCACGTGAACCCAAGATTGTTGTACACTACATCGATCAGTCAGCCAGGAACCAGGCAAGTATCCAGGATCATGACAACGTACTTGGGATGGTGAACAAGGGGAAAGAACCGCCCACACTGTATCGCAGTAGGCCATTCGCCGCGAGAGCCGAGGCCCCAAACTTGGCTCCGTACACATTGGTGAGATATAACATCGTGGATACCTGTATTTCACATCGTGTCAGCAGCATATTAGTCAGTACCACACAGAAGACTCACAAAGATCATAATGTTCGAGCAACCAAATAGCGCCATGGCAGTTATACTACTCATCCAATGAATCCCTGCCTGTGAGGTCCAGGCAAACCAGAATAATGCCGCCGGCATCAGGGGACTGCCCACCATCGCGGCCACAAGCATTCGTTCTGGAGGTGCTGGCGCGCCTGGCTGTCGCGCGTGATGCTTGGCCATCGTGTATCCGTCGAGGATGATCAATGCCACAGCACCGATAATGCAACCCACGGCGATTCCAATAAAAGCCAGTCCTGACTGTCCCGGTGAGAAGTCATAATTGGTGCTGTATATCAGTGGCACCGAGGCCAGGAAGCAAAAGAGCACGGAGAAGTTCAGGGAGGAGTAGAGGGAGCAGAGAGTGACGATCGGTCGGTGATTAGCATGTAGAGAGGTCGTGCCAGCGTGACTGTCATGAGCATCCTGACTCCCGCGAGGCCATCGGGGATCGGCTTTGGAGGAGGAGGCAGTCCCATCTTCTTGGCTAGGCGGCGGCGGATCGGGATCGCGTATGTTTCCTGTGCACCCATCGAATAGACCCATAGGGCCGCTCCGAGGAATAAGGTCGTCCATTGAGACCACCTGAAATCCTTGTATTCGGCGATCCAACCACCTACCAGTGATCCCAGAGCGGGCCCCAGAAAAGCGATACCCATAAGCACAACCACTCCGCGGTTGGTGTTTTGGCCTGTCCAGGTATCCATGATGGTCCCAGCACCCACGGCGAGAGGTGCAGAGCACAGAATGCCACCCAGCAAGCGGCATATGGCAAGGGTAGCGAAGTTGTGAGCAAAGCCAGCGCCGAGGATAAATAACAGGGCTAGTGGGGTCATGATGATGTAGACGAAGCGGCGCCCAAACGTCTCACTCAAAGGAGCAGCGATCATAGGGCCGAAAGCTAGGCCGTACACATACAAGGTGAATGGGAGGAGCGACAGGGTGTTAGTGATGTGAAAGTCCTCCTGGACGTGAGCGTGGGATGGCGAATAGATGGCCAGGCCAAAGGATCTAAATGCATGCAAAGGTTAGCTTTGCTATCGTCATCTCATCTCCAGAAGTGAACACCGACATAAGCAGACAAAGGAGGGAGGGAACGGATGTGTTGTATAGCTTCTTGGTCAAACTCCAATTCTGGGCGTTGGCTGGATCGACGGCCCAGTCTGGTAGCTCTTCTTGCTTTTCTGGTGAAGAAGCCATGCTGTTCGCTTCCGTATCAGTGGTGCTTGACTCCATGCTGCCACGGTTGTTCTTGCAAGAATGCTCAACATCCCTCTAGTCATACAGAAATATATATAAGCATGTAAGCTTGGCGCCCGTCGGTTATGGCGGATGATACAGCACATAAAGACTTTTCAAAACAAAGCCCAGTAAGGAATAGCCCACATCCAAGTACATATATCGGCTATTCGGAATGTCCAGTCAACGCTGATTCTCAAGTTTGGCCTGTGCTTGGGGATGATGTCTATCCTCAGTTGTTCGTGTGGCCAATTGTGGTCCACCGTTGAAGCCCGGTGGATATTCCTTCGACCCACTAATTCGGCGAGATGGACTGCCTAACCCCAAGGCAATTTGTACCCGAGGAATCTCTGGTCGATCCGAAGGTTTTGCGACCCGGTCGGTGGATAGAACCTCGCCGGTATATGGTATATCATGTTTGGCTTTCAACTAGTATGCATTCGAACAGGTGTAATTGCTTCACCACGGAACGAAGGATCTGCGGGGTAAAGTGTACTCTCACCCCAGGCTCTACTTGGTCTTGCTTTTAACAAATAGAAAGGTCAGATAAGACAATAAAACAGGTTATTTCAAAGGGTAGTACCAATGGTTGATGCTGACTCAAATGAATCTGAATACATTATGCTAATTACTATCTGTGCAAACTCTGAAGGACTTGCCAGATAGAGTATTGAGATTCGTAGCTATTGTAAACAATCTACTGAAACTAATGATTACAATAGTTTCATAGACTGTGATGCAGCGTTGCCCTTGCTGCTGCCATATCACCACCTGCAGCGTCTTTTACTACGCCCCATCGAACTCTCTATAGCTATTCTATTCTGAGGTCCACTGGTAGAATACATGTTCTTGACCTCAATAGATCGAGATCAGAATCAGTGCACATAGATTTGTAGCGACGATTGATAAAAAGGGAACAAGATAGGCGGCCATCATCAAGAAACCAGAAAGTCAGTGGTTGTATCAACCAAACGCCAGCCCACTGAGCAGGACGAGGCAAGGTTCGCACTCAAGGAAGGGTCTCGACATATTCCACAGTTTCGATTTCTTTCTCCACCCGTCCTTCACTAGGACGCTTGCACACGTACGACGCAAAGCCCCTAGTTGGTAATTGCTCATTGAACATTTCGTCAATCTGCTCCAGGCTTCGCTGCCGTAGCTCGGGGACGAAGAAAAACACAAAAAGGAAGCCCACTACCGACAGTGATCCGTAGATAAAGGCAACACTACCGCCAATGGCGTCTTGTGTGTACGGGTTCACAAATACGATGATCAAACCGACACCGTAGGCTGAAAACCCAGAGAGCGTAACCATTTTCTCTCGCACGGAGGTTGGCGGGACCTCGGAGGTAATAACCCAGGCAAGAGGGCCCCAGGTGGTCTGGAAGCAGAAGAACCACAGCATCAGCATGACAACCGCTGCTATCTGCATCGAGTATGACATATGTGACGGCCCTCCGGTTGTCAGCCCCCCGATGACCATCATACACGCACCGAGGAGTGCCGCACCACCAAGCAAGACACCGCGCCGGCCTGATCGGTCAGAGGTTACCATGCTTAAGAGATTAGCTACCACTCCGATGACATAGACAATGACAGACATAAGCAGCACTTCGCGAAAGCCAATCTGGGATAGAAAGACAGCTTGGTAGTTCGCGACAAACGAAATTCCTTGAGCCTGCTGGAAGACCTGAGCCCCGATACATATGATTGCCCTGCGGAGATTAACAGGATTAGAGAAGCAATCTTTCCAGCTGGCGGCCTCTCGCAATTCCCGCTCTTCCTCCAATGTTTGTTGCAGTATAGTCACCTCCTCTGCGGCAGGATATTCGGGACCACGGAGACGGCGAAGGGCACTGGTTGCTTCGTCGAGCCTGCCTCGTCTGATCAGCCAGTGCGGTGACTCTGGCAGGAAAGGTAAGCTGATCCAACCCACGGCAGGGATACCAATTTGCGCCACAACAACAACTCTCCAGGCCCAGTCGGTAGTGATATGGCGACACAGGTAGACGATGAGAGCAGCTGCCAAGCCACCAATCATGAGGAACGCGTTGTATGTGCCCGCCATGAGCCCTCGTAGTGATGGCGGAGCACACTCGCCCTGATATGTGGGGATGGCGTTGGTGGCAATGCCTCCGCCAAAGTACACAATGGCTTTACCGACAACAAATTGTGCATAGCTCGTGGTACAGGTCGACTCGATGATGACACCCACTGCGACCACAAAGGACTGGATATAGAGCGTCATCTTGCGACCGAAGCGTTCATTCAACGGCGTGCCACATATCACGCCTAGAATGACACCAACGTAACCCATACCAGTGCCAATTGACTGATCTCTGGAGGAGAGAACCCATTTCTCCTGGCTTTGGTCATACGACCCGAATGTCTGCAAGAACTGGTCTAAGCTCATGATAGCGGACCACCAGGCCTGGTCAAAACCAAATCCAGCGGAGGATAAGGAGCCAAAGATCATGACCATGAATATGGTCCACGTGTACTTGGGCGTTGTCGATGGCATTGTGATGTCTGTGGAATGGGCCATATCGTAGATAATAGTTGCAGGAGAAGGTAAAATCCCAACTAATGTGAATATAATGAGCCTTGAACTCTGTTGCAGGTGAAACCACTGCTCACCTTTTATCACATTTCCTGCCCCAGGAAATCTCCAACAAGCCTTCTCCAGGGTTTGCCTCCACCTCTGACCGCGAAATACGGGGGCTCTATTATGGAGAAACAATATCTAGCCCCGGCTCATACTTTGCCCCCGCTTTGTTCGTATCCTAGTTCCGCCATGTGGAATAGCGTTTGACGGAACCACATTGTGGTCTATAGCCAAGAGGGAATATAGTTCAATCCCGGGCCGTTGGTGTTCAAATAAGCCGTTAATGGACCATGATATGGTATGAGGCCAGTGGTATCCCCACGATAATATAGCCTTAAATAAAAGGTAGTAGTTTACTGGACGTTGCCCTGTACTTTCCAACACCGTTAGCTGGAATATCAATACATCGATGAAACTGCAGAAGCATAGAAGGGGTTATTTCCGTACTAAGTAAACCAATGAGTACACCAGGCGAACAGAAATATGCCGATGAACAGGCTGGCGCTCACAGTTGGTACAGCTCCTAGCAGTCTTGGCTCCAGGCTCTAGATTATCCCACCGGGAGTCTAAATGATATTTTCACGGAGCCTCTCGAATTGACCCACTATTTCGCCGACCGGTGGGGCGAAGTCCCATCTATTCCACGAGACCTAAATCTCAGGGTCGCCGAGTGGCCCATCGCATCCAGCAGGCTGCGTGGCGAAGGTGCCCCGGATACGAGCAGTATACTATGACGCTTGTTTTGGGGTTCTCTCGAACTCCACAATATAAATGATTCAGAGTAAGTTGAGATAACCAAAATGGCCAAGCGTACTTGAAGTTGTGAACTCGATTATTCTTCCTCTTCCTGTAACTATCATTAATTCATTTTTTCTATCTCACTCGCAGGGGGTTCCCAATCCGCTCAATATGAGTCACGGTGAGAAGCTCATGGTGGAGGAATTGCTTCAGGCTTTGACCTTGGAGGAGAAGGTCTCCCTGCTGGCGGGGAAAAATATGTGGGAGACAATGAACATCGACAGGCTGGGGATCCCGAGCTTGAAGATGACCGATGGGCCAGCTGGAGCAAGAGGGTCGAAATGGACATACGGTTCATTGACGACTTTCATTCCTTGTGGTATCTCATTGGCGGCCACATTTGACCCGGAGTTGGTTCAGAGAGTGGGCAGCGTTTTAGGGCAGGAGACACGACGCAAGCACTGCCAGGTCCTACTAGCACCAACAATGAATTTGTCACGTTCGCCGCTAGGTGGTCGCAACTTTGAGGGCTACGGCGAGGACCCATACCTAATTGGAAAGGTATCGACTTCCATGATTCAGGGGATCCAAAGCCAGGGTGTAGCGGCATGCATGAAGCACTTTATCGCGAACGACACCGAAACGCGGCGCTTTAATGTCGACCAAACCATTGACGAGCGCACTCTGCGTGAAGTATACATGAAACCCTTTGTGATGGCTCTTGATGCGAACCCATTGACTGCTATGGTGAGCTATCCAAAGATAAACGGATACCACGCCGACCTGAGCCCTGCCATCCTGAAACCGCTTTTGCGTGATGAATTACAATTTGACCGAATAGTCATGAGTGACTGGGGTGGATTAAACAGCACTGTTGAGAGCTTGATTGCCACTACCGACCTGGAAATGCCGGGACCAGCGGTGCGACGGGGTGACAAGCTCCTGGCTGCCATAGCACAAGGTCAGATCGACGTCGCCAAGCATGTTGATCCAAGTGTGCGACGGGTCTTGGAGCTACTGGAACGGGTCGGTCTGCTGTCCTGTTCATCCTCTGGTGGTTCCCTAAAGGGCGATGGGGCTGAATCTGAGAAAGCGCCAGACGACCCGACCTTTCATCGGATCGCTCGTGAGGCTGCCCAGGATGGTCTCGTTCTCCTGAAGAACGAAGGCCTCTTACCTTTGCAACCATCCGCTCTACAAAAGGTTGCTATCTTGGGTCCCAATGCCCGCCGTCCGACTGCAGGTGGCGCTGGCAGTGCTGCTGTCAATCCATTTTACATCACCACCCCTGAAGAATGCATTACGACGGCCATCCAACAAGCTAGCCCACAGACAGATATTGTTTATGAGCAAGGCATTCCGTTTAGTCTCCGCCCACCGTTACTAGGTGCCACGCTCACCATACCCAACGGCTCCCGGCAGGGACTGGAGGTGACCTTCTACGCCGGACACGAGTTTCAGGGACCTCCTGTAACGACAAGCTATTGGGATGACTCCCTTATTTATCTCTTCAGTGATGGCGATGTACCGGAATCGCTCAAAGGCAGCCCATATTGCTACCAGGCATCCGGCATTGTGACACCCCAGGCATCTGGTTGGTATACGTGGAGTGTGGCAAATACAGGCAAGGCTAAGCTGTTTATCAACGATGAAATGATCATTGATAATACGCAGTGGTCGCGCATAACTGGAGGCTTCCTAGGATGCTCCAGTGAAGACCGAACGATTCGTATGCATTTGGAAGCAGGGAAAGAATATCGACTGAGGGTGGATAATGTAGTGACATTGCCACCTATCGAATCTTTTGATAATACCCTCTTTCCGAATGTCTCAGGGCTGCGGGTTGGTCTTGCCCTGGAGCAGGATCAGGACGCATTGCTGGGCCGCGCCGTGGACTGCGCTAGGTCATCCGATATAGCTATCCTTGTTGTCGGTCACAATAAAGACTCTGAGGGCGAAGGGGGCGATCGCATCGACATGCAATTGCCAGGCCGGACGGACGCCCTCGTACAGGCTGTATGCGATGCCAATCCTAATACAATCGTTATCGTTCAGGCAGCCAGCGCAGTAACAATGCCGTGGGTGAACCAAGCCCGCGCAATCGTCATGGCCTGGTACCAGGGTCAGGAAAACGGGAATGCCTTGGCAGACGCTCTCCTAGGTCACTGTAACTTCTCCGGTAAAACTCCGATCACTTTTCCTCGCCAGCTAGAGGACCACGGCTCTCATGCATGGTTCCCCGGGCAGGCAGCCAACGACTCTTGCGAGTTTGGGGAGCAAGGGTTGGTTGGATATCGTCACTTCGATAAGCTCGGTATCAAGCCTCTATGGCCGTTTGGATATGGACTGTCTTACACGCGGTTTGAGGTCACTGACATTTGCCTTGACGGGTACATGACCACTACAGCGGCGTCCACCATCTCAGTCCACGCTCGCATCACCAATGTTGGAGAACAAGCTGGCTCTGAAGTAGTGCAGGTCTACGTGAGCCCTTCTGAACGGATTGAAAAGAGAGGGCTAGTCACGTATGAAAAAACGCTGGCTGGATTTTCCAAGGTGTTTGTCCCTGTCGGAGGTTCGAAAGACGCCACTATTCCGATCGGCAAGGAAGAACTGCGTTGGTATGACGAAGAAACCCATTCATGGCAGATAGACCCGGGCAGGTACCGCTGTTTTGTTGGCACCAGTGTGGTGGATATTCATTGCGAACTGGAATTCCATGTGGTGTAGATGATGTTCAACGTTAAATGTAATTTATTCTGTCTTCCGACAATAGGGTTGATTGGGCCCCGTGCCTAGCGGGTCAGCTGATTCCGTGTATTTCAATACCATAGTATTTAATTTGACTGAATTCCCAATCCACCGCACTCAATTGACTATAAGAAGTCCACTCAGCGTTCCCGATCATGGACCACTCGTCAAGTCCCTCCTCCATCCTGCCTCCTTCGGTCCCCGTCGCCTGTCTCAACTGTCGCGAAAAGCATCTCAAGTGCGATGGTAATCTGACGGGATGTACCCGGTGCAAAGACCTAAGTCTCTTTTGCCACTTTGTACCGAGTCGCCGAGGGAGACGAGGGCGGCCTTGGCCATACTCAGGTGCAATAGGAGACTACCCTCCACTGCCTGTCGAGCCCACGGGAAATGCAATGATGACTCCTTTCGAATCCTTGGCATGTGCTGCTCCTGAAGGAAATGTCATCTATTCTTCACTCCCCTCTTCGGTCGACAACCAGCTGGTTCCGCTATTTTTCCTCCATTTCCATCAAGCGCATCCATTCTTGCCGCCTCGTGACGCATTCCTGCATTCTTCTCCCCCTGGCTACTTGCTGGATGTGGTACAGTTCATCAGCCTACATTACCTCCCTGCGAGTAATGTTCCGGACCACACCCATCAGCTAAGAACAGCCGTTCAGGAGGCAGATGCCAGTCTTGAAAAGGTACAGGCGCTTTTGCTTCTGTCTATCATCATGCATGCACGAACCCAACCACGAGAGGCAAAGGAATGCCTTGGACAGGCAATTGCTTTGAGTCTAGAGCTTGGGCTTCACTGTCGTGAATTTTCCGACGCTATGGAGATCCAGAATCCTGTGGGGGCTGAGAGTGCCCGGCGAACGTGTGGGAGATCTTCATTATTGACACCCTCCTCGCGGCTGTGCAAGTCGACGGCGCTTTGCAGCTGACGATAGAGACACCGGATCTTCCCCTGCCTTGTGAAATGGACGAATACCAGGATGGCCGCTTGGGAATCGTTCCAACCTCTCTCCGCGATATGGATCGTCAGGCCCTGTTTCACAATGATGGCGATTTCTCTTCTGCGGCGTATAGGGTTGAAGCAGCCACCATACTTCGAAGGTGCCTGATAGCGAGTGGTAATCATGTCTCCCATGAAACTATTAATATTCTCGATGTCACCATCTCGGCCTGGTTTCACCGTTTGCCTAGTGGCAAACAGGCTATGTTGCATCATAACGGTGACGTGGATCAAATGATCTTTCAATCTTTCATGATAATGCACTGCGCTTCAATATACTTACACTTTCCGAAATCATACCTCCTCGCCTTCCTGCCCGTGACTAGTCACATCTTTTGCTCTCGACCCCCAACCTTCACGTCTAGCTCAGCAAATCCTCAAATACACACAGCCAAAGTATACGGTGCGGCGGTTAACCTATCCAAGCTAGCTTCCTTAACGACCACCGTGACTAGTCATAGCCCCTTTTTTGTCTGCACGCTAGTTCTAAGCTCCATCGTCCAACTCGCCATCTTTACTGCTGATCCCCAGCAGTCGACTCGCACAGGCCGCAACTTCCTAGCGTTGAACATCGGCGTCCTAAAGTCCATGGGGCCTATGTGGGCGATTGCGGCGGCTTCGATGGCCCGGATCCGCGACGTGGCTATCGAGGTGGAGTCAGCGCTTGCCGGGGAGCGCAGAGGCCTGTTAGATGATCAACTAACTCAGTCCGCGTTAGTCGACTCTCAAGAATTGGACTTAACACTCCTATGACGCGCACGCGCTCACCGTATCACTTCCCTTCGTGATGAACCACGCGTAATTTCGGCTTTTATTGAGCTAGTTCACTCGCTACAACCTTAAGGGTGTGTATCTAGTCCATGTAGCTCTTAGTTGATCTTGACCTTATCGTGACCTACAATGTTCTATACGTGTATGTCTTGACAAGCCATTCATTCTCAGATCTATCTTTCCTAAGACAAAGTTTCCCCTTGCCATTACCGAACTCTGTCCATCAAGTGCAATTCAGCCCACCTATAGGCTTTCATACCCACGCATCCAGGCTGTATCCATTTCGATACGCTAGTGCTTCTTGTGGGCCCTCTGCATCAAGGATATATGCATACTCACATCGGTCGAAGGCTACCTTGGATTGAGCATTGTAAAAAGCATCGTACTTCTCATGCAAGGCATCTCGAAGGTTGTGGACGGATCCATCGGGATGCAACACACTCCATGGTTCGATGCAAGAAGTCCCTTTGCAGGATTTCAAGACCAAAAGAAGAGCATCAAGCCTTGGAACTACTTTCGAAAGGCTGTGTCCCATGATCTGGGTTTCTTGTGAGTCAACTGCCTGCGCGGTGACATAGATGTTGTTGATTTGATACGGGTCACTCTAATGTCTTGTCAGCGGTCTAGAATTGCTCATCTTTAGCGGTACAATGACATACCGTGAGATCATAAAGCTCATGTTCGTTATTGCACCATACAGAATAATAGAGGTTGTACTCCTCGCTCAATATACGAACCGCCTTGTACGTATTGTTTGGCACGGTTGGCTTGCCTGGTCTAGATGTAAGTCCTCTGAAAGCTTTAGACACTGAAAGCAGTTGTAGCAAAGTCTTACCAAGGTTAGATAATCCTCCCTCAAGCATCGCCTGTCCCCAATATTCAACGGTTACATGCTCGTGCAGGTTTTCCACCCTATTCCCTAGAATGCGCATAGGGGCGCCGTCGAAATCATCCCTCAGGGGGATCCCCGCCAATTCATAGAAGGTCGGAGCCAGGTCGATATGGGTGCTCACGGAGTCTTCCACTGCTCCTTCTGGGATTCCAGGGCCTCGAATGAAAAATGGGACTCGGATATCCTCATCGAATCCACACGTCTTTCCCGGGGGAAGTCGATGCTGCCCGATATGAAAGCCATTATCCGATGTGTAGATAATGTAAGTATTGTCAAGCTTGTCACTCTGCTCCAACCGAGTAATGAGGGTATCAACAAGTTCGTCCACGCCCTGCAACGCGCGGAGCCGTTGGCGATAGTAATGGTCATTATACTCGACCTCAGTGTCGTTCCTGAAAGGAAGGTCATGGATCCAACTGACTCCAGTAGGCTGTTCTCTAGTCAATTTCCTGAAGACCCCCATATAGGAGAAAGACAACCTACGTTCTTAGGGTTGAAGTTGGCTGTACGAGGCACTTGAGCATCAGGGAAAAGGTGCCTGTGGCGGTCTTCTGGGATAGGTTCATCCATCCATAACGGCCCACTTCCGGCACCGTATGTCCCATTCATGTTTGAATGGGGTGCAATTGGCGAGACAGCCAGGAAGAAAGGACGTTCTCCATCCAGGGCGTCTTCCAGGAACCCCATGGCCTTCTGTGTCAGTACCTCGGTTGTATGTCTTTCTAAGTAACTGACTGGGGCATCGTGGTTCCGCTGGTAAGTAGCATTCATATAGTCATAGGTGTAGGGATCCAGTAGGAAGTCTGAGCCGTTAAAACCAGAAACGTGTGGACTAGCATAAGTCTCGACGGAGTGTGCATTCATCAGCTTTCCCGTGTAATAAGTGTCATAACCCGCTTGCTGCAACCACACGGGGAGAAAGTTCTTATCAAACCCTCCTTGAACAAACTTAGGGTATCCACCTACTCAATGAGTCAGTAAACAATGAAGGCTGTGCCAAGTCAATGCTCTTACCCCACGGCGGGTGAACATCCGTCACGTTGGTGTTATGTGCTAGACGCCCTGTCCACAGACTAACTCTCGACGGACAGCAGAGGGCCGTGGTTACAAAATGGTTGCTGAAGGTGGTTCCTTTGTCCCTCATATGCTTCATAGTCAATGGAGTATAGGATAGCGAGTCCAGTAAGAGATCTTGGTCATCGGACATAATGAAGAGGAAGTTTGGGGGTCGCTGCGCGCCTGGATGCTGGTGGGCAACATGCTTAACGGCATTGGATGAGCCCAGGCTGGCCTCAGTCACTCCAATCAGGCCCAAGGTAGCCAGGATCTGGTTTCTAAACTTCATCATGGACGTTGAGCTTCAGTTGAACTCTGGTGATTCGGACAGCCTGGTGACATACCAATGGTATATAAACGTTGCAGAATCTATCGTCTCAACCCATACCTTGAACCATCTCCCCATGGGCCCTCGACAGAACCACAGTGATTAGTCTCCATGACGATCCTAAGCTCGTAATTAAAGTTTGTATTGTGAAGGTTTCGGCGAATATAGTGGAATTCTGCTCCCCACAAAATCGGCGATAGATTAACTTTGATCCTTTTCATTATCTCTCTGGCTCTTTCTTTCTTTATATCGGTTTTTGCTTTTGTTTTTTTTTCTTATTCTTTTCTGGTAACCTCTTAGATAGTGATATAGATATTGTACGATACAATCTACATACACTGGATCATCCCAACAAGAAACGCAACCTCGAGGGGATTAGCTAGTGTTTTAATATCAAGTCCTGGTTCGCCTTGATGTTATGGATCCTTTGAGACATATTCAAGTCAGTCAGCCCTCATAACAGTACGATTGGTTGGTGAACTTTCTTGCCATGCCCATTGACTATATTCTAATCAAGCAGATACCGGTGGCATGTGCAGAATCTTCAGTGGTGGGTCATATTAGCCAAATCCCAAATTACTTGCCTCATCGCTAATAGTGGATACTAGTCAGCTCGAATGTATCCTATTTTGATGTTGACAGTGTCTCCCACCGGGTGGCGTGCTCATCTGTGGTCCCAGGAGAGAAGCGGACACAATCCGTGGCAGTGACCATGTGTAATTTCCCCATTAGGATATGTTTACGATGCCATAATTTCAAAGCATGAGGTGCCCGTTTCTGTAGAAAGTCAGCAGCGACTCCACATGGAGTGGACATTGCCGCTAAGGATTCTTCTCCATGGAGTACCCATCTTCCCTTCCCTCGAGAGGATAGTGATATATGGATTCAAGAGAGACCCACATTGTCTCATCGCGGGGTCATTCAAGCTGGTTCAAATTGAACGAGCGGGATGAAAAGCATAGAATGGGCGATGATCTATGGAGGTTTATTTTCTTTCCGGAGAGATTGGGCGCACATGGCTGCTTCAATGCCTGCTACCTTCGTCAACCATACGATAGATACAGCTTCTATTCATACGTCTTACAAAACCACCTTTAAACGCCATCAAATGAACGACCACCTTATTGACCTCATTTATCACTAGTCGAACTAGAGAATAGGAATAGCAATATAAACGTCGTATTTCAACTAGATACAAGAATCGTCTGACGAGAAGAGCCTACGAGCTAATCTCCTCCGCGGAAACAACTGTCCCGAAAGCATCGGCCAACTCGTTGAGAACCACCGCCACCAACTGCTCGGCTTCAACCCCAGGGATATGACGATCACCCACGGCATCCTTCACAACAACCACATCGTAGCCCAATTCACTGCCAGCCCTGGCGGTGGTGGAAATACACACGTGTGCCATATACCCGACGAGGACAATCTTCTTCCCCAGGTCTCCCAAGCCGCCCAGGTACTGGTGGAGATCGGTCTGCGCGAAAGAGCTCGGGAAGTTCTTCGTGACGATCTTCTCGCCGGCCCTCGGTGCCAGCTCCTCGAACTCCTGCGCTAACGCAGTTCCCGGAGTAAAGACGGGGGCACCGGCCGGCACTTCATGGACCACGTGGACGATATTGGAGCCGTTGCCACCATTCCGGTACCGAGACAGTAAGTCGGCGATAACTTTGCGGCTTTCGGCCACATTTTCGACCTTCAGCTGGCCCAAGGCGTATTCATTTTGCGCATCGACAATAATCAGAGTGGAGTCTTTGACAGACGCCGTGGAACGAGGAATGCCAATGGTTTGGCGGAAGGATTGAGCATTGGAAGCCATGGCTGAACTAGTGACGTTGTCTTAGAGAAAACGATTTTGTGATGGTTGGAGTGATGTCGGTCTGCTAGAATGAGTAACACAGGCTTAAGTAGGGGAGTGTCTGGTCTGCGGTCGATTGGTGGTCCATCAGCATCATTACATGGACCTAGAAATGGATCCGTAATCGACGGTGGGGTTGTCGGGATCCCGCTGCGGTGGGATGCCGGTGGGCTTCCGGTGGGCTCCGCTCCGGTGGGATTTAAAGATCCGCTATCGTCATCTTGTTCTTCTATCCACCGACTAATTCCTTAGTCTGTTACAGTCTCCGTGTCCATGATGCCTGCGAGCGGCACAGCCCGCTTCTATTGTCGCCATCAAGGCTGTAGCGCCAGTTACCGGCGCCAAGAACATCGAACTCGACACGAGAGCCAGCACTCCGGCACTCGAACAGCCAGTTGTCCCTTCTGTGATCGCAGTTTCTCCCGAAGGTAGTGTTCCTCTGCAGCATTTCTGATTATACGATACCGACTGACTATCACAGCGACACCCTCCGCCGACACATACGGCGAGACCACGAAGAGGAACAACTACAAAGCTCTCGGGCGACTCGCGCATGCCGTTCCTGTCGCGTAGGCAAAGTTCGGTGTCGTGGGGGCAATCCCTGCAAGCAATGTCGAGAAAGGGGGCATCGTTGCATCTTTGAGAATCAAGTTGCACCTCAGACAGATACGCCAAATGCACACGCTTGTCTCGATGACGCCATTGATCTGGAACGAGCAGGGAACAATCAAAATGATCCTAGAGACCAGATTGACCACTATATCCAACTCTACTTTGCTCGCTTCCATCCCCGGTGGCCGTTTCTTCATCGCGCCACTTTCGGTGCTTCGCATGAACCAACCCTTCTGCTGTATGCTGTGGTGATGATCGGCATGTGGGTGTCTGGGAAGGATACCTGCCGGAGGTCCGCACTGGATTTACACAGGAGACTGGGCACTTGTATTCGGCAGCAACAGGTAGCTCTTTTCCCTTCTCTCTCATGCTATGGTTAAGGAGAACTAACAGTCAGCAAAACAATGCAGCCAACCTGGCAGGGTTTAAGTAATCAGGAACCAAGACCAGCGTCAGCTTGGCCGATTGCCACCTATCAGGGCGTCCTCCTTTATCTGATATTCTCTCTTCTGTCGGCCCCACACTACTCTCACTCACTTGACCTGACTATCCAGCTTTCCGTATCAGACCGGAGGATACTAACCGCCCTGGTACAGACCTGTCTTAGACACAATGTGTTCTTCTACCCGGCAATGGTAGGCCGGTATCACGATATCGACGATGTTACCTGTATATGGGTCGGAGTAGAAGAGATAAAGCGCCTGGGCCTAGCTCTGTATAAGGTATGTAACAGGTGCCGGAGCGCTCGCCAAGGTGAACTAGATGGAGACAGTAACTCCCGGTTACTGTGTCTCTCGGACCTTCGGTTCCCAGCCCCAGATAGCAATCACTTATGGGAGGCGAAGTCCAATCCGGAACTTTCCAATTTGCTGGCACAAACCTCCAGGGGCATGAATCCAGAGGACGGTCGAGAAATTAAATTAGTATCTGACGGTGGAGGCTGGCTGGATGATGTTGATCCCGGATTCAATTGGATTTGATTTCTATTGCTTATGTAGATTCTATGTAAGGGCTGTACTTGTGATCCCAATCAAATCAAGAAAGAAAAGAATCAAACAAGGGAGGATGTCCACCGGGGGTGCTTATGAAATAGCATTCGCCTACCAGATGATTCAAGTCACTTCACAGAAAGTGGACGACTGGCAATACTCCTATGACTTGGCATGAGTATAAAAATGTCCAACATAACGGTTACACGCTACTGAAGCTATAACAACGGTGGTCTACCGAGGCATAATTCGGCTCGCTGCGACTTCGGTAGACATTAAGACTTACTGATAGCCTGTGTATCACCAACAACGCACTCCCAAAGTCAAGGCTACCAAATACATACTGAATGAATCCATGCCTAATTAGTCACTTATGCCTCCGAGCTGAAGAATCCGTAGTGAGATCATCTTGAAACAACAACATCTTGAAATTGTCGACAGTTCCTCTATATACGAATACACAGTATCAAACACTAAAGATAATCCCACACGCCACTGACACGGCCACAATCCCTGTAGCTAATACTGACAAGGAATAGTGAGCTAAATAATCCGAGTGTCCACGCCTGGAGTGAGCCAGCGGACGAGGTCAGCCACCCCTTCCTTCTCAAACACCTTGAGAAGATCGTCCCGGTGCTCGGTGAAATGCTCCCAGGACTCGAAATGGATCGGCACCATAGTCTGGGCACCAGTCACCCGCATGAAACGAGCCGCTTGCTTTCCGTCAAACGTGATTTGAATGATGCCATTCGGGTGAGAGAAGAGGGCGTTTCCAAGGTTGAGAACTGCAATGGATATGTTCCACTTGTCTTTGATCTTCTCGAATTCGTCGATATACACGGTGTCTCCGGAGAAATACACAACGTTGGGAAGGCCAGCGGCATTGAAACCAAAGGATTCCGACTCCAAGATGAAGCCAGTCACCTCGCCTCCTGGGAAGTGCTTGCACGGGGTTCCCGTAATGCGAAACTCCTTGCCTCCAATTGTGGCGACAACGGTTTCCCATGGGCGAAGACCGACTACTCCTGGTCGGGGGTGTAGATTATGCGCTCCGTCCGGAGTCGTGAAGACCTTGCGACCGTCCAGAAGCTGGCGGCCCAAGGGATCCAGGTTATCCACATGGTCCTCGTGGCTTAGCAGGACCGCGTCGATCGGAGGGAGGTCGTGAAGCTGCAATGCCGGACCTTCAATGCTTCGGAGGACACCCGCAGGCGGGCGGCCTTCAAAGCCATAATCCTTGAGGTTTGGGGCCTTTGCCCAGCCGTCATAGATATATTGTGATCCAGCAGGGCAGAATACCGGATCAGTGAGGAAGTTGATGCCGTCAATGTTGATGATGGCAGTGGCGGTAGTAACGTGCGTGATGCTAACAACGCTCTTAAATGAAGATGCCATGGTGAATGATCTGCAGAAGTATATTGAAGCTTGAGCCAAACAAAGAATGTAGATGAGATCGGAGGCATGGTATTTGGTCTCTTAAATATCCAAAATGTAGCGGAGAGACACATCTATCCTTGTCCATATTATTCTCCTAGTCATCACTCCCACCGGAGCATTAGTAACTTGCAAACAATGTATAACGATTATGAGACATAGTCAAATCCATCATCATACCCACCGGAGACTGTTCATTCTTACGAATGTCTCGTTTGTGATTACTCAGTTTACAATGACAGGTATTCTCTTCTGCTGCCTTTTTCCCAGGGATTTCTCATCTGAAGGCGATTGGGTGCCGGTTCCACATTAACGAATTCTCTTTGCTTCGATATATTTTGCAAGTCTCCATAACAAGGGAGAAAATTAGAAAATCCTGTGTAATACCGTGCGGATATATTAGCGACCCGTCTGTTTCTTTATTTTGCTTAGGTCCATTTGATTTTCATTTCCCCCCTTCTATTCTTTTCCGTTGGGCTGCTCATCTACGCTCGGTCACCCAAGCCCTTGTGTGTCCATCTGCGATTCACGACCTTCTGCTCCACCAAGCCTGAGCATCATCGGGCTGCAACATGAGTCATTCAAGTACAGTTGATGGAGGATACGCCTGGATTATCGTCCTAGCTGTATTCTGGAATAATGCCCACCATTGGGGAATCTTATCAGTATGGCGGCCTACCCTCTAGACCCTGCAGCTCCAAACTAACCTTCGCAGAGCTATGGTGTCTTCTTGGAAGACTTCATCTCAAACTCTAGAATCTCCGGTGGTACCAGTCTGGACTTCGCGTTGGTTGGCGGACTGTCCGCATCACAGGCACTCGTTATATCGCCCTTGATTACAATGATTCATCGTCGTTTTGGCCTCAGGATAACTATGGCGCTCGGTGTGCTCCTTGAGACGGCAGCCCTCCTGGGAGCGTCCTGGAGCACCAGGATCTGGCAACTCTACCTAAGTCAAGGCGTCTGCTTTGGATGGGGTCTCGGCTTACAGTATCTATCGACCACCTTTATTATTCCACAATGGTTCAGCAGGAAACGAAGCTTGGCTGCAGGTATTACAACGGCAGGGACCGGTACTGGAGGGCTAATATACTCGTTGGCAACCCACGCGATGCTGGACCGGTTCGGCAGTGGTTTGTCGTATCGGATTCTGGCCATTATCCAATTCGTTGTCAATACCATCTGTGTACTCCTCTTACGGGATCGCACTGCAGAACCCCGATCAGAAAGGAACAAGTCAATTCTCCGCCTTGGCCTCTGCAAGAGATACGAAGCCTGGCTGTTCATTGGCTGGAGTTTTTTCAGCGTCATGGGATTCATGGTCATCTGGTATTCGCTTGCTACCTACTCACGATCCATCGGCTTGTCCGCCAGTGAAGGATCGATCGTAACCGCTGTGATGAACGTGGGCCAGATTCTCGGTCGACCTGCGGTGGGGTATTTTAGTGACGTTTTTGGACGCATCAACATGACCACCTTTGCCACGTTTACCAGCGGGTTGCTCTGTTTACTGCTCTGGGTGTTCGCCAAAACATACACAGCGCTCATTTGCTTTGCTTTGTTTGCAGGAATCCTCTTTGGGACGTTCTGGACGGTAAGTCGTTCTTGATCTCGCCGTTGCCTAGCTCACTGATGTCCATGGCTGATGGTACTCCAGGCTGTTGGGCCACTTGGGGCAGAAGTTGTTGGATTAGATGACCTTCAGTCGTTCTTAACTATCATGTGGCTTATTTGTTCTGTTCCTGCGACCTGTATGTTCCCCGCTTTGATTTCACTCCATTTCCCGTCGCTTCTGCAAGTCTGGTTCTAATCAGTTGGACAGTTGGGGAAGCCATCGGTCTTGAACTTCGCACGTCCGGCAAGGACGAGTTTCTACGCACACAATTGTTTACCGGTTTCATGTATATCGGTGCATCTCTATGCACACTGCTTCTGCGAGGCTGGAAGATATCCCAAAAGAAGTCGTCAGAGGCAAGAGAATCGACGCCAGTGTCTGCGGGAGACTGTCGAGGTTCGGAATTAACCCATGACGAGTGTAGTCTCTCCAGTCGGCCTTCTCCTTTTGGGATCTGGGAGAAAGTGTAAGTTGGAATATAGAAAAATTGACGGTGGTATCGTTTCGTAACTTAGTACTAGTCGAGATCAAATCAATGTCCATGGAATCTTTTTGTGCCTGGCGCCTCCCGTGGTTCCAGGCGCCTGGGCCACCAATCGGCAACCGCATGATCGCAGGACAGCCGCGGTAATTACGCGGGCGATCACGTAATAAAAACCGAGATCCCCATCGTCAACAAAAGTACTCCTATTGTGTTAGTGACTTGATCCTCTGGACCTGGACCAGCCACATGTGGAGGGCAGAAACAAAACAAGACAAGCTTCCTGTCTGCGGCTCCGAGTCACCAGTCATTCTCGCTCTCTCTGCTCCACCAGTCACCCAACCGAATGTTCACCACTGGACCGGATTCTTGCCCCAGACTCAGTAAAACTCCGCAATGGCTGAAACTCCTTCTCGTCCCGAATGAGCCGACGTCACCTCCACGATGGTTTATTTTTCAATTTTCCTATTTCCCTTACGGGCACTTTTTCTCTTCCCCCCCCCTAAATCTTTCAAATACCTTTCTACGAGAAGAATGTGGGAGGCCTCGTGACGGTGAGTTTCCCTCCCTCATCTCCCCCGACTTAACTTTGACGCTTCGGCCCGGTGTTAACCCTCCGATCATGGTGGCAGCCGCTGTACAGGATGTCGCAGATCCCCTACGATTCAAACGAGCGTTATCATGCATCGCACGCCAGTAATGATCCGGGTGACGACGATAATGTCCCTGGTCCCCGCCGTTCCTCTGCACAGTCCTTCGTGAACTCTTTACTCAATCCTTTCCGTGCGCTTCGAGAATCCGGAGCACGACTTGCCACCCGCCTCGGTCGTCCAACGGATGGAGGGGATGCTCTGGATGCGGCTGCTCATCCCGAACAATACGGGGCGACGGAGGATGTGCGCCTGCTGGATATGATGCCGGACGGGCAAGTCCCCCCGGACTCGTACCAATCGAAGCTGCAGAATACTTTGGTCTCGGAAGCTCGCTTTCTAGTCCGGAAATTGGGCGTTGGGGGGAAGCTTCCAGAGGATACCGACGTGCCTGACGACCGTGATGTCAATCGCGGCGTGTTCTCCTACCTCCTGCAGCATCAAATGGATCAGGGTCATCGTCGAAATGTTAGTCAAGCCAGTATTTCCACGGTCGCTTCCGAGGACGAACCTTCCCCGTCGGGGGCCAATAACAAGAAACGTCGGAAGCAAAAGTGGTATGAGGATGAAGAAGGAGATCGGTCAAAGGGCAAACGACCTATGAAACAGATTCGATTGACGAAACATATCGCGGCGATTTTGACCCGCCAACGATACATCATGCTGCTGTGCCGTGCAATGATGAAATACGGCGCCCCAACCCATCGTTTGGAAGAATACATGCGGATGACAGCAACGTGCTTGAGATCCAGGGCCAGTTCATGTACTTACCAGGGTGCATGATCGTCTCCTTCGACGATCCGCTCACCAGGACCGCCGAAGTGCACATGATTTCCGTCGTGCAGGGGTTGGAGCTGGGACGTCTCGCTCGCACGCACAACATCTATAAAAACGTGGTCCATGACCGAGTCAGCGTCGAACAGGCCATCAGCGAACTTAACCAGCTCATGGAGCGTAAAAGTCGCTACCATAGCGCGTGGAGCTTGATCTTTCTGTCCGGGTTAGCCAGTGTGGCCGTCGGGCCCTGGGCCTTTGACGCGCGGCCGATCGATATGCCGATTATCTTTGTCCTCGGCTGCCTGCTCGGGTTCATGCAGAACGTGCTCGCCCCGGCGTCGCCCGTCTATTCCAACGTCTTCGAGGTCAGCGTCGCTATCCTGATGTCATTCTTGGCGCGTGCGTTTGGTAGCATTCGCGTCGGGGGAGAGCCGGTGTTCTGTTTCTCTGCTCTGACCCAGTCCTCGATCGCGCTGATCCTGCCGGGGTTCTCCGTTCTGTGCAGCAGTCTTGAGTTACAGTCCCACCAGATCGTGGCTGGCTCGATCCGCTTAGTTTATACGATCATCTACTCCCTCTTTTTGGGATACGGAATCACGGTGGGCATCACGATCTATGGTCTCCTCGACAACAATGCCACCACGGAGTCCTCTTGCCCGTCGGCGAGTCTCTCGATCTATGGTAACGAATACATTCAGCACTTTGTCTTCGTCGCGATTTACTGTGCCGTCGCCGCGGTGCTCAACCAGGCGCGGTGGAAGCAACTCCCGGTCACGGTCTTCTTGGGTGTGAGCGGGTACGTCGCGAACTATTTCAGCCAGGCGTTGGATGGTCGACTGGCGAGTACTATTTCTGCGTTTGCCATTGGTCTGCTGGCCAACCTGTATTCGCGCCTGTGGCATGGGCATGCGGCGGCGGCGATTGTCCCGGGCATGTTCACCCTGGTCTCGTCAGGTCTGGCGACGAGCGGATCGATCATGTCGGGGTTGGCCTATGCTGAGTCGGTCAAAAATAATACGGTTGCTAAAGCGTCCGGCTCCAACACGGCCGTACAACAGTCCTTGTACGGTCTGGGCCTCAGTATGGTTCAAACCGCCCTGGGTATCACCGTGGGGTTGTTTTTTTCGGCCTTGGTCGTGTATCCCCGCGGCAAACAGAGAAGCGGACTGTTCAATCTTTGAAATTGGTTGTAATATAGTGAAGAAATCTATTCAGTATTTAGTATTATTTTTGACTTATAGACATTTGGTCGTTTCTGTTGGCGAGCTATTTGATCAGTATTCTTGTCGTATATCTCTCTCTCCCTCCCCCTCTTCCCCCCCTACTTTCCTCGTAGAGTACACATGAGAATACGAGGGTATCTCCCCATGCAGTTTTTAAATTAGGGAAATTCTGTCCATGTTATGTGAAAACACTTTGAGCAACGGGCTACGCTTGACCCAAGAACCAACATATATATATATCCAGGATCCGCGTACAGCTCCGTGGAACTTCGGAACTTGATCCGTGAATACTTCAAATCCACCAGCATACCACGAAAGTAACCGACTCTCGAAGAACTCCACTGCTCACTGCTCATCGAATTATATACTTCTGACCATGAACTAACCATGTAAAAACTGAAACTGTGAAAGGTATTCTCCATGCCTTCCATGAGAAGCTGGGGGGCTTTTAGCAGGCGGCCGTTTCCAGGAGAACGTTTCCTGATAACCCAGGCATATTTGCGAGAGGTCCCGCGTTCGATCCACGGCTCGGGCCGACTCTTTTCTTTTTTCTTCTTGGTTGTCTCACTCCTATCACACATCAACTCCTGTTATTGTGTGGAAGTATCTTCCCCTCCGACAAGTAACATATCCTTGGTATACCTCCACGTTCGTATTCTAGACTGGACAATACCTGAAACAGCTTCCTTAGCGTACGTTTGGGGAGAGAGTGAATTTCTCTAATGCGCGTTCTTGACAATATGAAATTCCTTCAATGACTGACCTCCAACAATGTTTTACTCGATCTTACCTACTGCATGGACCCCGCATGGAGCTCGTCTGAGGCATCAAAACTCAGGAGAGGCAACTCGAAGGCCCACAAGCTGGGCCTTTCCTCAAGCCCGAAGGGTCAATGCATGTACGCCTATGGGAGACAGGGAAAGCGGCTCCCCTCGAACGCTAGAGCCTCTTGTAATGTTTACACATTCTGCAGACGGTATCACACCCAGTTCGACCAGGAGTTCACGCTACCGAAGGGCTCGAACCCCTTGGGTTACATCGCTCGGTTACAGCTTAGAATGCAGCAAGGGGGAGCGGAGGAGAGGCTCACTGGATCCCAAGCAGCAGATAGCCTACCAGTTGATTTTTTTGCAACAATGCACCGTATTGAACAAGGGGTTTGTTCGCTACCATGAAGGATATGGCATCGGTGCTGCTGCCGAAGCGCCGCATGATAGCCTGTCATGCATTTGGAAGTGAGGAAACTCTAACGTGTACCGGAGAGATTCCTTCCAGTTAGACATCCCAAATACGATGTTATTCCCTAGACCCGAGGGACCAGCTATTGCCAAGCACACTAATATACCAGCGAAGTCTTCTTGGTAGGGAGGACGCGATTTGAGAGGCGGATGAATATCGTATTGCCCCTTTCTCCTCATGCCCAGTCGTGGTATATTGCCTGGTGCAATAGAGTAATACGAGGTTCTGCAGTGCACGCCCCAAACTAATCTGGGAGGAAGATCAGGCTCGTCCCGGATCTGCAAAGATCTACTTTAACCGCCCAATTATATTCTCGCGGGGTGCACTGACAGGATTATACTCTCTCTGCACTGAATTCAAGAAGATTCAAATCTGCCAAGGCCGTATAGGGAAAATACGGATAACTCTATTGGGTTTAGTGTTGGACAGCAATGATGGTGATACGAGGGGAATCAATATAGCCTCTTCTTCTATCTCGTATAGACCCTTGCTGCTTGATCATACGCTCCGACAGGTTTAATGACGGCATGCATCTGCGACTATCAGATGGTGGCTCAGCGTTGAGTACACCATGGGCATGGTAATCGTAGCATATAAAGCCACCCTACTTCCTCCCATCGAGTTCCGTTCAGCAGCCATAGTCTCAAATTCCACACACTTATCCAGCCATTACCTTGTCACAGTAGCACGATGAAGTTCTCTCTTATTGCTCTTGCCACCCTCTTGCCCGCGACGGCCTTCAGCGCAGCAATGCCTGAGGACGCCGCAGATGCTGCCCCGACCTTTTACACTGGATCAGATATTCCTGCCTTGAACCTCGAAGAGCGAGACCTGGAGAAGCGAGCTGTCAGCGGATATGTCAAGACCGATGGGCTCCGCTACCGGACTTGTCCCCGGACCACCTGCACCGCTGTTGGCCAATATGCCAAGGGCACTAAGCTCAGCCTGGTCTGCTACACTCGGTCCAACACTACACCAGTCAATGGTGACAAGTAAGTTTATCTCGGTAGACAGGACGTAGGGGGCAGAGCTAATCACATTGCCACTAGGGGCTGGGCCAAGTTGACGAATGGCTACTGGGTTGCGATGGCGAACGCTGCGTATATCGGATGGAGCGGTGAGTTTGATTTTAACCGGAAATAATGGGGAACAGAGACTGACATTATTCTGTTAGGCCCACTTCCCGCCTGTTAGGACGATATATTGCGCTCCTGGGACGGATGGCAGGCGCTTTGGAATGATATAACTGAAAATGACAGTTGGACACGGGATTGCTTCATTATGGACCATGGATTTCCTCATGTACATACATGGTCCAGCTTGAGAGTTGATGAATCATTTGCCATTTCTTCAGACCAGCGCAGCACGTATTCCTGTAGTCGGCACCCAGTGTAAATACCTAGCGCGAGGTCATAGGGTTGAAGAAACAGTAGTGAAGCACGGAAAGCCCAAACTGGATGGTCGAACCACGGTTTGAAGAGGCTTAGTTTTCAATATTTTCCAGTTCTACCACTGATGTACTATTCCAGTACACTCATAGATATGTACCGTGGAAAGTAGTTATCGAGCGATGGTATTGCTACGGTAGATTTTGGCAATCGACCATGGTCTTTAAGAAATCTAAAAATATACATCCTGTATAGTAAACTTAAAACACGAAAAGCAAATTTGACATATCTTCCGCTTTGGCACTCATTGCCTGAAGAGCTCTATACCATGCAACAGTCATCCAGATACTGGAACCTGACTGGGTTAGTGCGCCGGACTGCGCCAGGCTGACCGCAAGGCTATCGATTGAATCTCGGGCATTCAAAGAACGAACATTCGGTTCGCTTGAGTCGATGAGTGTATCTCGTTAACCTGCTCTAGAACTACATCACCGCGGAGTAGCTGACAGCCAGCCCTACCTCTGCGGGATCCTGTGATTCGGTGTTTTGAACGGTACTGACACTAATCGTCTCGGCAGTTCGAATATGCCTCTTCATTAACGGGCTGGATGAATATGGGGGATCCGATCGAGATATTTCACGGGTTGTCACACAATTCAATCCTTTTACATGCCCACTAATCCTGGGTGAACTGCCCCTACAAAGCCCATAGCTGCGCAGGTAGCAGGAGATACCTCACTGGCCACGAGGGTCTAGGCGGAAACTCAATGTGGTTTTGAACTTGTCCGGCTTATCAAACTGGTTCAGGGGCTGCAACTCCTGATTTCACTCAGTTGCCTGGGACCAATACAAAATCTTATCTGAATAATACCGCTCGCTAATCGACTAGTTAGCATTCATTCTACCGACAACATCATCACCGTGACCCTGACGAATGTTCTATTCCGAATGCGTCCGTCGGAAGAGGCAATACGATATAGGTTGGTCAAAGGAATTCGAAGACGATAGAGCAGATCAACATTTTCATTCGCAGGAATATAGTAACTGTTAAATAGGATGAGCATTCCGTTGATATAACAACAACTCTCATGCTATGTAAGGAGTGGTGCATACGGCTGTAGGTCCGGACCACAATAAGGTCAGGCTTTAGAAAGCTTAGCTTACAATCTAACCCACCCCAATGCACAGTTCGACTGTCCCTGAGGCGTGCAGACTCACTCATTCTGTTTCCGACAGTACACTCGCCGCGTAGGACTACATTGCGTCGGTCACCGATCAAGACAGACATCGAAAAGCGATATACTCAGTTACCGTTACTACTAACTAATAGCTAGTCCTTTCACCACAATGAATGCTAATAATACCAAGCCACACCTCTTACTCAATCGTTTTGCAACCCAAGACCATCTGGACCAATACTGTGCCTGCTCCTGTTTCATAGCGTCCTGGGCCGAGTTCAAATACGGGAAATCCTGCTTTGGGGCTGGCAGGTCCAGGAACTCGCATAATGGGCCCCACCCGTCACTTGGATGGAATTCCAAAAGCCTCTCCTTCGGCACGGTGCGGCGAACGAAGTCGTTATGATCATCAAAAGACTTTAGAATTGTCGGCTGTGCCGATGGGCTGTAGGGCACGAGCCCTTTGGATAAAATAGACATGGTCTGACTGAGGAATCGATAGTATGGCCCAGAGAACTCATCATCAAAGAAACCCAACACCGGCCAGGATTTCCAAGAAAGGATTTCAAGCAGGAAGGTCTGCATGGATCTGAGCCATGCATCACGAGGACGCGTTGTCAGAATCACTTTGGCGTCTGGGTATGCGGCGATCATTTCCTGGACGAAAAAACAGCAGGGGTCCGCTGAGGCAGCCTGGTAATGATATAGATTAATATCATCTGTACCAGGTGCTAATAGTGGGTAAGATGTGGAAGCTTATGTCGTCTTCTGTTGCCTGGAAGAGAAAGTAGAAGGCAGAGATTCTGGTCTTACATCGTAGTTCCAAAGCATTCGATCGAAGTCCTCTCCCTTAAACGGCGTACCGATTCCATCATACTTTGCTTGTAGGGCCTCTAACCAAAGCTGAAAGTGTTGATTGTTCTTGTGCTTGACTATTTCGTTGTAGTGGTATGTGTTGAACCCGAGAGATTTCAGAGCTGCGTATAGAGCTACGAGCTTGACATTAGATATTTGGTTTGTGACAATTCACTCGGTTTCTGACGTACAAGTGGTACCTGTCCGTGGCAGTCCCAATATAAGAACTCTCATGGGCTTCGGCCGCGGGATAATTGGCAACGTTGGTTCGTAAAAATGCATCCTGTTGACGCTCAGTGAGATAATCAGATAAGGACACGAGCAGAGGACGACGGAAATTCTGCAGTAGGAACAGCGCATATCTTGTAAATATGTTCTACGTGATACAGTACACCTGCCAGACTAACTAGCAAACTCAACTTCATCGATAAATAGTTCCATCGGTGGGTCATATGTAAGGGCTGCAGTCTTGGTGTCGATCCGGAAATGATCACCCTCCAACAACGGACCGTCCAGTGTCAGCCATACCAGAAGAGCAATTATTCTCAAGTTTGTATTGATAGCTTGGTGCCATAGTGGAACCCCAAACGACTATCAGCATTGCACTATAATCTGGTTCCGTCGCCTCCGGTGATCTCTGAAGAATCGTTCCATTTACATTCTTCTGCCGGTACAAAAAAGCAAATTTTATGATTCTCAGGCCCGAAAAAAGCTCACCTCCTGCAGATCTCGGCATACTCACCGCTACTTTGCAGTCGGCTGGTATCACATTATGGCTGCTGATACTATTATCTCTTTCCTTGTGCAGGGAATATCGATCTCTGATGTAGTCGACGAGGCTAATCAGAACATTCAACGTAGTCATTTGACGTTTTCAAATTTCAATCATTTTACCCCTAGCGAAAATGTTACCCACAAAATGTCCACCCCCCCGTGAGAATCACTACACCTATTACTGACCATGAAAGACGAGCGAAAACAATCAAAAAGACAGTATCTATGGTAAATTCGACACAGAGAGATATGGCCATCTATCTAACCACGACCTGTTGCCCTTTCTGTATGAATAGGAAGATAAAAGCAATCCAATGTAGCCAACCATAGTGAGGTACGTCTGTTGTCGATAGAGATACACTGCCATGTCTGTATCTTTTGTGATCGCAGGGAGTTAACCGATGATCGAGCTAGACTGTTGACATCATCTTTTCAAGCAGAAGATGGCGAGTTGGAATGATGTCGAGGCGTTGACCAACGTAAACAAGGCATTCAACTGATTGCTCGAGACAGCGACTCCAAATCCTGCCTAATGGAAGCAGGGATATTGAACAGAACATCTCTTGAATATCTTATACACCTGTCACAGCATTCCTGTCTAAGCCAACGCTCACATGTTTGCCTAGCTCGGTGGAAAACTCTTCGTTGGGCAGCTCCTACGCATAGGCCATGGTTTCAAGGTGCGCCAGCAGACATATAGTTTTATACTGTAATTGTATACGATCAGCTAGGCCCACATCTCAGTAAGACTATCATGCACCCCTGCTTTCATCCGACTCATCGAGCAATTGAACTTGTATACCAAGCTCTATAAAGTGCTCCTCGCCCCACTGTCGTTTGTAAGTATTTGATAACAGTAAATATTCCATGGTTCTACTCACGCGCTGTGTGGCCACAAATCCAGTAATAACGCTTCCCTGAGGACGCTCATCAAGGAATTGGCTATCTGTCGAGAGCACACCTGGGCTACTGGAGCCGTCGTGCAGTTTGCCAGGGTGGTACTCCATTTCTCGATTCAGGTTTGTGGTGACCTGCTAATGTTAGAAAGAGAGTGTGGGAATTGGGGGAGGAATACATACCCTTAAGCCGTAAATAGTGCTGGAGTCGCTAGGACCAGTTGTCCTCCCTACGACGTTGATGATGCGTTCCCCCCCTGGTCCATCAACTGAAAAGGTTAATGCCTCGCCAGAGGTGCATGTACCAAAGCGCAAGATCTTATCAGTGTAGTTGAATGTCATTCCAAGGATCGGAGAGACCTCAGATGAAACATGTACCTCCATGCTGATAAGTGAATCAAGCCACTTGCCATCGGGCCCTCCGAAGTCGATATTCATCAATGGACGATAGGGTGTCCCTGCGTTGTCCGGCTGGAGGTGATAAACCCGTAGACTTTTATAGCTGGGTCGTTTAGACTGCCACAAATATGAATCAGATAAGGTGAGATCGAGAGGATAATCCTGCCAAAAGGGACTATCAGACGTGTTAGTCCGTGCTTCGTCATGAATGGTTCCAATAGCGGTTAGTTATATGACTTGGACTCGTTAGCCATTGAATCGTTTATGGTAGAAAAAAGCTTACATCTGTACCAGCAAGGATATGATACACCCCGCTGGCTGAATGAGGGATTTGCAGGACGCCATGGCTCATGTTCTCATCACTCGAATCCCCAACCCAGTCGGATAGAGTGTTTCCGCCGAAATGAAAGCGTATCCCCCGAAGACCTTCTGGGCAAAAGGCAACTTCGATTTGATTGAATGTGCTCCCGGGAGACACATTGATCGTTATCTCGTCGGTCAAGTCCCCATATCCGACGGCCTGTTCTGTTGTCACTTGTGCATCTGGAGAATGATGACTGATGCCAGAAATGAACACCCGTGCCCCTAGTTGCACGGTTGATATTTTGATTTCTCCACCATGCAACATGGTATGTGGGAACGCGCCAAGCCGGTAGCGAGGTACGCGGCATCCATGTGGAAGAATTTCCAATTCCACGCTGATGTATGCCGTGTAGATGTTTTCCGCACGCCATTGGGTCAACCCCTCTGATACCAGCCAATTCCCAGGCCTGAACTCCAGACAGTTAGCCCGACGGCCCCGAGGCTCGTTCGATCGTCTGATGTCCGCTTCTACTACACATGCTATTGGTTCCAGGAGCACACGGATTCTCTTGCGGTTCAGCAGGGAGAGTCTTTCGGGTGATTGATCGTTGGTCTGAAGGATAGAAGCTGTGCCGCGATATAAACGGTACCAATCCCGTTTTTGTTCCAGATCAGGGAAGAGGAAATCCATGTCGTTGCCTCGAGCAAACTGCCTCTTCCAGAAGGATTGTGGTAGGCTGGAGAATAACACGCGCTGTCCAAGCTCTCGGCATGTACACTTTAAGTTCAGGAGCTCAGGGACCGACAAGTACGATACAACTTCATGAAACAGTTCTAGAGACATTCGGCCAAAGGAGTTAAGGTATCCGGTATTGATATCGGTAGACGACGTAGGATACTCCAAGTTGTATTCCCGTCCACCACTCACATCCGGTGCGCTCTCCTCTAGCTTCTCTAGTAGTGGAATAGCATATGGATCCGCTTTCAAAAGCAGCGGCATGTCCTCCGGCATGGGCACGTCGTCATGCGCTCTTTGCCAACGTTCAGCACCCCCATAATCATGACCGAAAGAGAGACTAGATCGGAGTGGTGATGGGGTGCAACTAAACTGATTATACAGAGACTGGGCAATTGCCTCCGAGTCAATTGTATGCCATAAACGATCCTGCAGTAGCATCCAGCAGGAATCATGGAGACCAAAGCCGTGCAAATGTGATTCCATTCGCAGTAATTCCACATCTTCCAGCTCCAAAGCGTTCAGGTAGTCCAATTCTTCGTCTAACGGAGCAACAAGATTGTCGCGGGGGTCAAGAAAACCTACACCCGTGATGAAATTGTCACAGTAGTCCTCTCTGGCCGCAGCACGTACTTCGGCGTACCATGGGCGCCGAGTGTCGGGGGTTTCTTCCAGGTCTTCGCACAGAAGAACCACCCCGCATATGGGGCAGTACTTATGGGTCTCAGACATATCCCGGATTTCTGGATCCATGGTATGGTTGTTTATGTAGCAATCTGGGTCGATGATTTCATGTCGGTGGTGACCGAAGTTTCAGATTTTTCTCGGGATTGATGATTAACCGCACCCGCCAGTTGACGCTCTCTTGATGCCAAGAACCCATTATGATCCTCCGAGCTCTATACATTCTTGTGATGCAGCATTGTAGCTGGTTAATTCGGCTCGGTTCATCCGTAAGGGACTACAGGCAGCTGTGTTCGATCTTCCAAGATCCTATCCAATGTGTCCAAGACGTCAGTTCAAACGCCTCTATGGAACCATGACGAGAGATCTCTCGAAACCACGTTGAATGGGGCCCTTTGTTAAGTTCTGTGCGGTTCCTCTACGCAGCGGGGGGTTTTTTTCTTGACAATTTCAGAATAATCCATGAGATGTTTTTCCCATAATGCTTGCAATCGTCTGTTTCGGGTGCCAGCTTTCCACGAGCAGGTCAATGTAGCAGTATTGATCGTACGTCATGTTAGGGCAATGCACAATATTCATTCTATCCCATTTGTAGGTCTTTAACACTCACATTGGGGTCTTTGTACACGTGCATTCCTTGCACATTGGCATGGTAGGTATGGTATGTCAAGCAGGCAATACCTGAATTCACAACAATAGACCGGTGTGATATGAAGGGGAATCTAATTAATTCCCTTATTGTGGTCTGCTGGTACCACTCGGCACCTTTCCAACGTTTCTATTTACGCTATTCACCGGTCATCTTTGTGGATTATGATGAACAGATCGAGTACAAGTCCTCATCGACGGCAGAGTTTTAGAAGTCATCAACGAAGAAGTATAGAACAACATAAATCAATGAAAATAAATAAGTTTTGTTACTTTTTTATGAGTCTTTCACTAAGATAAACTAAACATGAGTCAAAGAGCCGTTCGCCTTGCCTATGAATTGTGGTTCTCAACTTTCTGGTCGGCGTCGAGGTATCTCAGAAGGAAAGTTGTCGTGTCTCTAGATACAGCGCCTGGGTCGTTGGGCAGCATATTGGTACTCCCCTATGCACCGATAAAATGGAATGGTCAAGTCAAAATCGGCGTAGTATAGATCTCGATGCAAGCCTTCGCGACAAAGTTCCGCCAGCCGGGGTACAACGCCCGTGGAATGATAGAGATCCGATCGCCAGGTTGAAGGTTTCGAACCCACCGCAGATTCTGATCCCTATGGTAGATAATCTCATGGCACATGGTTTTCTTGCTTGCGTGCACATTAGTCGCCAGCCGCAAGTTCGCATCTTTGGAGATATCATCTGTCCCCGGCGGCCTGGCGATGCTAAGGTCAAACCATGTCCATGAATTGTTGAAGGAGCCATGATCCTGGGGATAACTACTCCACCCCTGATCATGGCTCCAGATTGTAATTTGGATCTTTCGCACGGGGTACCGCTCGCCTTGAATGGGTGCCGATCTCAAATATGGTGGTTGCCCATGACAGTCCCTCTCCTCATATTGCATTTCGTCTTCCCTGCAGATCCGGGATAGAAGCCAATATTCGGCGTAGTATAACACCTCGAGGACGATTTCGGACGGTAGCCATTGCTTCAGAGTATTACAAACTGAAATAGCATCTTGCGAATGGCGTGGGTAGTACGTATCTTTTTGATCGATCGGGGCGGCCATGGCTCCGAGCGACTCTGATATCGAAAGGAGAAAGGGACACGAGAGGCTAAGGTGTTTCCGAGTTAAACGGGACCGATACCCAATATCTTGGCTCGTTGAACCGTAACTTTGCACTGCACTCGAATTCAGGACAAGTCGCCTGTCTTACATACAACCATGTCATCTGACCAAGGAAATCACATGCCCAGCCATTACCCTGGACGACCTTTGCTGCCTTAAGGCAGCCTTGTCTACGCGAACCATCTTTTATGACTGGAGAATACAAGACACATCATGTAAGATGCTGATTAACTTATCCTTACAAAATGAAATACTTCCTCTAGGCCCGCCTTCCATATAGTACTTCTAATATACTAGTATGCTTGAAGTCCTGGAATAGAAGTTTATAGATCGATCATCGAGCAAGCCAAATGGAAGGGGATAATGAGAAGAGCTATGCATGTTTCTGTCCCATTTCGGTAAGAGCCAATCACCTATTCCGTGTTCTGATCTGGTTTTCTCTTTCAGGATCAAGGTTTGGTGATGTTGAATTATGTAGGGTATTTGGAAGCCGAAGTTTAGAGTAAAGAGAGGAGGAAGTTAAATGTAGTCACCGGCAGAGTTAAAATGCGGAAGTCGAACCAAAGGAACATTGTGTCGTAGCCAAAGGTACGGTATAGCAAAAGTTGAACTGCCTATAACATCCAGCAAACTATTACCTCTCTAATGAGCTACTTAGGTAACCTTCAACTGTGAATAGGACACAGCTCTTTAGCAAAATACGCACTCACGGCAGAGCACAACAAAATACGCGAGATTGGATTTACCAGCAATTGGATATTGGATATCATTTTCGCACAATCGGTGAGTTGCATATAGTCCTTGTATCAATAGAAGAAACTACTTTCACTTAGTGATACCAACTTTCATGACCAGAGGTTACTGATTGCTCTCTATACATTCATCCCCTTGCCCTCCCCATGCTGTGATCAGATTGCGAGAACGAATCTAAATTTCCGCAGATACCCTTGATGTCTGATCCCTCGCAAGGCACCACATATGGAGCGATTTACTCGTCAACCTTCCTGGCAATCTTGTAGCCAGCTTTGCGGTCGCTTCCAAGAAGACCTAGGATAAAAAACTCTATCCATCCGGTTACAATTGCCATCGGATAGTGAATATGCCGTTCAACTTACCGGCAAGGTTGATTTTCTGGTCCCCCGTCACCTCTGCGTCTTCAAAATCGGCTTCCAGTTTCTTTTTAGCTTCCTCATCCTTGGGCTTGTAGATATCGCATAGTTCTTTGAGAGTAAGGCGTCCTGGACGCTTGGTCAGTTTTCAGTGTAGTGTATTCCTTCTGATAGGTATATTTTACCGTCTCCATTACGGTCCTAAAGAAAGAGTTTGTGGGACTTAGTAATCTCCAACAAGGCCAGTGTTGTTTACGAGAAGGGGTAAACCTACTGCGGTATAGAAACAAGCGAGGAAGTATCGAATATCGTTCGAAGAGTAATAGATGTTCTGCAATCTCTGTCAGTGGATCGATTGAACAGCCAATGAATCCATGCCCCTGAATGGCTTCTAACCTCTGGATCCTCCTGCAGCAATTCTTCCAAACAAGCCCGCCGGGTATTGCTGATTTCTCTGGCCTGCTCGCTCTTGAGTTCCCGTAGCGCGTCGGCCTTTCCATCACGGTAGCCCTCATTTCGGGCGGACTCCTGGGCACCTTGGAACCACGACATGACTGTGGCTGTAATTTGCTAGACAGTTCTGGAACAAGGACTATGACTGAAACGTGACGAAGGAGGCTAGAGCTGGTACTGAGAGATGACTGTTTGTAGAAATGAAGAATTTCCATTCCTCAGCACGAGAGGACGCTTAAGTATTCATTCCCTTGACATTGGACACTCGCAGTATAGCCCTTCCCAAGTGTATGCGCCGTGGAAAGGGGTGGCCTTGCGCGGCATGGCCTGCAGTTGCCTACACGGCCTGAACAACCGCATGTCTGCATGAAGTGCAGATGAATGAGTTGTACAATTTAAGCGCAACTCCTTCTGTAAAATCCCGATCACAGAGATCACAGATGTTACACTGATGTGGGAACCTTTATGATGGGATTGAAGGATAGCAAGGATTTGCTCGGCAACTCGAAGTCATATTTTCTTATTATTTCTATACTAGCCAGCTTTGCTCCATACACAGCAATATCCAACATAATCCCATTCCCGTTTTACTATGTTTAAGCTGTTTCGTGAAGAAGCGGAAATCTTTTCCACCATGCGCTCCAAGTTACTGACCATCCCAGAGTTTAGAGTGGATACTTGACTCGTAGGCTTTCAGAGTCGATAGGCTCAAGTGGGTGTGATTCGGCCACGTAGCTGCACCAAAGTGCTAGTCACTGCATCAAGGCACCTATAAAGCAAAAAGCACAAAGGAAAAAGGACCAAGTGGAACGAAGGGAACGGAATGTCTTCGGATATAATAGAATCATGCTTGTACTGGTTCTTGGGAGGGATAAAATTGTCAACGCTAATACAACGGAAATACTGGACACGGGAAATACACCCTGCTCTACAAGCCCATATAGTTGCAATGACCTGCAGGAGGTTGAATGGCTCAGCTTGCTTAATATGCGAGGTGCAGCATACAACATGGTGGGCAAATGCACCATGCGTTGGTGTCTAACAGCTGATCACATACTAACCAGCCCCTCCTTCGTACCATGGGTGGATTATCTGCCCAACCTCGCATCTTGACCTTAGAGACCAATGAAGCAGACTGGCGCTCAATCTACTCCCGAGTGTATGCACTCCGTCTCGAAAATATTGTCAGAAATACCACGAAATTGGAAAAGGACGACAGAATCCGACGAAGGGCACACGATGATAATAAGTGATGCTATGGCTATTTGGATAAATACATTTCATCTACTCCCTCTCTGGAAGGCTTGCACGTTAGCAACTAGTGCGTTATCGCCGTCTTCAGAGCAAAGGGGCAGTCGGGCAGCAAGCTGGCAATGATCTATACGAGATACCTTGGACACTAGTTGAATGTAAGACCTACATTGGAATCGCCAGCCTCTCCCCGGAATACATGCGCTGTGAATGCAACCAGGTGCGAGATCGAATCATCCGCCCTAGATTTACACAGTGGGCTGAACACAACAAGGGATATTGTGTCTCGTTACTACACCACAAATATCATCTTATCATCTTAGAGACGGGTACAACTTGAACATGAGTATCTATACTTCCATATGATCAGCTAGCCGAATACGCCACATCTACCGTGGCCTCTTCATTGAACCATACTATCCATCTAGGTACAGCAGGGAATTGGTAGCTATGAACCTTGCATGACCACATCTTCTGGTATTGTCTTGATAGGACCATTCCTTCAAATGACTTGCATAAACAGTCCAACTCTGACTGACTTCCCTAATGTGTTAAGTGAGTGTCTCATCTCCGATAGAATATAAGGATCTATAGTTTCACACTATACCACGCAGACAAGACGCTCACAATCATACCAGCCGTCCCAGCAGCCCCCCAGAACGGCCTGGTGGCTATTATCAATGTGTTTTTACGCCAGCAGGCCGCAGTCAGTCCCAATGGCCGGATCACTCCACGGACCCTCTAAGGTCCACATAGAAGTTCTATCTCTCGGTGTCAGTGGAATATCTGGACGACAGCTCAGTGCGCCGTGCAACCTGGCGGGCAATGGTTTACCGCGGCTGCAGTCGGTCACTTTTCTCTCTGCTTATTGCTGGAAGGGCTTGAATCTGGCTATTCTCAAGGTCGATATATAGCATGCAGAAGTGCGGATACGAATTTACCGATGGTAGATGAAGAATGCCGTCTTCCCGGGGTCGGATTGCGTGATCGATAGTACAGCCCTCGTTATGAATACATCGTAGTGAACCATTGTTGTTTACAAGCTAACTTTTGTTTGCACCTGCACTGGACCTTCGATCGAACTCTCCCTGTCGGTTTGAGTATGGTCTTGTTCTTTCCTGTAATCGTTAGTTAGCGCAGTTGCTCGATTCTGGCCCTGGGATGATAAACATGCCGTTTTTCACGTTTGAGAAAGTACTGGATCAATTGCGCCGTCGCAATCAAACAGATCGCACTCGCCAACGTAAATGAATATCCCTTGGTGAAGCGCGGTCCTTCCACTGTCTTATACACCAACAACGGTGTCCACACTGTCGTCGACTGCGCAATCGTGTTGGTGATAACCAGCGCCAACGACCGTTCCGCCGGTGATGCCCGCAACTCACTGTTGATCCAGCCGTATAGCACACTTGACATCGCCACAGCCGCATAGGTCGTCTGAAATGCAAACCATTTTGCAGACTCAGGCACGTTCCACACTATTAAAATGACCAGGCCGATGATATTCCAGATATGAGAGACAGTGATAGCCCATGCTGGTCCCAGCACGAGATCAGAAGCGAAACAGATGAACAGCGTGTAGAAGATACCGAGAGCGGGTGAGATAGCAGCCAACTCATTTAGCCGCGCGGTTGAGAACCTGTTCAGACTTTTCAGCCAGAGCAAGTATCCACCGGTACTAGTATTCAGACAGGCATTCCAAAAGAAGATGTCCAGCCAAAGCATCGCCCAGAACTTCCAGTTGCGAGCGATGTTGATCACAGATCGCCATTGAAATCCTGGGTGGAAGCCATGGCCGACGCGGGCCAGTCGCGCCTTTGCGATATCAACGTCCTTGGACCGTAGAACCATGCGGTTGGGCTTGTCGGGGGTGCCAGGCAAGATGAAGAAACCTATAATCCCGACTGGAATGGTGATAATAGCGCAGATGATGTACATCCATCGCCAACCGGCGAGGCCATGCACGCCGTCAAGTCGAGCTGACGCGCCGGATTGGATCAGACTGGCTGTGAGGGTTCCCAATGTGAGGCCGACGTAGAAGCAGCCACCCCGACGGGCGATTTCATCCCCACGATACCAGGCACCTATACCCGTCAATCATGATACTATCCTTGGGGGTCGAAGAAC